ACCCTACTTTTTTTAATTTTATTATTACGTACTAAATAGAATCAATTTCTACTTCATTACATTTTTTAAAGTAAAATTGCAAATGATTCTCAAAAAATTTTTGTACATGTAATATTAGAGTGTAGTTCATTCCATATTTTTGTATCATATCATGTCATATCGTAGCTTTTTTTATCACAAATCATATCATATCATATCTAGCCTACTTTATCGTGAAATTTTTGATTACTGTTTTATTAACTAACAAATAGCTATGGTATTTCGCATAAAATCTCAGTAATCCTTTTTCTTCTTGAAATAATTTCTTAATTGAATATCCCTGTGTTTTATGATAAACATCCATCATTATCATCATCATTATCACGCCATCAAGAACAAGCTCCCATAATTTGTAAATCACAATCCATTGCAACCAAATAATATGAAGCTGATTTAATTGTTGTTTATTTCGTTTATCATTATCATCATCGACACCACCAAGGACGAGTTTAATCAATAAATAATTCCATGCTTTCATCGTTTTCCAATTAAATCGAAGATTTTCATCTCTGATTTTATTATATGTATCATTCATTCTCAGCATTTAGACATTTAAACTTTTTATTAAAAAAAAAGGATCGTTAACGATAAATATATTTTGCTTCTAAATTATATTCATATATGCCAAATATCAATTTTCATTCTTCTTATTGTAATCGTTCTGCATTTAATTCATCGTTTCCACAACTAACTGTAAGTGCTTCTTTTCTTTTTCCTTTCTTTTATTTGTTATTTCCATTTGACATTTTAACATTAGCTCTTTGAATTTTCGTATTTTAAGTTTTTCCAATGAGTCATATTTAAATAAAAATATACAAATTTCCTTCGCATTCCCATATATTTTTTCCTCGTCTAGCATATATTTTGATCGAATAACATTCTATGTAGTATTCTTCTTCCATTACCACATGTTGGTTACTTTCTTCTCTTTGCATTTCATTCACATCCATTCTTTCACAACAAAATATTTTGGAGCTGATCATTTCAGTGAAATCTTTTTCATACTTAACAGTTTCCACAATGCCTTTTTCTTTCCATTCCTACTATTCCTTGCATTTCTATCACAATTATAGCTTCAATATTCCATTCCACTAACTTTCCTAATATTTCCACATTTTCGTTTCTCCCCGATTTCATATTTATCAAATTCTTACCAACTTTCCATCCCTGTCGTTTTACTATATTATAATCGATTCCTATCACTTGTAAACAAAACGATCAATTTCCTGAACAGGCGTTGACTCACTTGACCTTCACATCCATATCCTAAGATGTTGTTTGACCTCACATCATTTTGGCTCCTTTATCGCCTTCCTTCAACAGTATACACTTCCACTCAATGTATTTCACCACATCCTCATTTACAACTCCATATTTTCCATACAATGAATCCACTTTCATCATCCAATTGTTGTTAACTTATATCTTGTTTGGCGACTTGATGAAGTCCTCCAATTAATGAATTCATCTTATCCCGAAGTGCTTATTCTTGTTAATGAATGTTTTGCATCGCTATCCTAAAATCCTCACATTATTTCGTCTAGTTAAAATTAATGTAAAGTTTTAGTTAGAATTAATGTAAAGTCATATGCAAACGTAAAACAGAAACAAAACGAAAAATAGCAAAGAAATACTACCGAATGTTAAAAGATAATACCTAGAACTACAGTAAACATCTATCGTTCAGGTATATCCTTTCGTTAGTACCAAAACAGTCCAATGCAAACAGATAATCAAATAGTTCCAATAACAAGAAATTATTTCAGAAACTAATGAGAAAAATAATAAGTCCCAAATCAAAATGATAATTTAAATATATGACTAATTTGTTTAGTGGAATTTCAACTCAGAATCACAAAAATAAAAAATCTTCAATGAGTCAATATGCCAGACCTTTTAATTATGGAAACATTGCTTCTCGAAAAACCTTCCAATATACAACATCACAATTCAACCACTAATCAAGAGAAATCATATTGAATGGTTATCTTAGATTGTTTAAAACTTAACAGAATATATTCTACCATATATCGATTTGGTTAATTGCAGACGAACAGTTTAATTACAGTTGGAATGTCGTTAGCATAAATATGATAAGAACGGCAATATATGATAATATTAAAGATCACATTTAAAACTGTACTATTTCGTTATCCTCCCTATTATAGTATTTCTTTCTATATTTACAATAAATCTACTAAATTAAAGCAAAATTCAATCGGGCAACTGCAACCTTTAGCGTAATTAATTCATAGTAAATCTGCAAATCTTTTCATCAATCTGTCTTTCTTCATAAAACTATAAGATGAATTAAAAAAAAAAAAATTAATAAATAAAAGAAAAAATATCTAGGTCACCTTGGACATCAATATATCTCTTCCCATATCAGAAAGTAAATATGCTGGAAAATCCAATCATATTTAAACAAAAAAAGGAAAAAAAAAAAGAAGAGCGACGAGCAAGCTTTTATCCCAATACATTATACATTAAGCAAATAAAAAAGAAATTAATATGAACGGGAAATGGATAATCTTTGGAAGAAAAAGAAAAATAAAACTAATCATTGATTAAATGTAAAGAACATGAATTATTAATAATCTTAGAAGACAAAAATTATCTAACAATTGGTAAAATAAACAAACAAACAACGATAAAATGAAAATAGTTAAATTAAACGATAAATTTAAACTTGAATAACAACAACAAAGATATTAAAAACAAAAAAAATAAATTACTCGAGAAATGTACCCGTTTTCATCTCATCAACATCTCACAGTGAAATGAAAGAAATGCTTTGTTCATCTATTTTTTCACAACACAATCAATAATAGTAAAGAATGTATAAAGAACATAAGTAAAAAACAAAAAACAAACGGAATTTCTGCTAATTTTCACAAGAAAAAAATTAAGAATCTTTAAAAATTTTGGCTACACATAAAGTAATTCAAGCAATGGCCGTTTTCTTTTTCTTTTCTTTTTGGAAATTTCAAAATTTAAAACATGAAAAATTACAGGAGAAAACTTTCCGTTTTAACATTATAACCAAATCATATGAAGCAATAATGGAAAACGACGAACTATTTGTCAAGAATCTTGTAAAAACATATCGAAAAATAGAAATCATATCTACCATTACTTGCTATATCTTAAAACCAAAATCATGTGTGCGCCACTGTCGCATGCGCCATCATGATTAAGAAGTATCTGAAATACAATCACATTTAATCAGTAATACTATCCCAAATATATAAAACAAAATACCAAACTATCAAAACTTGATGCAATTCATTGCAACCGTACTCGTCAATAAAGATAAACAAGCAATCGGGAAATGTAAAGTGTCAAAGGTAATGGAGATGGAAATGATTTTATTGCCATTTCGTTATCTTATTGTTCCCAAACGCCTAGCGATAATTACCCACCATACTAACAAATTTAAACTAAACCCACATTTCACATCAAAACCCTAAAATTGTCACATCGATTGAAACATTCATTTCATGGCTCACCTTGTATATTCCCCTCTATAATGACTTGTTCAAATGATAGTTTACCAGTTTATCACTTTCTCCCACACATAATAATTCTTGATAGCAATGAAGCATCAAGAAACAAAAAAATAAACTATGTCATTTTTTTTCCTCTTTGGTAAAGCGATTCTCTCTCATTTCGTTCAAAGCGATGAGAGAAATTTAGACAAAACATCAGTTTGCAACCGAAAAATGAAACCGGTAAGTCAGAAAAGAAACAAACACTCGATGATGACAATAGATTTTTATCGTGAAATACAATGAATGAAAGAGATGAAAAACAAGAATCGGAAATTTCTGAAGATAAAACATATTAACGGATTCACAGATATATCACTTACATCATTCAGCAATGAATATTTGCCAACTAATGAACCTTCTTATTTTAAATAAAAATATTATGCAAACACCTTGAAAATAGTAGCTCAATATAATAGTTTTTCATTGTTTGTCTCTGCTTTAGAATAACCGAAAAACACCAACTATTAGCAATTTCTATTTAGAATTTTAACAGCTTACTCTGCCCGCAGACTACATAAAGCGTTGTGGTTGTTGTTTTGACACAAAACAACGAACTTAATATAGCTTAAAAGCCTAAAAGATTCCATTCTACTGTAAACAAATCCCACAGTGTACACTCTTTAAGATTACAAAACAATGAATCAATCATATCGATAAAATTAACTTTAGGAAAAAAATGTTAGAAGACAACAGGTAGACATTGCATGTGCACCGTTGGAATAACATTTTTTCCTTTTCTTCATAGCATATTTTAAAACACGTTAGTATAGCATTAATGTAGATGTAAACATGAAATTAATGCATTGTGAAATAAGCGCAAAATTGGCGATGACCAATACAATGCCAAAGGATAACATTTCCGCTAAAATCTACAAAAAAATATTTCTATTAAAATTACGGATTAGAAAAACGCATATAAATAATTTTCATACAAAACGACTTACTGATCAACGCTATGCCAAATCAAATAATAATGAGGGCATAAAATATAATCCTTACCGAACAATGCAAATTGCAATAATCTTTACTGCTTTTCAAAAAACCAGAAATAAATTTAGAATTTGAAAGTCGATGAACAAAAATTTAAGAAAGAAAAAGACGAAAAATCACAACAATCATATATATATTTCGCTAAGTTTCAGCTAAATAAAACTTACTGAAACATATTAACATTAGCGACAAAAAGGATAGTAGCTAAATATGCAAATGTGGCAATGCCACCAAGAACTGTAAAGATCATTATAAAAAGAAATGAACGAAAATATTTTCAAATTTTTCTTTAGCAATTAAAAATGTCTTACTTTATTAGTTGCCACATATGAATTCTTTAAAACTTATCTTAGACATTAAAAGTTTAAAACATCCACTGCAACAACACAAATGAGGAACGAAACTACAATCAGGAACATTTCAAGAGCATGCGTCATTGTAATCGTACTGAAAACGTTCATGTGCTTCGGGTGCTGGCAAGCTTCCATGAATGATTGCCTAGAAACGAAAAAGATTTAATACTAAAAATTTAAGAATATTATTAAGAATTTAAAATAAGATTCTATAGATTTACTGAGATTGCTATAGATTTAATAAGACCATAATTTATTAGCTTACTTGGATAATCCATTCCGATGAAACGACTGTAGCTCCCTGCGATCGAGCAACATTCAAAATTTCCTCAGTGCAACTAGCATCCGTCAATAAAATATCCAACCCTTCTAAAAGCAATGTTAGTAGCATCAGTTTTTCCTTTTATTAAATATGATGTGAACTGTCCCTCTCTTCTTCGATAATATTTAAAAAAAAAAAAAAAAAAAAAACTTGAAATTACCTTCTGGAATTACCGGTACAACGGTGCCGCCCATATGATTGATAATAGGTGTCCAAATTTGTGAAAAGTTTGGCATATCGTAGAATACGTTATTTGAAGAAATGAAAACACGCTTTCCTGATAACAAAGTGCCGTTATTTGAGTGCCTAAAATACACAGAAAATGTCAACAACACATAAAAATTTCAAAAAAGAAAAAAAAAAAAACTCACCATGGTCTCATATCGCCAGTAAGAAGAGATACTCCTGCAGGCAACATATATTTCATATGATCCAGTAACTTATTCTGGAAAAAAAGAAAAGTGATGAAGTGATTATAATCATAACACGAAATAAAGTTCATTAATGATGGCAGTTCTTTAGCCTTCTTAACAAAGTGAAGGCTCAACAATATTGAGTATAAAATAAATAAAGAATTGAGTATAAAATAAATTTGAGTATAAAAAAATAAATATTGGTTAATCACCTAATAGGTAAATAGCCGTAGAATTGATCAGCTCATAATTTGACAAAAAACTAAGCAGGAACTGTACATCAAGGACACAATATAATATAGTTCACAGTGAGAAATCAGGAAATTGGATAAATTAAATTTTAAATTATTACTTCTTTAGCACAGTCACTGATCCATTGATTACTGACACAAGGAATGGAGCGTGCCAATGCTGTGAGGTATTTATGGGTACGATAGTGGGTATCAGCGATCAGATATATCGGTTTACCCTGAGGTAATTTCTGAAATTTCTAGAACTGGCTCAAAAAATACTGGATATTATGAAATATAGCACTATTTTATACATTTCAAAATAAAAATAACAATTAACAAACCATAACATCATCGATCACTTTTCCACCACCATTTTCGATCATGCAACGTATTTCTTTTTTGCTAAATCCCTGTTCACCTTCACGGTTTTTACGTAACGCTGACGTTACCACGAATGTTATACCGTCAAAAATTTTATCCAGTGCTTGAAAAACAAATTCAGTAATCAGGAAATAACAAAACGGATACAAAAATTCTCATTCATATGTTTGTTTATGCTACTATTTAAATTATACTTAACAAATTGTAATTGCAGAACAATATTTATTTCTTCCTTTTTTTTTTTTTCATTTTTCTCTGTTTGCAAATATTAAAAAAGATAGTAATACAGCACAATATCTGCATCCCACTTCTGAAGTTACCTTTTTTAGCTGATCCATTCGTAGATGAAGATTCATGTTGTTGCTCCTGCAACTCTTCTGGTTCAAGAAGTGCTTCATCGCCCTTCAATGACGACGTCTTTGATGGAATGGTATGCTGTTTTGGGGTCTCTTTTCCAGCTGTAAAATAATGCAATACATATATCGAATATTCCTATGCAAAATCTATTAACATGAAATTAATTTTTTAAACTAAATTTTTAAAATTTTTTTAAACTAAATAATTTATACTAATAGATACTTGTAGAGGAATGTCGACGAGCAGTTCTTGTTGGCATAACGGGAGTGACGTTGGTACTATAAACAGCAGTGTGGCGAGCGGCTCGACTACGTCGTCCTTCAGTTGATGCGATATTATCTGAATTATTTTAAATACTTTAAAATTCCATTCAAAACTCCAAAAATCAACTGAAAAATTAAGACCAAAGTTTCATACAGCCAAATTGTATATTTTGAAATTTAATATACTTTACATAAAGAAATAATGAAAAACCAAATTTGAAGCTCCAATTAAAAAATACAAGATACAAAAACTCATTCATCTATCCAAAGTTCGTAAGATTTTTACAACCAGCAACGACATCCTGCAAGAGAGGCCATATTAAAATTCGACAGAAAGTTAAAACATACCGGCATTGACATCACGCACCGTATTAACTGTTGTTACTTGCAATGCTTTCGCTTGATTACTATCTACCACTAACTTTTGCCATGATGATCTGCAAACGAAGGATGTTATTCGCTTTTCACACAGCAAACAGATAATAGCCGTTTTATTATGATTCATTCGACATCAGCTAATAACAATAAATATTACTATTACATCTGCATCTTATTATTATAACTGCATCCTTCCTAGAAAGAATAATAATGATATTATCATATCACCTTGCTTAATAAATTAGTTGTTAGTATGTCGACAGTTTGCACAGCCTAATCTTCATTAACCAATTTGTGCCCTTCTTTATTACTATAGCAACAAAACATCTCGTTATCACATTACCCATACCCTTATCGCATCAACCATAACCTACAGTACAATAGGTGATACTGATATGATGCGACCAAAGACCAAAAACAAAGTAACAGTATCTCTCATTATTTTGGTTGAAACTAGAATGACACCTACTTGCTTGTATTTTCATTGTTGGTATCTCTAATAGTGAATATAGCTTCCATCCAGTTTTGTGCATCATTACTTGAAGGTGCCTCAACGATTTCCACTTCTTCGAGCACCTCTTCATCATCTTTCACGTTTCTTGTCAAACACTACAAAAGTCATCGTGATAATTAGAACAAAATCTAAATCCCACTCACAATAGTTTTCATTTAATTATACGAACATACGCGTTACGAACATACGTCCACTACTGTATAATCGTGCTTTCTCAAAAAATTGGAAGTTTTAGAAATACAACGCGCATCTTTTTGGAGGTCTAATTTAAACACTAATAAGAACAACAACACGGTGAATTATAATTTCATAATCCAAAACTCCCTTAAAATACTAAAAAAAATATAAAGATTAACACATCACCTTTCGGCCAGCAACAAGGTTACATAACGGGATAATGCCCGTTGTTACTAGTTTACGTATGGCACCATCTTCAGCAAAGACTACTTCATAACGACCACTTGCATCCGGTTCACTACAAATGGTAGAAACTGATAAAAGTTATATTTTTTGCTTAAAAAGAATTTAGCAATTCTTGAGACTTTCAATTAGTTTATAAATATCTAACATTACAATTGCATACAATCGAAACCAGTTCAAACATATGCGCATTTTCAAATATTTTAATTACAACTAATTTGTATTCAAATTGGACAACTAATGCAAATTTTCCCACTGTTCCGAAATTGAAGTACTAACGCCGATATTCGAGCCGGATAATACAAGCGATCCCATAGTGCATATATCCGTGTACCGACATTATATGCAGCATGTTCATTGGGACGGTGATCTGCTTCAAGCTGTTCCAATGCTGACAATTCCGGCAATATCATTTTCGGCGGTCTTTTTGGTGTTATTGCTGGAGATGTGTCAGTTCTAAAAAAATTACATTTAGAAAATGAACTTTCAGACTCGTCATATCATGAGATGACCTTAGGTCAACATCGAACCGAAAACTCAGCTTGAATTCAGTTGGCATAATCGCAGTTACTCGAATATCAACTGGATAACTTTGATGTAAGATACCATCCTCCATACAATGAAATATTAAGGACTTATTTGTTTGCAGATGATAAAACTTAACATTCGTTTGCCTTGTCCAGCATACAACCATGATTGTTCAATAGCAATAATTCCGTAACTTACTTGAATTTCTTTAAACTATGAATTATACTGCTAGCTGGTATGACAAAAACAAACTGCATTGGAGATAACAGGAAACAGACAAAACAATGGGCAAACAATAAACTTTTGCTGATTACATAACGCGATATCTAATAAAAAGTTCGGTACTAGATTTATGACAGAAGCGCACTAATCCATGTAGCTTCGTAACTTAGTACAATCTGACATTTTTCGCACAACGGTAACTTATCACAGTACATCAAAATCACCATTACTGTGTAATAACGATAAAAAAAACCGACATTTTACGTTTCCGTTGTTTCGGTGATGACTGAAAATTGTATGCTGAGTTTGCTTGTTTCTCTTCCGATCGGTTTCCGGTTTTGGGCCGCTGCTTAAATACGATAAAATCAAGGAACCCTTCGGATAATTTCAAATTCTGCAGACTCTGCAGAAGTTGAAATTCTACATAGCATTTGATCTTCGCTAGTGATTTAATATTTTAGTGATACCACTGAACTAAAACTAAAAAGGTTATAGCGCCCTTGCTCTAGCCTCAATTTCTGATCTAAATCCTCATATTTTCATTGATCATGTGTCAAGTTTTTTTCAAAAGAAATGAGCCTTGAATATCTTCGTTTTTTCTACAGTTGGGTTACTCTAAATTTCCAGGATTCCTTTAACACTTTTATACCAATTCTCGTTCTTATAAATCCCTCAATATGAAAGTCTTACTTTATTATCATCCTGTTTCATTGATCCATCTACGTTCGAACTTCCAGCTGGTTCTGAAACTTCACCGCCCATAGATTTCGTCTTTCTGCAAATACAACTCTTTATATGTCCTTAATTTGTGAAAAAAGCTTCGTTTAATGTAAGCAATAGAATCAATAATAATACACCAATCAAAAAACCATAGAAAACAACTAATGAAAGAAAAAAAAAAAAAAGACTACGAAAAAAACGGTTTCAAAGAACAACAACCTCTTTAATGAGGAAGTCATTGCAACTCGACCTGAGCTTAGTGTCAATTCAGAAAGTGACTTATGAGTAGTGACCTAAAATTAAAATATACTATTAAAATATAAAAAGATAAAAAAAAATACAGCAATATTTTATGGTTCGTAAAGAAAAATTGCAGTAATGGTGTAATGGTCGGGACGAAGGTCCAAAAGTGATAAAATATGACAAATGAAGAAATGACAATTATTTGAAATGAATCTTGTAAAGAGAAGTCAGGAGGCTGAGCATAATTTGGCAGCAATATATTCACTAGTTTCTTGCAATACCGAATCAATCAATAAGAAGCAAAATAAATCCAGCAAAATCCTATAGAAATGAAACAAGCTAAAAAATGGTCTAAACCATCACGGATATTGCGCTAAAAATACCTCTTGATGTGGGAGCAAGCCAATAAGATTGGATCGCCGTTCATTAGCTGTTTGTTCGGTTTTCTGATAACGTCTAAAAGATTTTGTTATGAAAGAGAGATGAAGAAGGTATATCAAGCTATTTCATACGGTTTTCTCATCTCCTTCTAAACAACAAAACAAATAAACTAACAATGCAGGCGTTTTTTCCGGAGATTTCGTGAATTTATATCCTCCAAAAGACTGACGTTCCATCTGAAAATTTACCATAAAGAAGGACTAGAACAAAACCTTTAGGTAACTGACATGGTGCACGCATCCACATATAAACGTACAAACAAAAAATTATAAACTGTAGCATTCATACACTGCTTTCTAAAAATATTAGCTCGACAGCTTATCAAAGAACAAAACATCAGAGAGTAATCAAAATTGGAAGTGGAAATTCAATAAAAGAGAGGGATACCGATCAGTTAAAGCAAAAGTTAAACAACTGGTAAGCCAAAATAGTGGTTGCTAAAGTGGAATAGTTTGATCAGTAATGTAGTTAGTATTTTTGAAGCATGGGTAACATAAATTCTTGAAAATATAATTATCAGCTGATGATTTTTAGATATAAATAAAACAACAAGTGTAAAATTTTCACCTGAATATTTCGTAGCGGTTCTGGATGATTATCAAAATTGTTATCAATACTGAATGGATCCTTATCCGATTCACTTGTACGATCATGTTTCTTCCCTGTTTCTTTTTTTGTAGATTTTTGAGCGGATCTCGATCCAACTATTGTACTTGGAGCTAGAAATCATGTACAATTTTTTTTTGTTTAAGAGAATCGCCGTTAAAGAACTTCCAGTTTCCCTTATAGCACCTTCTTAATTAAATTCAAAATCATAAAGTTTTCTCCATACCGTTTTTTTTGCCATTTCTTCCAGATGTCGTAGTTTTTTCATCAGTTGATTCTGATCCCGATATATTCTGGAAACTAATAATTAATACCTTACCATCTTCCACAAAAATTTAAATCTATAGGGCATAACAACATATTCCTATGCTGAAAATGAAATACCGGATTCACAAACTTTGCTTCTAATTATTACTTGCTAACAAAATCGATGATCTATCAATAAATAGCTCACCTTCTCTATCTTCTTATCACGACGTATGACTTTAACAGTAGGAGTTGACCTGCAGAAGAACTGATTAAAACATTTTCTTCCTTACTAATGAAAAATAAAAGATTGCGTTACACAGTTTTATTGAGAACACAAGCATTTCAGCCATCCTTCATGAAATTTGGCTACTTAAAATTTAAATAAATCAATTAGTTTTCTATTAAAACAAATACTTCAGGAATTAATGTTGTCATAGCTGTATTGCGATAATGCAGTACTATCATGAAATAAGAAAGCATTACCTTTGGGTCATCAAACGAGCTATGAAAATCTCTAACCGCTATTTTATAATGCACATGAAAAGTGGTGAGATATCCGCAATTTCAAATCATAACTACAACATTTGATTGCCTTGACGATTTCAACATTTTTTCTTAGGTAAAAAACTTCATAAAACTTACGTAGCAACTACTTTCTTAGGTGTACGCAAACTTTTCCGTCGCTCCGCTGCCCCTGGTTCATTCTTCACAGCAACTGTTTCATTAGAAACATCAGTTTTACGAGTACGCAAACTTTTACGTCGTTCGTTGGCAGAATTACCGTCACTACCTTCTTCTGATTCTTTAGTTTCTGCATTTGCTTGATTAGCAACAGCAACAGTGTGAGAATTAGGTCTTTTGCAACTTCGTGCAGATTTCCTGGTTGGGGTCTGAAACATACTCAATAATTGTTAAATTATCGCAAATGAGAGATGGCAGTTAATAATTTTCATTTATATTCACTAGAAACATGTATTCCATTAAGTAAACATAAGCGATTCTACCTCTTGAGCAATCCCAACATCCTTTTGTTCCTTGCTTCTACTTTTTGGGAGTTTCCCAATTAATTTCACTTTTCCAGCTTCTTCAGCAATTGCATCATTTGCCTCAGCATCAGATGTACCTTCTGGTCCATTTGAACCATCTGTTTCAGTGACTGGTGTTGTCACTTCATCCGGAATTGAACTGTCATTTTTTCCTTCCTTAATTACAATTTCTGCTGAATAAAACAGATAAAAAATATATGGAATCATTGATATTTCAATCATAATATGCTAGCTGTTTTCATAATCCGTCTTCATATAAAGTAGAAATAGGCTAAGAATTATATGAAACAGTATTTGTTTTGCTACAGACTATAAAAATATCACAACATATGAAGTTCCTTTCACTTACATTATGTTCTATACCGCCATCAGTTCCAGTTACAACGGAAACACTGCTCTCTTCTTTATGAATTTTAATATGACTTTCTTCAATGGACTCTCCTTTCAATTCAAATATGCACTAAAAGACTAAGCGATAAAGAATAATCAAAATGAATTTTCTTATAAATAAAGTGCAGGTATGAAAAACTGAAATGAGATAGTGAGCTGAACTGAGATAAGGTATTCCAATTTCAAAATGACAATAAATCCATAAAATAACATTTTTCAATTGGTTACAAAAATTATAGAAATTAATTAACGGTTGCAAAACTTTAATAGAAAAAAAAATTATAGAAACCTCAATTAATTACTAAAAAGTTCATCATTTACCTCCGTATTTGTTGTTATAGTTGTTACTGTGCCCATCTGAGTTTGGTCTGTGTCATTTCGCCTAAATTGAATAATTAAATAAGAAATAATTGACGACAGGAATAACTAAACAAGAAGAAAACAAAAATGACAAATGTCCACGGGAAAGAACTAGTACCCCTTCTCGAATTCAATGTCCTTCTTTTGATTTCGCTCTGTAGCGTCTGAGAGATGTTTTTGATCTCTAGTTATATCTACATCATCTGTTTTCTGTTCATTGACAACCGAACTGCTTGGTTCAGTCTTAAAGAAGAATTGTTTAAATTCTTAAATTCGATAAAACATTAGACCAGCATTAATTCTACATTTATTATGTTTTTAAAGCAATAATATTTATCTTTATATCTTTTTAAGTCAAAGAAAGCTCATATAACATAAAGTTATGGTAGTCAAAGACGACTTTAGAAAACGAATTCAATACGAAAAATAATGCAACTCCCATCGAATAAATAACTATTTATTGCAATTTGAAATGAATACATACTACATCCTTGCCTACACTGATCGTCGTTCCTGCATTTTCAATGTCCACTTCCATCGGTCCATGCAAACTATTATTGTCTGATTCGCTCACTTTCTCCTTACTTCCTGCAATAATCTAATAACATCTGCCGCTTTGACAGTGGCAAAAGAAAATGCTCTGGATGCGTTAGTTTTTCTTTCTGAATTCTGAAAATGATACCTGACGACTCCTCATTTGCTCCATTTTTTTGACTGCTTTCTGAGTCACCCTAAAATAATTTACAGGAAATGTTTAGTTTTTAGACAACACCGTCGATGCATCGAATATGAAGCACACCGAATCTCTCTGCACAAGGCTTATAAACAATCAAACATAAAACTTATTTCTTCTATCAGCAGATACGGTAAACGATGGTTCAAACAGCAAGACAAGTCTTATCAACATATATTTGACTATAGAAAACAAGTGTTCAGATAACTAGCCAACTGCTTTCAGCCTCACACGAGTATCATGCTTTACGAGAAAAAAATTAACAAAATAAGTCAACACTAAAACTTTTACAGTATCGATTTTGTAATTAGTACAAATTTGTTTACCTGCAAATATGAAGCACTTCGCCCAAAAAGTCCTCTTCTCATCTTGTACAATGGATCTCCCTGCGATTCACTACGTAAATCTCTGGAATTCAATCGAAGTTTGTAATATTTAAATATAATCCTTCCAGGATAAAACTGGTCTTGAAAAGTTTTTTTTTTTTTTTTAAGCGAAAATTCCCAAATGTAATAAGAATTTCGCAATGGATACAGCTCATATTTGAGAGACATGACGTGTATGAAAGAACAGAATTACTTCGATATTTTAAACTAATTATTAAACTCGTTCAAAAACGGGATTGTGACACACGTTCAAAACCTCGCATACAGCTGCAGCTCTTTTAGCTTCATTAACAAAAATGGTTAGAGCACAAAAAATGATTATAAGCCCTTCTTCCAAACTATGAATGAATGCACGAAATAAGCAGTGACAAATCCTTCAGTTTCTATAAAATCAAAATATGAACGGCTAAAACACACTCACAACAAGTAGTCCTTCAATTCTAATTTTAAGAGTCATTTCTATATATTAAATTAAAACAGCTTACTGATGTGTTGTTGACTGTGTGCATGACCCATTTTTATCTGTTGCATCTGTAAAAAAGCTATTAACATGTGGAAACAAAAAAAAAAAAAAAATTCCCATATAACGAAGAAAAAAGCACTTAGCACAGCCTTTATCATCATTATCTTGCATATTTAGTAAATAATGAAAAGCTAATATGCAGATCAAAATCGAGCTATAATTTCAGCTATCATACACTTTGCAAACAATAGCTCAGAATCACTGCTATGAAAATAACATACCATTTTCATGAGAAAAACAATCCGTAGTTGGCATTTATCCAAAGCAATAATTCAGTATAAATAAAGTATTTTTAAGTGCTGAAAAAAAAAAAAACTTATATTGACTGTAACTATTTAGTAACGTACGTTTTTTTCATGAATTTCGTACATTATAAGTTAACTGTTATATCAATTAACAAACAATTAAACTTTCATAATACTTTTTAGCCATTACAAATACATGCAATAAGTAAAACGCATACATTAAAGAAATACAAATAATAAAATATATACGAAATGTAACATACATAAATTACTGTTAGCATCTAAAAGGAATTATAACTGCATACAAATAAGCATAAATATGTTTGGGAAAAGAAATGACACGTGCAATGATTCACGTACAAATGAAACAAACATTAGAAAGATGGAAATGAGTTGCAATAGACAAACAGCTACACAAAATTACAGCCTTATTCCGCGCTCGCTTTCCGGATTAGGACGCGAAGCTCAGGTGTTACTATAAGGTCATTTACATAAGAGGGAACACTGGGAAGTATATTTATCCGGGAGAGAAACCGACATATAACTTATGTAACAGCACATATTTAACTGGAATGTAAGAGCTTCGATCTGTTTGGTCTGTTATTATTTCGCATGAAATAAAATACCAATAATGAATGAAATTTCACTTTTAAATTAAGAAAAAAAAAAGACGAAGACCGAGATTTCGTAGGTGATAATTAAATGAGGCAAAATGTAAGCCCAATTTTTTGCATAATAATTCATGAAAGTAAAGGAGTAAATATTTTTTGTTCGATATAAAAAGATTATTTTTTCATGTTATATATCATTGACTTAGTCTTATTTAGAAGAGATCTTGATGCAAAAGAAGTTTGATATGCAAGAAGTACAAGTATATGGTATATATGTATACTTTTCTGAAATAGATAATTTGCCGTTACGTTGAAGCTTAACCTCTCCTACTAAACTACATAACACATAACAAAAGTTAGCGCAAAAGGAATAAATTCTAAGATTGAACTTTATTACATTACCTTACATTACTAGTACTCCTATCAGTGTACTCTTCTCTGGCTTAGTTTCTTCTTCCACTTTTCCGATTATTTCCTCACCCATCGTTTTTTAACTATGTTGCACATGTTCTCATACCTCCGATAAATTCACTTAATGAAAAACTTGACAATTAAGACATTTATTTTTTAAGTTTATATATGATAAAAGCATCTATCGAATTCAAGTGTTCGAAAATTTTAATTAAAATACATAAATGATTAATTACGTTACTCTACCCAAATATTATACTTCCACAGCTTTCCAGATAAAAAATGTCGTCACCCAACAAAACACTACTTATGGTTCTAATTTTTATAGTCAAAATAATTATTATCGAAATAGTTGTAATCCTTGAAACTTTCAAACTTCATCCATACCTACAATAGGATACGTTGCAGAACTGTAATTTAATACAACTGTACTAGTTTCTAAGACAAAACACTAGTATAACTTGTACCAGTTCTTAAGACAAACAAAAATAGTACTCTGAATTTTTCTAATTTCATTTATGGAGAACATATTATATAGTTATAATTTAATCTGAATCTGGATAACGCTTATCAATACAATAATCAAAATCTAAGAATTTACATCCAAAAACTACAAGTACGAAATACCGCAATTGGCAACCTAGCAAGAAGTAGCGGAATAAATTACGCAGTTTAGTTTCATGTCTAGAATTCTAAACTTTTTTAGCGAGACAAAAGTTTACTTTTTATTCGACAAAAGATTACGTTATTCGAATAATATGCATTGTTTAGAACAATCATATAGATTAGGAGTCGCAATTGAAAATTCCCTTTTCAGACGTTCAGAAATATGCAATCAATAATTATAACAGTAACAAGGGTGGGCTAAAAATTCTTATTTCATTTAAAGAGTATTTTAACAATGAAAGCAAAAACAAAAATATCACAGATGAATAAGAAATATTAAAAAATATGATGTTTTTGATAGTAATGTTACCTTTTGTCTCCTTCCTCCTTTTTCCTTTTCCATTAAATTCCATTACTTTTCTTCTGTTTCATTAAAAAATATCCTATTGATTTTTAAATTAAATAATCTGCCAATTCTTATGAAAAAAAAAAAATGTTCTATGCATAAAACTTATATTGCAGATTTTGAAGTAAAGCTAATTCCAAACTGCTCATAAATAAATCGCTGCGCGTTGCGTGTAAGTGCAGAAAATGACAAGTGAAAACAACTAAAACAGCTACAAAGAACAAAATACCACCAATAAATTTCTGGATGTTATCGAAGAAAATCGCACAACTGAAATAATTATTTCGACAGTTTATTTAAGCAATGAATGAACAACAGCACTAGCATTCAAACTTTTTAGATCTTTATAAGTCTGTCCAGTACCAACAAATACAATTGGTTGTCCGGTAATGTATGTCATTGAAATTGCAGCGCCAACCTGAAAATTTCTTTTAATATTTCTCGTCCAACACATTATAAAGTTGATTAAACGGTCTGGGAAAATTTTATTGGCATTTAGAAAAAAAAAAATTGCCATAGAATTACTCCGCAGCTGTTTCGAATGACTGATATAAGCAATCAGTTAAAATAAATTTTGGAGCATAACGAAGAAAGTAAGTGAGCTTCCTATAACTGGCACATGAGTTTGCACTTACTTTATCATCGATGGTATCGAACTTTGTTAATACGATACCATCAATGAGTCGGCCCTCATCACCTAAAGCCGCATGGTCTGCTAATGACTGATTGAATTTCACCAACTGATCGACAGCTTCATTTCCAACCAGTGCTTCACCCACGAATAGTACTAAATCCGGCTGATTCACTTGAATCAACTGTAATAAAACATCAGTCTCAACATTTTTTCAAAAATCGATTTTATCTTTCGGCCTATATTCAAACAATGACCAGAAGCTTTCTGATCAAAAATGTTTCCAAAGAAAAATTAAAACAAAAACCTTAGCCAGAGAACGCATAAGTGGCTCATTGTCTTGCATGCGACCAGCTGTGTCAACCAACACTACGTCAGTTCCACGCTCCACTGCTGCAAATATCTTCGAAAACTAAGACTTGGAAACTTCATTCATTACAAACTGAAATCTTGACTGCAGAACATGCTCATGAGCGAACATGATGAAGCATTCGCTGAATGAGTTATCGGTTCGAAAAGAAAAGTGGCAATTTTGAAACATATCGCGATATCACAATTGACAATTCAGTGGAAACTTCACATCAAATTCACTTCAGCAAATGATTAAAAATGAACCGATAGAAATAGCAGCAGCAGCAAGGCCAGCAGGGTCCTTCCCATAACCTTGTTCGTACAACTGAACACTATTAGGATGCAAAGCATTAAGATGCTTTGTATGAGTTCGCAGTTGTTCCACAGCTCCTGCTCGAAATGTATCAGCTGCCGCAATTAATACTTTATGCCCTGAATGCACAGAAATATTTGTAATGTTAGAAATACCTTCTAATTAGACCTTGCTCAGTAAAAGACCAAATCTTAACCATTTTCATTTAACCAAAAAGTGATTTTTGCAAGATTTGTTGACTTTCCCACACCATTAACACCACAAAAGACAATTATGTATGGACGTTTCTCACGTTTCGCTTCAAGAATATCACGCAATATATCCACGCGTCGTTTGGGTGTAAGTAGCTATAAATATGTGATAATAATCCAAACAATATAGAATTATATAAATAATTTGAAAAAATTTGCGAGAATCCGTGTTAAATTTATTGCAATTTTGCTTATTATCTAATAATATGTTAAAAGAGCACTACATTCCGAGCAATTTCGATACATTTGTTGTATACACAAAAAACGTGTTATTATACCTGCACAAGAGCATCACGAACGGATTCTTTCACAATACTTGCAACACGGCTGAATGTCCCCACCACCTTACCTTCCAGTTTTACCTCTACCGACTGACAGAGTTTTTCTGCTGGATCAGCAGCAACGTTTTTTGCTTAAAACAATATAATCTAATTAATGTCCATTGTCAAACGCAATACCAAAATAAATCTTTAAAAAAAAAAAAAACCCTTCTGCAATTTTTCATTTCTACAAATTTTAACTTTGACACTTCTTGATTTCATTATCAATATATTTTCGTAGCTGAAACTATTCCAAAAAACAAAAAAAAAAAATTCGAAAAACTATTACATAGTCCTGATCTTCCTCATAAGCTCCATTCTTTAACGCCCATATCACATGACATCAACATTTATCAAAAGACAATTCCTAGCTTCAAACACACGTTCCAAAGTATTCATTGAATAACTCACCAATTAAAGTTTCCCGCATTTTATCCAGTACAGGTTTGATATCTTCAACCGTTAACTTCTTGTTTCCAACAAGTGAACGGAAAGCCGAAAACCAACCATCATGACCATTCTCCTCATTCACTTCATCATTCCTAAAAAGTAGGGTAAATAGATTTTCATCCAGAAATGCAAAGAATTCATTAAACTTAGAAATGAATCAAAATATGCTTAAATCTTTCTAGAAAATCAGCCTAAGTAATAGCAGCGATAGTGAAAGATTGAAGGCATCCAACGAAACAAGCAAACGAGATAAGCATCGTCACTAATCAATGAGTTAACACAGATTAATATATTTGATCAACGGATAAAAATATAAATAAATACTGAAATTTTAAGTATTCTAAGAATAATGATAGCAGTTGTCCAATAATCAAATGGCAGTTTAGATGAAGAAAAATTTCCAGTTACATCCAAACTGTCTTAGATTAATTTAAGGAAACTTCTAGCTAAAAATCTAGTTTAATTAGTTCCCAAATTTTGAAATTAACTTACATGTCTTCATTAACGTCCAAATCTTCATTCTGCTCATCGATTAGTCCTGGTAGCTCTCCTTTGAAATGACCAACAAACTGCATCTTAAAATACAATAACTACTAATTGGATCAACACTATGAGATCGCCAATTTAGTGGAAGTGTTCGGCGTTTATTTTTTTCATCGTTTTAGATGAGTTTTTATTGGTATAAAATAATTACCTGTTCCTCCACAAACTTTCTATCTTCTTGCTCGGTCATGTTCACAGCGTTATCACTTTTTCCCTTGCTGTAATCCAAAGAATCAATATCCGCCTTGACATTTCCAGAAAGATCCCAAACACGCGCCTGTTTACCTTTTTTCGATTCAACCGAAAGATTATTCTGTTTTTCCAGCTCACTTCTAAATAATTTTGAAAATTAACCCTCGCAGATTACCAAAATGTTTCGCAATGAAAGCGACCGAAAGAGTAACCTAAATTAAACAAAATTAAGTTAAATTATGATGCAAATACTAAATAACTCAAGTTGAGTAACAACTTATGCATAGCTAAAAAATGATCAGATACAACAATCGATAATAAAAAATCCTAACTTTTAAAATTTCAAATTAAATTTTATTGTATTTAAGTCGATTTGTTTCAATTAAAACAAGTTAGAACAAAACAATCCAACTTTTTTGCTCCCTTCTTTTTGAAAAACTCCACTCGTCGACGTTGCATTTCCTCTTTTTCAGTATCACTTTTCGGCGAATCAGATGTAACATCTGATTGAGGTGATTCTTTCTTCATTTCACTTAGAAAAAATCCGATTAGTCAGAAAGTGAATTAAAGCTAATTTAGTGGATTAAAGTTAATTTTTTTAAATGACCTCCAACAAAAGTTTATATGGCTGTAATCTATAAAGAAATAAATGTTGCTATATCTCTAACCAACCTAACGTCATAACCGTTCGCCAGTTTCGACCCATTTGTTTTAGAAGATATAACTTTTTCTTTGTTTTTATGCTTTAGCCGTTTCTGTTGCTCTTCTTTCTCTTTCAAGAGCTTGGCTGACTTTTCGTTGGGGCGTTCGATTATAGAAGCTATTGTTTTTTTAGATTTCTCGCTTTCCTGAACAAGATATAATATTTCTACAAAATCCGTTAAGTTTTGTTATCAAGTGTAAAAGATATAAGTAGACCACGTAACTGCATTTCGAAAATTTAGAAAACATATAACTATGGAAATTTACTGAACAAAAATAACGAACCTCAAATTTCCGCATTACTTTATCAGGTTGCTTGGTTGATAAAATTTGAGCTTCACGATATAATCTGAAAATAACAGTTTCAATTTAATCAACATGGGAAAAGGACTTAACCACTGTTTTACAAGTCATTAACAAAAGGGTGCTAGCAGCATATATCGCCCATTGAAATTCCGCACGCCTACACACTATGCCTGGAATTGTCTCTTCTCTTATCTCTTTTTCTTCTCAAAAAAATCGTTCTAATGTAACTCAAAGATAACCATTAACATAAGTAATCTTCTTGCATATAATCAGCTTGTAATCATGTAATCAAATATTAAATCATATTTATTACAATAAGCACGCTTCAGTTGCAGCAACAGTTTACTTAGTACTTCTTAGCAGGAAATAAAGAAAATAATCTTACCGCTGAAAAACATCGCTGAATTGCCTAAATGTACGAAAAGTTGATGAGAAAAGTAATTTGTTATCAGAAAGGACATTTTTGTACATGTCCCGGAATTTTTTGTGCACATCTGATAAAAGCTGATCTGTATAGGCAAGCTGAATAGCGCTTTGATAAACGACCTGAAATACGAGACCTGTTTAGTTTCCATTTCCCATCCTATTGTTATACCCTTTTTATCCCATCTATCAAAAACAAAAATAAGATGGAAAGGATTATTCAGTTTGAAAATGGTTTATCCAACTCGACAATATCCAGCTTCGTCTCACAGAGTTTCAAAAGATATTTTTCCTTTGTATTCTCCAAATCCTTTACAGATCACTTCTCACTTACTACAAATCATTTACAAAAACTACAGGATTTCCCCTGTTATGGAAAATTCTTATTTCTTCTAAACTACTAAGGAACACACTTGTTTTTCCTTCAGGATTTCTAGGTCATTTGAAACAATTCTTTATCTTTCCTTTTAAAGCTTCAGTTTTTCCAAACCATTTGAAAAAAATTTTCTTCCTTCTCGGTTTATATGTTACGAGTAATGGATTTCAATAAAATAGTATCACTGAGAGTAAAATGAGCGTACAATAAAAACAAGTTCGAATTCATTGTCCAATTTATATTTAATAGTTAAATCATTGTGCTTGAAAACTGTTGTATTACCACGTTCCTGAAATGAGACGTTTACTAGAACTGGGCAGTTATACAGTTCAAACATATACTTCAACAACCAATTATATTCCATGCAGTTAAGCTACAAAAAAGAAGAAGAAAAACAAATCATCTTAATGGATTTTTCATATTTCACAAATAATTCCTAAAAAACAGCTACTTGAGGGTGTTTTCAACAATGTTTTTAAATCTATCAAATTTCTGGATCCATTTTCCAATGAGTTAGCTTAAAAGCTTCATCACAAATTATTTGAAGCATAAGTAATAATAACAAAACTACAAATCACTACAAATTTTATCACTGTTTAGCTAGTGGACATAAAATCAAAAACGATAATGGAATAAATTCACTCATTTAGCATCTACTACCTTCATTGAAATTTCAAATCATTTCTAAATATGATTCTAATGTTATTTATAAATTTTTTGCAAAACGCATATCAAGAGAAATACAAGCTGATGTTAAAAACTAAGCTAACTAAATACAAAAACACTCTACAAAATCAAGCTGATATGTGATCTACGATTGCACTTCTTTTCATTTTTGGCAACATGAAGTTGCAGTTAACTAAATATTTCATCTAGTCTTTTTCATGAAATACCTCATTTTAACCCAATCTTTTACAAAATACATACATAAATTTATTTGTTCGTACTGTCCACCTAGCCACTTCTTTCTTGGCGAAATAACAAAGATCTAATTTGATATTGAAATGATAATGCACTTATTTTTCTTTCAGAATATACTTACGTTTTTCTCATTCATACTACTGATTATATCAAAGTAATAAGGATACACCTGCATCAGAACTTCCCTGATCAGCTGATTGATTGAATCAGTGAACAGCTGTCCTCCTTCTTGGAAGCACCATAACACAATACCACCTTTACCAAAAATTGTAAATAGTTCGATCATAATGACCTCACCTAAAAAGATTTCAGTCAATTTTAATGAAGAAGCACTTGCACGATTAACTGATACGATAAAAAAGTAAGATTAAACAGTTAGGTGAAACCAGAAATGAGGTAGTCTCAAATTACAGAAAAATATGAATGCTAGTAGCTTATTTAATGATTATAATGATATGCATATTTAGAAACGAAAAATGATTTCGAATTTTGTAGTTTACTATAATACACGTACTTCATGTCAAATCAGAAAATATTTAAAGATTAAATTATTTTCACAATTAATTCTTATAATTAAACAGTTACAAATGATTCGAATTTTATAAAAAAAGAAGTGATTATATAGTAAGAGCTTTTTCCTTTTTTTTTTTTTTTTTGGAAAAGTGATATAAAAACATGTGTCGATTATGAATAGTCAAAATGATCTCTGGGAATTTACTTTTCTTTTCACCTGTAAGTGAAAAGAAAAGTAAAACTAACAATGTCATAATTTGATAGACATCAAATTCAAGCAATTTCGATAATTTTTCAAAAATCTTACAGCAAATATTATACGAAATGGAATTAGAAGAAACTTTTGTCATTTCCTGGCAAAAAATTATCTAGCAACTCTTATCATTCTCTTATCACTCTTTATTTCCATAATGAAAAGAATACGAAAATGGCAATTATTTCCACTTTTTCATTTCTAATTTATTAAAGCAACCTTAACAACAACAAAACAGCCCAAAACTACCACTGTTAATTTAACTAATTAATCAGAAACACAATAGCGGCGTCCTACATTATACAAAAGATTCTCCGCTTCCTAACAATCTTCGTCTCTCCTTTTCCAACATGTTTCTCTAAATTTATCAGTCTCTGTCTCTCTTGATTGCTGCAATTTCTCGAGAACTTAGCTTGATTTAGTTTAATCTAACCTCAGACCAACTATTTTAAACATCGGAACACCAACGGTCGAGAACCAGATAGCCAATGATGTAATAAAAGCCTAATATTTGTCTGCGTGTGCGTGTGTACATGCACGTACGTATCCGTGTGTATCCACGTGTATGTGTATGTGTACTGGAATTATTCCGAATGAATGTATTTTAGTTTGTGCTTAGTTTGTGTTACAGCAAACATTTTTTATTCAATAGAAATACGTCTGATGCAATTCGAAACATCTACATAATTAGCATATTTTAAAAATGTAACATTCATGTTACAGTATGTATTGCAATCATTTTGTTTACTTGTTCACTTTTCATACGCTTTATTTGCACCGAAATCGATTAATAATAAGGCTAAATCGAAATTTAGAATGCAAAAGAATGGTTTGAGATGTTTTATTAAAATAATTAATTAATTGAAAGAAATGTATGCCATAGACAAAAACAATTTCTGTGAATTTTCCAATATCATTCAGATATTCACAGGGAAATTTAAATAATTATTTTGAATGGATACAAAAAAGGACATATATTAAAAACATCAGAAATGAATTAATAATGAGGATAACTAAATTTATGTTTGGAAAAGTTGACTTCGGTCAGACGACTTACGTGCGAGAAGCCCTAATTGCACACGAATAAATTATGAAAATAAATTAAATGTTAGTTTATGAAAAGCTTTCAGTTTTCAGACATAAAATGAGTAAAGATCTAAAAGAGATATATGCACTTACAGAACAACAACTTCTGTTAATTCAACGCTATTTTATGTCCGATACATCTGATTATGTCATTAAAAGCGGTATGCAAATTATTTTATTCGTATGTAAAGTTTTTTATCTACTTTTACTAATGAGTGTTTATTTTATGTATAAAATATAAGATATTTGATGCATTCTTCGTCATAAATCATATACAGCGTTGCTATATTATGAAGAATTTTAGAATCAAATATTGCCTTTAAACCACTTTCACAAATCGATCTAAAAAAGTGAAATTGTTGAAATTTATCACGTTGGACTTTTTAACTAGTATGTAAGGTCTGACTGAAATTTAATTTTCATCCAATATATGCGCAGTGTAGAGCATATATTGGGTGAAGATTTAATTTTATTTGCACAGAGCTTTTTTCATCTGTTTGCAGAATATGAAATATGTGGATTTGTACAAAACTTTTTCTCTGAAATGAATATTCGAACAATGCATATTTGAAAAAAAAAAAAAAAGAAAAATATTTCTCTGTTTTACATCTTTTTTTTTTGCTGGTATTTATAAAAAAAAAGTTCATTTTTATCACGCTTTTCCAGTTTAAGTGTCTGCCTCCTAAAATGTACTGTATAACTAGAGTAAATGAATTTTGCTTTTTTGAGGAATTTTGTTTAACAAGTAGACATTCAAGTAAACAATTGTGAATGGTAACATATTTTTTGTGATTATTTTGCAAGCAAAAATTAATTTTTTGAAATGAAGGAGTAATAGTTTTTACAATAGCCAATTGCTGAAAATTATGTTGGCATGAAGAAATGACGCTATTTTTGCTTTAATAACAGAAATTTTGCTTCTTTAGCTATCGAAGAATGGATAAGTGACGATGAAAATGATTCCAATGCTGGGATAGATACTGAGGATGAAGCCGGAATTGCTGATTGGACGGATTTCGGTTCATTTGATGTGATTCTTTTATACTAATTTATTCATCACAGTTCCTGAAATGGATTCTGAATTTTATCTAGCAAAATTATTCCCTAAACATGATGTCTTTTTTTATTTCACTACTTGTGCTACAATTTAAGGTTGACACTGACGATCCACGCCCTGCCCTCATCCGAAAGGAAAGTAAAGATTTCAAAAAAACTGCCAAAAATTCTAAGTGGTTACAAGGATCGTTGATTTCAGCCGTAGGTGAGTGTAAAGATAAGAGAAAAATATCGTCAGAAATTATTTATATTTTTTAATTAATTAGGAAGTTTTTGTAATTCTCAAAAAACTATTCTTTACTTGTCACGATTGAAAATTAGTGTGATTTTTCTGCTTTCACATCTCTGAAGAAGTTGTTTTTGGTTAGACTTCGATCAGAATAATTATTAGATTTATTTCTTCATCCCTCCGCCATGATTTTGGAAAAGAACTTAGTATTCTCAGCTATTAGTTATTACTGGTTTTAACTACATTTAATTGCAGGAAATATGGATTTACTAGTTTTTGCTCATGCGCAAAAGGTTGTTTCAATTGAAAAAAATCCTTCAGACAATACATTTCAAATAATTGCTCAGTTTAACACGGTTGATTCATCGTGGTCTCCTCCGGTATATTAATTTAAGCTTTGTATACTTTAACTTAGACTGGATGCAATCAACTTCCATGAATTCGAAGTTTCCAGTGAATGCAAATTTTTTTTTTTTTTTTTTTTTAAGGCTTATATTCGTTGTTTATGTGTTTTACCCCTGAGTTGTACAAGAAAAACGGAAACATCATTGTATGATTGGTCGGCAATTGTTGTTGGAATGAGCAATGGATATGTCCGTTTTTTTACAGAAAAAGGCTTACTGCTACGCTCGGATTACGTATCAGATAGGTAATTATTTAGCATTTATACATAAGATGAATATGAAAATTATAGAAGAAATCTATGGCTGATGAACAATAACCTGTATTCTTGAACGGAAAAAAATTGTAGATATTTTTGGACTTGAACATTTCAGGAGTAGTAAATATTTCTTTGAATACTGCAGTGAAATGAATTTAAGGAATTTATGTGCCGACTTATTTCTCCATCTTCATATAAGCTGTCGATTTACAGCCCCATCGAAGAAATTCGTCTTGGGAGATCGGTGATGGCTGGAAATCAGGAATTAGCGATATTGTCGCAAACTGATTTGACATGTATTGAAGGTCTTTCACTATATGCAGCATTAAAGGCAGCGAAAAATCAAGTATGGTTTCAAATTTTTTTGTAGCTGTTTTTATTTTTTAGTAAGACGCGGTTTCTTTTCTGCTTATATGTCATTAGTTTTATTCTTCGTTAGGTCATTTAGTAGATAACTTTGTAGCATTTTATTTGCGCAGGGCAGCCCATCTCATCGGTATCCTCGTTATTAATTTTCTTGAGATTTATTCATGTAATTTGGTATCACTTGTTTGTTGATTGTCTTTGGTTATTCGCCATTTAATTAATGATACTAAAGGAAAGGATACAGTTTTTAAATGAATGTGTTTCTGATACAGTTTTCAAATGAATCTATTTCTGATGTTGGATAAAGACTTAACAAATCAATTTTCCTTTCTTTTAGCTTGCCTGCGGTGAGATGGACGTCGGGAAAGTAGCAGCTCATGCAAAGTTAAACGTTGAAAAATTGAAGTTTGAATCTGGAATAAATGTGGTCGATTTCGGTATTTCGGGTCCTTTGAAAGCAACTTGGTTTGATCTTCACAGTGCCGCAACACTTTCGCCTCAGGGTTACAAGGTAGAGACTGAAACATGTTGAACTTATTTTGCATTTGTCGGCAGTGGCGTAATTTTGGATATTTTCTAATAATTTATTTAGTTCGCTAAAATTTTTTGAAATTGCTTCTTTGAAATTCTATTAATTTAATATAATAATTGATGCCTAATGTTAAGTGTCAGGTGCTTGATTTATTTTAGTGATCTTGAGACTTTCAGGCTAAAATAGAACGCTCATCACTTCCGGTTTATTCGACGTATGTTTTTGTTGGCCGATCACCCTATGTGGGTTTTGGATGGCATACACCAGGCGCTTCGCAAAATGTTTTAAGTGATGCTTTATATGCTCTTGGAAATCAGGTATATAAAATTTCAATTTTTTCTGGTGAATGGAAAATGAAGGAATCAAAAACTGAAGAGACTTTTTATGGAACAGTCTTTTTTGTTTTCTTTTTCTTTTTTATTTTTTGCTACTATACAGTTTTGAACTGAAGACATTGAACTTTGGAAAAAAGCATATTTTAAGCTTACATCGTCTGTTGCATCGAGCATACCATCGTTTGGCATACGTTCATTTCTGGGTATAGGCACATCCCGGAAAGATCGTCAACCGATTGTCGAAATTAAACCCAGTGCGGTGATACCAATGCGCTCATCAATTGTTGATGGCAAGCGTGAAGGTGAACGCATATATATGGCACCAGGAAAGTATAAACTTGCTGCAGTTACGGATTCGTTAGCTCGTGTAGCCTTAATTGATGTTAGTGATGTCGCTTATCATTCAACTCTTCATAAAAGTGTTTAATTTACAAAAATTGCTCTTAATCATTTTACCGAATTATTTCCATAAATTGTAAAAGGAATTTATGTGTGGAAGTGAATAGATCACAGAAATGTAAGGATTTGTGAACGATTTATAGATTAGGACTCGTCATATGGTACGGATGTGGAAGGGATATCGTGATGCACGTTGTGCTTGGTTGGAAGGTATGTCCACATTAGACCGGAAGAAAAGTAGATATGAACTTGAAGTACAACCGTCGACGACTTTATTCCTGGTAATATTTGCACCACGGCGTGGTTTGCTTGAAGCATGGAGCATGCAGGTATTGTTCAGTTTGCAAATTTTTGATGATTTTTTTCATTCTGTAAGAAATCTCACGAGATATATTTTTTAGGAAAGGCAAAATTTATCTCTCAAACCTGTCTTTATTATAGCTTGATTGGATTTATGACTTTATTTCAAATCGAGATAGATTACTAATTTGACTTTTTGATTTTTCCTTTACCGATTTATTTCAGGAAACTTTTATGTATCTGATGTAGTAATTTCGTCCTTTATTTTCGGCTAAAGTAATATGTTAAATTGCATCTGTTGTTTTTTTTCCAACTTTTTTCAAAAAAATTCAGAATGGAAGGCGAGTTTTTGCATCTACAGTGGATCGACATGGCCGATTAATTGGTATACCTCGGCTCAGCGACCATTTATTAGGTTTCGATGAACGGGCTTCATCACATTTGCCCTCCGTTTTTTTTCTATCGTCGAATGGAATGATTTATGTAAGACATATTTGACACATAACTTATTTTAATGCAATTAAATTTAAAATGCAATACCATATATTTTAAGCATCTGCGGATTCCCTTTCATCGTGCTTTATCAGACGAAACTGATTCTGCTATTCATGATTCAAGCATTATCAAAGAGGTTAGTACATACTGTAAATCTGTTTCCAAGCATACTGTTATTTCATGAAGATGAAGGTATGCTATTTTAATTTACCTTTTTTTTTTTTTTTTTTAACTGCTATCTCAATCGCCGGTGTGGAAGATGACTGAAATTGAAAAGTTGACTTGAAACGACTGAAGTTGAAATGACGGGAACTGAAAAGTTAAAAACTGGACAAACATAATTTCCATCTCCTCTATTAGATGAGGAATGAAGATTGAACTATGATTAAATCTTGGCAACTCTGATAAGATTTATTGGTATCTGAAAAAATGACGCGAAAGCATGAAAAAACAGGAGAAATCTCGAAAAGATTGAAAATCCTGATATGCGATGCAGATGAATTTCAGATTAATCAAATGATGAAAGATGGCATTGTGGAAGATTTTTCAACTTGGTTGCAGTTTTTCCGAGCCCTAAAGACTACTTCTGCAATGAGAGAAAGTATTGATATTCTATGCCGAGATTGTGACGTCGACTGTTACAAACTTGGCCTTATTATGGCTTCCGTTTTACAACATGTGGAGAGTTATCATGCTGTGGTTTGGATTTTGCACTATTTATAACTTTAATGTTTTATTCTTTTCTATTTTTAGATGTTTGCTTTATTTTGATCATCATTTGTCGTTTTTCTTACAATTTAACAAATAGCTTCCATTTTTCAGCTTTTTTTTTTTTTTTTTTTTTTTTTAAAGGAAATACGTTTTTTATGTAAAGCTTTGAATTTTTTAAAAGTTTTATAATCTAATTTCTTTTTTTTTTTTTTCACATATGTAATTAAAAATTTTGAAAATTTTGATTCTTCAGAGACTTTCCTTGTTTCTATCTATCGTATATTTTATCGTATATTTATGGATAATAACTGCTAGAAAATTAGTAACGACTAGAATTGTTAGCTTTATTTAATAAATTTATTTAATAGAATTGTTAGCATTTTTTATTTTCAGAAGAAATCTCCGGATAGTGATAATTTGGTGACTTATGCTGCTGCAGTTTCACAGTTGCTTGATGTTTATATATATTTGCTTAAAATAGACAATGAAGAGCCGAACACGACCAGTGAAGAATGTGAAAATTTTGATATTGCTGAAATGCTCTTCATTGATAAAGAAATGCTGAATTTATGTCTGCAGCGAATTTCCGAGTATGTTTACACTAAGTCTGTGTTATTGTAGAACTTACAAAAAAATAACTGTTAAATTTTATAACTGTTAAAATTTTATAGAATTATGACTAACAGCTTTATTTCTTCGTTGGATATAATGATTCTCTATGTTCTGATTAATTGACTTGACCACTGAAATGATCAATGATTTCAGTTTTCTAAAAAGAATTAAATATTATCCTTTTTTACTTAACAATCAGGTTGCAAGATAGATTTCCATATATTATATTTTACAAGAAGTATAGCAAATATTATATGGATAACTGTAATTAAATTTCCTTCAGGTACCGTACTGAGAATGATTCTACAAAAGAAAGAAACCTCACATTTGCTGCATTCATATCACATTTTGATTTGAATCAAACAAGTATGGCATCATCAAATCAAAAAAGATTGAAAAACAAGTAGTTTTTTTGCATCGATCATTTGAAACCGATTGAATAAATTTATTAAAAGTGATAGATGATGGATCAGTTTCAGATTGGTCAAGAAAACTGTTGCATTCGGCGATCTTCTTTTTAATGGTGTATTGACGGGACGTTGTACAATTCAGCACTTTGTAAACCATATAATACCACTACTTGGCTTATCAGAAGTAAGTTCTCATTGCATATGAGGTGAATAATCTTTGTGTTTTTTTAAATTACTCTTCATTGATAATCGTTATAATTAAAATACTTCCGAAATAACATAATGATCCCATGAATTTTTCCACCGCTCATCTGTATTAATCAAGCATGATAGGATTATGCGACAATGTAATTTGATCATTAGATGTTAAAACATAGCACTTTTTTAGTTTTCCTACTAATCAAATGGTAATGTGTGTACTTCAGGAGGATTTTGCGGATGCATTTTGTGCGTATTGGCTGAATCCATGTGATGATTTCGTTCATCATTTACCACGTGTTCTAATTCTCTGTAAGCATTTACCTAAATTTGATTCTTATGGACGTTCTTGGTTAAACAAAGTGGAACGAAATATTCTTAACAGGTTCTCATTTTTTATTTTTTGGATTATCATTTTCTCAATCAGGTTTGTTACAATTTATTCGCAGAATGATAATATATCACTATTATGAGCAGTGTATAAAAGTAATTTTTCATTGGTAAATTTTTACATAATATTTTCAGCCAAGAACTTGGTGCAGCTTTGACATTATGTTTGGTTGCACGAGCAGTCGCACACACTCAAAAGCACGTATCATCAAACGAAGTTAGTGTTTTGTGCTCTATATTTATAAATAAAAATATGTGTAGAACTGGTTGAAAATCGATTAGGAAACGATTTGACGGGAATAATTTAATACAAAAGTGAGAAAAAAAAAAAGGAAAAAGTATGGAACAAATTATGTATGGAAGAAAACATGCTACCATGAATTTTACATGTTATTTAATAATAAATCTGATATTTTAGATGAGCACTAACAGTGAATTGAATGACGAATCATATCATGAGGATTGGGATAAGGTGGAATTAACGTTGGAATGGTGGGATCTGCTTTTAAGACATTTGCACTGCATGATTATTCTTAAAGCATTACCTGGTAACTTACCAATCTGTCTTTCTGATTTAATTAATGGTGGTCCAGCTTATTATAGAGAACAGGTATTTCGTTTTAATCTTTAAAAATTCATTAAAGAAATATAAAAATTTTTCAAAATTAAAATTCTAATTTGCTGTGTTGTTTAATGATAATTTGGATCGGTGATGAAAAAGACGTGTCTAACAGGTGGGTAATTAGTAGAGGAAAAAAAAAAGAATCCGTGTATGAAACAGTTCCTAGATTATGACTTTTTTTTTGCAAACTCTAATTGATTTTAAAATTCCAGATTGGTAGCTGGTCAGCAGGATTCAACTTAGATCCGGAACATCTTTATGATATTTTTGATAATCCGACGGTAGTAAATTCTAAAGTAAAGTGGGAAGTTACAATTGCTGAATTGCGTAAATTGTTTCCAATAAGTCTTTCACCTGAACTTGTCGTATCTGATTGCGCTTGGGAATGTGTTGGTGCATGGAGGCGCCAAAAGGAGAAGAATGAAGCTTACAAATTGTTAGAAGTATGAATTCTCTATATAGCTTTGTTATGTATTTCCTTTTCTATCATCTCTTTTTCTTTTTTTCCTTTTGAGTAGATTACAAAACAACAAATGCATTTTTGTTTTAATTTTTTTTTTTTAACCTTAATGTAGATATTTTGTTTTCATAACTATATCTTGCTTTACTTAACCGTTATCTTTCTATACTTCTCATTACTTTTTTCTTATTCTGTTCAGTTATATTAGCGACTATATGTATATGCTTACTAATTCTGTTGATAAAATCAAGTAATATTTTTATATTTTCCTTATGTGTTTGTTCTTTTCAGAAAGCGATGAAATTTGTTGAACTTTTGGGTGAAAAAGGTGTATTGCAACACGGTATCTGTTTTATGTTATGGGATACATTTCTTCGTCATCCTTTTCGATATATTTACGACTTTCTAAATCGGAAATCGTCGAGGTTCAAAAAATTGGAAGATTGCCGAATAGATCTGGCAAGTATTTATTTGTAAAAGTTTCTGAATTTTTAAAGTATGTTTAAAAACCGTAGCTAAGCAACATAAGTTTTGGGAAACGCATATATGAATAGTTATGAAGTCAGCAAAAACATAACATGTGTGACATATCATGTTCTTTTGATATACTGTCTTTGACTCCGAAAAAATGATCTTCCCATCTTTGAATTTCTTTGTGCGTGTTAGACTCTGTCATACTGACTGTAAAATTTAACTTTTTATCTATCTACTTCTTTTCTTTTTTCTTCATGTAATTAAATTGCATAAAAAGTTCTTTGAAAAAATAAATGTGTTGCGTTTCAGGAGCATTTTCCTTACTGCTGTACAAAGATTTTGCGATTGTTGCGAAATTCTGTAAAATTTGCAGAAGCATTGGATGCAAATGAGGATTCATCAAGTGCTTCGACAGTCTATAATTTATTTGAAGATTTTATTGAGGCAGTGTTTGAATTTCAGCGGCGTAAACAAACAAAACCAAAGTATGCTGCTATGAATTTGCGTAATTATACGTAATTCAATTATCTACTGAGTAAATGAATTGCTAATGCGTTTTCTGAAATTGTTGCTAGGTAAATAGTTCAAATATAAACTTTCAGAAGAAGGATGAAAAGCCTTGATGTCATTCATTTTTTGGTATATTGGATTTTTCGGTTCTAGAATTTTTGCTATCTAGTCATAGGGATTTATAATCTGCCAATAGATATTTGTTGCATTAAGCTAATTTTAAGTACAAATAAATAGAACATGTTTAACATGATACGATGAACACCCCACAAATTTATCCACATGTGCAAATTTCGTCCTTTTGGAATGCAGGTGTGTCATTCTGAATAGAAAAAGAACATTTATACAATTTGAAATATCAAAGATATTATTTTCAGACATTTCGCTGTTTATACATTTTTCAGAAAACCGTTAAGTCTCATGGCTGGACTTCAAAAACCGGTGAATTATCCGCTCGTTTGTCATCATCATGATCTTGCTATGGTGATCGAGTTGCAGGTATATTTACTTATATAGTTTTATAATGAGTGATAACACAGTTGAAGAGTTCAACGTTAAGAGTTTTACTTGTTTTATTACAATTATTTAGTTGTAGCACTTGAGTAAAATAAGAGCAGAACACAGAGGATGTATAATTTTGGGTAAGTAAATTCTTCTTTTTTTTTTAGTATTTTTAGAATTTTTCTAAAGTGAAAGATCTTCAAAACATTCTGATTTTTGATATCATTAATTCAGTAAAATATTTCTCCTAATACATCGAAATAATTTGATTTAATCAGTGATAAAGGAGATAATTGTTAGTCGCTGAACTTGAAGTTTCAATCTATAAAATCTGCAGGTTACTCTGGAAGAATGGCCTCCAGGACCAAAATATTTGTTCGATTCAATTAGTGAACGGGCATTTTTTGAATCATTTTATGCTCATCCATTAATTCCAATGGAGAGTGTTACAGAGAGTATTAGAGAAAAGAGAATGGAATTCTTAAAGAAATGTGTCTCGCACAATGGTTCACCAGAATTTACCCGTCACTTACGTTTTCATGTTTATGACTTAGCTAATGATTGGACGCTTAGTGCTGACGAAATCAAGAGCAAGGTATAGTTTCGAGCTTTGGAAATGTTTTAAGTAAGAGAAAATCCAAAAGTGTTGAAGCATGATTATTAATTTATGTCAGTTTTACAAGTTTTCCGAAGCGAACTCAGAAAACTTGCTGTCTTTTAATGAAATCTTTTAATGAAAATTCCTTTGAGATAAAATCACTGCAAGATTTTCAGATTTCCATCATTTCAGGAAGTTATTGCTTTATTTCAAAAAGGCCTTGATAGTGAAGCAAAAGATGTCTTAAGAGTTATGGAAAATATGGAACTTCTGCCTTATGAGCTTTTCGACGTAGCTGTTGCGCGTGTTCGGAAATGGTTTGATACAAATGAAAAGGAAGATCTTATGATGCGTGGTTTAAGAATGTCATGTATGGATAATCGGTAAATGGATTCATTAAAACAGATAATTTAATCTTAATTGTAAGATATTTTTAATAGTTATTGTACTTGCTATCAAAGAGTGATTGAAAATTTCAGTTTCTTTATTGTGTTCAATGGAGCACAGATTCGCGAAGATATCGTATATGTTAAAGCAGATCTTGAAAACTTGAGTTTATATTGAGATGAGGATCAAATAGGCACCTTTTGTCATGCTACGAATTGAAGAGCTCTTCAACTGATTTAATATATCCAAGCCGAAGCTTTGAAATTCAAATTTGTTTTTGAAAATTTTTTTTTAGGATGATGAAATATATCCGTGAATCAAAAATGGAAGTTGTTCTGGTGCCGCCGGATGATATTAAGCAGCTAATGCTCCAAGTAAGAATATGTTTAGATCGTGTGCAGTTGAGTGATCAAGCAGTTAAAACTGATTGCCTTGCTCGTGATTTCGAAAAACTTATAACAATGATTCAGTAGCTATTTTTGTTCTTTATTTGCACAGATGTCATTTATTATGCTGCTATTTTATTTGTTACGAAAAAAACCGGATGAATATGATTTAAACTTAAAGATGTTTTTATAACCGATTCTGAATATTTCTGAAATTCGTTTATTCTTGTCATAAGCACTTCTGTGGAATTTATCAAAAAAAGAAAAAATCTTACTTTTTTTTTTTGCAGGTTTTATATCTCATATGAAAATAGCTTGATCCGTTTAGATTTTCGAAAAATTTTCGAATTTTCATCCCAAAATTTGTAACCTTTTTAAATTTATCATAATGCATAGATTAGTGCGACATTGACCTTTAGATAAATGAGTGCTGAAAAATGTGCATGATACATTTTAATGTATTGCTCAGTTGTTGGGCAATCACAATAATGAGTCTGAATATGAAGAGAATAAAAATTTGAGGTATTTTGGTTTTTATTTTAAATTCCATTAAATGATTGTTATTTCTGGATTTTGTTTATTCATCAGGATGATTTACTGAATTTTTAAATCTCTTTTCTAAAATTTGATTTTTGTTGCATTGTAAAACCCAAGCACTTGATCTGTGATTTACTATTTTTACTATTTCTACGGGTCCTTTTTTTGTACTGAACTGCTAGGAAATTATCGTTATTTTCTGAAAATTGTAAATATTTGAATAATTTTGCTATTATAAGCATTGAACGGAATGAACATTATAAGTGAATTAAAGAACTTACAGTTAACGAAATAAAATGAAATTTTCGACCATCATAGACATTACGATTTCTAATTTAGGTTTTAGTGAAAAAAAAATATTTTGACACAAACGCATCCATGCATACAATATCTGTATTCTTGGCTCTCCGAATCAGCCTTCACATCTGCAAAAATTCTAAATTTTTGATTAGAGTGATTATTATTTACTTAATATAATTTTGATATTTGCTTGATTTGGTACATATTTTGGTTTCATTCATCAAAATGTTATTTTCATATATTTAATATATTATGCAAATGTAACGTTTTGAGATCAGTGATTCATCTTATTTCCCCATTTGCATAGTTTTATGTTTTGAAAGAACATCTGATTAAATATTCTTTCTGTACTTTGCGCATATATTTATAGATAGAAGTCGTTTATATTTACATATATAAAGAATGGTGTTGAGCATTATTCATTTGGTTATAACGTATTTTTATTTCTTCATTGTTTTTAAATTTTTAAATATTTCAAAAATTTTCAGGACTTTCAGGAATGTGCTACCATAATCTGTTAGTTTATTACCTATTGATTGTTAGTCTGATTCCAAAAGTTTGATAATAGTGTCCCTAATACAACAATAACTGATATTTATTTCTAATTCTGAATCAAACGACTAATGATATGATTGTTAGAATTAAATCCTAAAATCATTTAATATTTAGCAAAATACGATATTAAATGAATCGATCATTTCTTATTCCCAACTTCTTATTTAAAAAATTTTGCAAAATTCATCTCTGTATTGTTCCATTTTATCCAAAGATTATAGATCATTTTTATGTTGAATTGATAGGAATCCTCATGTTTGATTCCTTCTTTATTAGTCAATAATTGCAATGCTAGTTTATCTCTTTTGAACTTTTTATTATAAGGAAAAGAGAGAGAAAGAGAGCGAAAGGGAGGGAGAAAGAGAAAAAAGGAGGGGTGAACTCATTATATGTGTATGTGACCTTTATGTGACAGTAATTACATTGGTGTCTGAGGTGAAGAGAAGGTGATGTTGAAAGGTTTTGCAGAATAGGATGAAGAATTAGAGGTACTTTACTGAATGGTTAGTATATGAGTGCTTATCATCAAATGAAATGAGGAAAATGATTTTGGATGACGAAGATTTTAATCTAATTAGATGTTTTAAATTGTTTCATTATTTCTTTGAGAAAAAAATCAGTAACCTTTTTTTTTTTTATGTACGATAAATTTTTGTGCAAAAAACAAACGAAGTAGAAATCATTTCATTCATTCATTATTCGTATGTCAATTATGTGTGTGTAACTGTTTGTTTGAATAGAATTTTAAAATTTCATTATCTATAAGTATTTTCTGTATAAATCCAAGTTTAATTCTTCGTTTCATTTCTTTCTTATTAATTCACACAAATAAGCATAGATAATTCGCTAAGTGATTTTATTGATTACCAGCAAAGGTCATCATTTCCAATCGATTTTTTTTGTCACAAAAATCATAGATCAGTCATATCTGTTGCAATTCTGTTTACTTTATTACACGCTGTTCCTCTGACAAATCCATCTTCTCTTTTAAATCTTTAATTTTCCACTCTTTTCTGAATTTTTTTTTTTTTTTTTTGCTTGAACGTATTGTTTATTCCATATTGTTATTTCTCATCGATTTTATGTTGATTTCGATATTTCTTTCAAGTATCTTCCATTCATCGACAATTTTTTTTAAATAAAATGTGTTAAAGATTGATTTTGTTTCATTTCATTGTATATAAAATGAAACATTCATTTATTCATTCATTTTACTTATATCTTATACACATATTGAGATGTGATTGTATATGTCCGTTCGTTTGTCTGTCTCTGTCTGTTTGTGCAAAATGAATTAAAATAGTTTTTGTTACATAATGTTCATTGTTGATAAGATAACACTTACGTTGAGTTATAGCTTTGTTCATTTTTTAGCTAGCTTGATTATTAGTTGGATCAATTTAAATTTATGTATGTGCATATGTGTGTGTGTATGTGTATGTGTATGTGTTTGTGAATTACAAAATATTAGTGTTAAAGTTGATAGGAATGCTGAACTGCTAGCTAGTTATAAGCAGTATATAGTTGATGAATGAAAGGAAGAGCACTGATGGCAGGCATCTCTTTATTTATTTTTCGATCCATTTTAAACAGCTGCCTGAAATAAAATGAAGTATTTCATTTCATTTTATTTTATTTGATTTCAAGCTTCTTTCAATATTTTCCAATGAAGTTATGCTATATGATAGTATATATTTGTCTTTTTCTTGTATATATTGTAGAATTATTGTTTTTTTTTTTAATAAATTATGATGGGTTTTATCATTGTGTCCTCATCTTTTTTTTCTTTGATTCATTTCAATTTTATTTTATTACTGTATAATTGTGTGTGTACAAATATTAATTATATTTACATTCTTCTTATCTCTTTTTCTTCTCTTTCTCTCTCTTTCCCTCTCTCTTTTTGATAAAAAAATTGTTTTATTTCTAATATTTGTTGAAAAACCAAAAAAAAAAAAAGAAAAAAAATTTTTTTTTCTTTTTTGGTACGAAATAGGAATTTTCTTTTTTAAGATTTATTTTGATTTAAAATGTAAAAGTTATGAAATGAATTTAGATTTAAGAATGTGATTAGTTACTTTTTAATAGAATTTGAAGTAAGTTTCCAAAAAGGAAAAATCTTTCATGGGGAAAAGGTTATGTTTTTAGATTTTTTAAAGTTAATCTTAAATTTTTAAAAATGACAACAATAAACAAATAATAAAATAAGGTGTATACATGGAAATTTGAATAAAATATGTAATACTGAAAGCGAAATTTAAGTAATTTTGTAATACTTAAATATAATTCCATTATTATAACATCTTCTGTACAGTTCTATATTCAATCGTTCTTATCGTTTTCATTAATATTTATAAATAATTTTTTGAACCTATCAAAATGTATGAAGTATAGTATATGGGATTTGAAAATATTTCAGTTGTTATATTTGAAATACTTTTTTTTCCTTCATTAGCATAATTCATCGCTTACTGAATGGCATGTAATTATTATGAATAGCTTAAAAGACGATGAAATTTGGTAGGAAGAGAAGACGAAGTATTGTATTTTTAAACTTTTCTCTGTCACTTTTTTTTCTTTCTTTTTTTCTCGTTTTTCCTCATGTTTCATCATTTGCTGTTATCTTTTTCATCATTATTTCTTGTCTAACTTCATCGTTAATCAGACATATTGTATCATATCGTTTTGTTAAAATTTAAAATTATCATTTAATGTAACGAGTTATTTTATTGCATTCAACTAATTATATCGATAATTTTAAATCTTCTAATTAAGAATTATTTATAGTTCTTTTTTCCTTCTTTTTTTCTTTTGTTTTTTCTATAAAACTTAGATATTATATTAGCTTTTCATTTATTATGCACTTTTTTAAGGGGAAAATTTTTATTCGTTTTTATGATTGTTTTTGAATGAAATGTATAAAAAGTTATTTATGAATGATTTTTAGCTATTGATAAATTATTAAACAATGGTTTATCTCTATGCAAATTGATAGTTATTGTAGTATAGTCTCATTTTCCTTTTACGAAATAGGAAGAGAGAGACAATAATAAAGAAAGCTGAAGAAATTACTCGTAAATCTGTCTGGCTAAAAAAATTGAATCGTTTTCTTCTTTTCTTTTCTTCTTTTTTTTCTAAATTTCAGATAGTTATTGAGGAAAAAGGAAGTTTTTCTACATTTTATTTTACTTTTTTTTTTTTTTATAAAATCATGTGTTAACTTTTTTTATTCTTCCTTTTTGCGACAATACGGATAGTGCCTACACATCCCTTCCATTTCCGTTTTTCAACTCATAAACAAAAGTAAGCTATCAAATATATAGGTAAATTAAATTTGAGTATTACTTAAGTTGAGATATTACGGGAGTAGTTTAAGTTGGAGTGTTTCAAGTATCTAAGTTAAGTATACATTATCTATTTGTTTTTTTCCGACATGTATTCCATCATCATTCTACTGTTATCTTTTTCTTTTTTTCCAACTTTTTCTTTCTCATTATAGTTTATATATCTTTTCATCATTTTTGGTTTTTTAAAGTCGTTTTTAACTAAAAGATTTACAATTTCTAATAATTATGGTTAAGAATAATGATTAATTTATTATTAAAAAGAATATTGAAAAGTTTAAAGTTTCCAATGTTATGCCTAATTTTAAAATTAGCCTCATAATCAACTCTGTGTATGTGCGCTTTTATCGGTGTTTGATTAACAAATTTTAACAAAATTGCTTGGTAAATTCAGAAGAACATTTCAGTATCATAGATCAATTTCAGTTGTTATACATGTTTTATAAGTCATTTAGTTGATAATAAGATACCATACAATTCTTATTGTCACTTATAAACTTATTATCGGTATATTTTGAATTCTTTTTATAAGCTATGAAAAAAGTATGTTATTTGATAAGTTATTATCACTAACTGTTAATCATTTGTAACAAATAATATCCACAATAAGCATGTGGATGATTAATTACGAGCCGATGAATTGTACGTTTCCTAAGCTATTTCTTAATTAGTTTCTTACATTATGTAAACAATAGTTTGCTTAGCATTTAATTAATTTTTTCTAATAACTTCTATGTTTAATTCTTTCTTAAAATATTTATTAAATATTTGCAAAAATTTTTTATAAATAAATGTATATATAATATTAATTATGTTCAATTAAATAGTGGTTAACTGTATTAATTGCTTAACTGCGTCTATCGCAGCATATTTTTTCTTTGATAATGACTCAAATTATGTATTTTTTTATAATTTAACATTGATAGTATATGCCATTTATTATTGCCTATTGTTATTTTGCTTTTTTTTCTTAATAAATAAACTTTATAACTTTTTTTTTTCAGAATAACTGTATTGTAAAGTGAACGAAAATGCCGCTTCCACCTGCGGTCGATAAATTATTACAAGATGTGGATAAAAAATTGCATGAGGACAATGCTGTGACGAATTTGTTGGCGCAAATTGAAGCAAAAGCAGGAATTAAGCGATTACATCTTGTACTTGGTTAGTTTATATATATTCTTGTACTTGGTTAGTTTTAGTTAAAAGTGCTTATAAGGAAAATTTTATTGTTGTCTTGATGATATTTTGTTGATGATTTATTATTTAAAATGTTGTCGAGAAGGAAACACATTAAATGCTTAAATAATAAAGTTTATTTTGTATTAAAATAATCATTATATGACTAAAATCTTTTTTCTTTCTTCCATTATTTCGTTTACCAGTGATAAGTTTCATTTCCAAATTCAGTGTCTGAGAATTCTCTATATTTTTTTAATTTATATTAAAAATTTTAATTTTTATGTCATAATTCTTATCTGATTACGATAATCTCAAAAAATGCTCCCAACTTCTTTTTTTTAGAAACTGATTAAGATTAACCTTGTGCTATATATGTTAACACGATATTTATCAAACAAAAAAAAAAAAAAAGAAGAAATTTCTTTAGGTTTTGTCGGAATTCATGCTCTGTATTTGATATTTGGAGCTTTTGCTGAACTTTTGTGCAATATTATTGGCTTTGTCTATCCGACATATATCTCGTAAGTGTATCTCCGTGCTTTCATTTCTTATTATAAATGAATAAGACAATAATGATGTTTAGAATTTGTGAAATGACTGCTAGGCAAGCTGACTTATTCAAATAACTTTGCTAAGAGGATTATTTTAACAAATCAGTTTATACTATTAGTCATTTCATATACTAATACAATGATACATATGCTAACTGCTATTAGTGTAACAAATCTTCTATTATTTGACACTATTGGATGTAGCCTTTACACTAACTGACGTAAAACGATAGAATATTTGTTGTCAAATATTCCAGTTTAATCACTTTTAATTTAGATTATCCGTAATTCTGATCGTTTAGTTTTCTACATCCAACGATATTCTTTTTGTCCTTTTTGCCTTGTTTAAAATTAAATTTATTGCATTTGCTTATTTTTTGAGGGAAAAAGAGAGGGAGAAAGAAAGAAATATAAGCGGAACTGCTTGTAGGCTAATTTGTAAAATAATTTTGGGATTGCTTATGTGGAATAGAATTATATAGTTTGAAGAAAGTGAACAACTAAGTTTTATCAAATATCGGTTTAAATATCGGATGATATTGAGCTTTTTTATTTTGTAAAGTGTATGTAAAGCGAGAAATTGAGGTAGCTATAGTGTCATCAACAAATTGATTTTTTTAGAATCAGATCAATCGAAGCTTATCATAAGGATGACGGCGCACAATGGCTGACCTATTGGGTTCTCTTTGCATTGTTCAGCATCGTAGAACACTTTTCGGAAACGTTCGTAGTATATTTCCCGATCTATTGGCTTCTCAAGGTATATTTTTTATTCCAATTTTTAAAAACTGTTTTCTGTTACTGATTTCTTATATAAAAATCGTTTTTTCTTTGGTTTTGCTGTGTGGAAATTAGATATTTGAGTGATATTAGATAGGAGATGTATTTTAAAAAAATTTAAAAATATGAAAGTGACTATTAAGATATTTAACTGATAAAAAGCTGGTGTTACCAACCATTAAGTTATTTGACATTTTTAAAGATTCTAGACTTGTTGTGCTTATGATATCAAAATAGTATTAGATTAATTCGAGATAACTATTTGACTTTTTATGCATTTCTAAAATGATGTTAGGTTAATTCATGTTCGTTACATTAGGTTTTAAAATATAGAAGCTGTCTGTTTGATTTGGCACATGGTAATAATCCTAATATAATATATTGTTAGGTTATCCTTTGTTTAACATCTGAGACATCATGAAAAGTACCGATTTAGAAAAATATGCATAACGACTAAAGTTCTATCCCGTATGTAATTAATCATTTGCCACAGCTTGTTCTGCACTTAATTACTTTTGTTAGAGTAAATTTCTTGTTTTATTTAGGGAAAAAACATGCGTTTTTAGAAAAATTGTTTTTTGTCAAATTTTACTTTTATTACAATGCTGTGATGTTTGGAAGTGCAATGAAAAGATTTGTAATGGAACTATTTCCATTTGATAGCTGATTCGCTTTATAGATTGAGTATATGTTAATTTATATCTTTTAGTACTTCAGTTTCTTCTTTTTCAAGAGATTGAAAAGATTTTTTCTCAGGTTTTTTTATTTTGTTTTCAAAAAAATTTAAATAAAGCAAAATTTTCTTTAATTATAGTGCGTCTTCATGTTATATTTGTATTTGCCAATGACAAGAGGTGCGCAGAAAGTTTACTATCGCTTCATACAGTCATTTATGCAAAAACATCAATCAGCTATTGAGAAACAAATGGGTCGTATGACTGAAAATTTGACAAATAAACTTGATGGTTTGCTCTTTCTTTTTCATTTAATAATACTATCATTCTTCTTTCTTTAATTGAAAGGATGAGAGATAAATTAGTGTTTTTGAATTATTTGAACAAGATTTTAAATTACTTTCTCCCAAAAAAGATTTTGAAAAATATTGGAAATAAGGCAAATTAGCTATGGGATTTTGCAATATTCTATATCAGCAATTGTAGTTGTAGTAACAGTTACTTCAATGACCATTCCGCTAACGGTTTTAAAGAGTGTGCCAGCTGTTATTTCACCAATTATTCTGCCCATAATTTGGGTTACTTTAATGACTGATAAAACTTTACTAATAATTTGAATGCAGAATAAGTCATTTCTTCAAGCACATTATTCTTCAAAGAGTATATGCATTTAGCAATAATGGATGTATGAAGCAGATATATTTATCAGATAGTGTTCAAAGATTTTACAGTAGAAAAAGATTGATCTGAAAATTCAAGCAGATTTTTTATTTTGCAATTTAGACTGGAAAATGTTTGCAGTAGAGATATGAACAAAAAGAAAGTGTAAATTTTAGAATAATCAGAGATACCTATATCAATGTGAAAAATTTAAGAAATAATTCTCATTTTTTCAGCAGTGCGTCAAGAATTTGAGACACATGTGAAACCGAACTGAAACTGAAGTGAAATTGGACATGTAATGTGCAGTCATTTGATTACTATGGAATGTTTAGCATTGAGAAAAAAAAAAAGAGAGAAAAGTTGAAGGAATTGGTAGACAAATAGTTTGATCTAATTAGTCACGAAAATATGTAAAACTTTTATGGAAAGCCTTGCTTTGTATGTACTTTATCAAAACTGAAAATGAGAGAAATTCTCTTCACTCAGCAAATTTTTGTGCTCTTTTCTCATTCCTTTTTGCTTTTTCGGTCTGTCCTCCATTCATCCTTTTATAAAGCACAACTTCCGCCTGTCAGAACTCCGTATTTTTTTTCTCTTTATTTTAATTCTTTCTTCTCTACGCCTGTCCTCTTTCCAACGCATTTTCATGCTAGAATTATAAATGCATATGCCGCCTCCTAAGCATGACACCTTACTTCTTGTAAAATGTTTATTGTGTTGCTCCTCAATAAAATTCACCAAAGTATATTTGTAGTTTTTGTTTTCGTTAAAAATATAATGAAAACTGAAGCCCTTTTGTTTACCGCTTATCAGTATTTTTTTTTTGTTATCTCTTGATCTTTTCAGCCTTTCAACTATGATATTACGCGCACTTTAAAGAGAAACTCAACGTTCTTATTCACTGAAAAAAAAAAAAAAACGATGATCATTATATTTCCGACCTAGCGTAGAATTTTATTTTAATTACGGGTATTTAAATAAAAAATTAAAATATGTAAAATACTTTAATTTTATTTCGATGACAGGTATTTCTCGCAAAGGGAATGATCGATAAATATGAAATTCGGTAGATTAATTTATAGTACATCATTCGGATGCGCTTTAGAAAAAAAGTAAAGGTATTAATAGGCTTTCAAAAAAGAGGAAAAAGATTTCTAAATGGAGATAAAATGAAAGAACAATGCATAAATCAGCTTTATTGATACATATTTAAATGAATAAAAATCAAAAAAAATTTTTGAAAGATTTGAAAATTAAATTTTTATGAGTAATATAAGTGTCACGCAGTGATGGACAGCAATCATATTTGGCCTCATAATATTCACAAATTAGTGGCTAATGTTAGGCCTAAGCATAGAATTGCCAGGTAAATCTAAGTAATGCAATCTATGACAAGTTTTCATTAGCAGTAAAATCAAGAACAATTTATGAAGTCGTTCTCTCTTGATTTATAACTTCGAGTCGTTTTATTATACCATAAACAATGAAATGATCCAAGTTTCCTGATGAGTGACCATTTACGACGCAACCAGCTAAACAGATCAACTCGAAAGGATCATCGCTGCCACAGAAATCGTGAAGACTGATTGCTTTCCTCGCTCATGAGATCACAAAAACCTGTGAAGAAAACTAAAGCCAATAATATATGGTAGAGCAGATTATTTCTTCTCACGAGCAGCATTACGAGCATCACGTTCCATTTCAAACTGCCGATAATCTGTTCGAGATAAAAATTCCACACGATCAACGTAACCCTGTTTTCCTCTATTATGACTGGTTAATTCTTCCTGTAATTTTTAATTTTTGCAGTGAATTTCAAATTCATACCTTCCTTCATGAACGCAGTACACCCTTCTAAGATTCTCATCATTCTGAGACGAATTTCACTCAAAAAAAAAAATAATAATAACAATTGGAACATTAGCCTAGAATGCAACCAAGAGTATTGTTAAACAAAAACAATAATAATGCAGATACCTGAATTCCTGTTTCATTTTTGAAAGCTCTCCAATCTTGCGCTGTTTTTTCAAGCACACTCACTTTTGATTTCTTCGACAAGGCACTGATTGCGCTTGTTAATCCATCCGAAGCTTTTCTCCTAAATGTTTGGTAATAATCAGCGTTAACTTTTCAAAATCTTGCCTACCTCATTTCATTCGTAAGCACTAACTTTTCACATTGTAATGGTCCGGACAGCTTCTCCTCCGTTTTACAAAGTTCTGGTTTATTTTTCAATCTGAAATAAAAAAATAAAATAAGAGCCGTGATCAAATTATGAATGCGATCTGAAAACTGACAGATCAATAAGACACAACAAAAAGACCTACATTAATTACTGTATACTTCCAGTGCCACAATATCCCATCAACCAAAGCACTAGCCTTTCAAAACAATATGACTCATTTCCAACTAATCACTAGTTTAGCTACTTCATTTACCAAGAATTGATTAACTATAAATCTCGAAATGGAACTTACGAAACATTTCCCTTGTCCAGTACGCCATCAAAAATATTGTCAACCGTTTCTGCAGCTAATTTCGGAATTTCACATATCTTCATCGGTACTCGTTCACTATCAGCAGTTGAACTAAATTTTAAACACATAGAATATGAAAATAAAGAAATCGTTTCCAAGTCACATAAAAATCTTACGTAGGTAAAGTTTCATTAGTTGACGGTTTTGGTATAGCATCGTTTCCTCCGATGAATTCTTCAAACAATAATTTTAACCTTCGCGCTCGCTCATCTTCCGTTTCCTCTGATTTATTCATTTCTCTTCAAATGATAAATTAAAAAAAAACGTTTTCAAAAGAGTCAAATTTGGCTATTTGACTTACTTTTGGCATAAATTCCGAAAGTAAACTTCACACCTATTTGCTGTAATAAAGTTAACAGCAAAAAAGGAAAATAGCAGATGAAAGACATCTAGAAAGAAAGCATAGTGAAATCATTAAAAATCATATATGTCATCTATCATGCAAGAAGTTTTGAAATTAAAGAGACAAAGCTCCAACAAAAGATCAAACAATGACTTATATCTTCTTATAACTACTCCACTAAATTCGTAAATTTCGGAATCTATAAACTTCATTTCCATAAAAAAAAGAAGCCAAATTATCGGAGATCATTACTTATCAGCCAAGAAATCACTCAAAACATCAAAATTTAATTAAAATTATAACTGCTTACTTTAATTCTTGTAATGCTAACATTGCATTGCTGTTCACTGTAACACCATCACCGCCAGTACTTCCACCACTTTCATTCTGTTCATTATCGTCGGGATCGGATGGTACATATTCTTCGTCATCTTCCGAATCACTTTCTTCTTCATTGTTACCAGACATTAGTCTATTAATCTTTTGAAAAATATAACTAAACCACAAGTTTTTTTTTTAGAAAGAAAAAAGTAAGTCGTATGAAAGTACAATCTTTTTATTACAATTTTTTTCATGATTTAGAGACAATCAAATTTTTAAGAGAAAGAAAAGAAGCACAAAACCAAACATCAATAAATGAAATATATAAAAATTAATCTTTATTGTATTGTAACAATAAGTGAAATATAAAAAACAACAATAAATGGGATATAAAAATTAATGAGCAACGACGTACGAACACGTTTCACGTAAGCGTATTGCTCCAAACAATTATCGAACGATGAACGGGAATAGTGCGAATTTTACAAAAGTCAAACTTCGGACTTCTGTGTGTTCTTTTAAAGGTTTACACATTACGTATTTGGTTTATATCTTGCATTGATCAATTAAGTAGGCTTGAAGTTAAAATTCGAATGGTATGACTTTGTTTACGTAAGAATATCATATGTCGTTTCGTGTCAAATATCATTTTATTATGTTAGAATTTGTATTAAGATTTATGAAAATTTAAAATTTCTTATTAAAATTTTACGTAATCGTAAGCTTTATTGCAATGTTTGGTGAAATTTTCGCAGCAAAATGATATTTGACATTTTGCTTGCAATAATTTATTAGCAATAGGCGATCCACTTAACTTGGATCTTCATTATTTATGTAGTTAATAACGGTGTTTTTTTCTTTCTCCAAGAATAATTTTCAAAAAACTTTGGTGCGGATTCATTTCAAAAATAAATAACTTTTTTTTCGTTTCAATATCAAATATGAAAGAAAGGAAGTGAATTTAGGGGTTTGATTATTGAAAATCCACTTAGATGTATTTAGATGTGAGATATCTTTATAAATATCGTACGGAATCAGTTGTAGTTTTTCACACTTTTCCTCTTTCTCTCTCTCCGTTTCCCTCCCTTTCTCCTTCTGCAATATTTTCTTTTATTGTTATTATTTTGTATTTTTTGGAATGCTATACTTAACAGTTGCTTATTTTTCTTGTGTTATTTTTTGTTACATCGCGTATTGTTCTCAGATGCTTAACTAAAACATTCTCCGTTAATGACGATGATGATGACAGTGGTGATTTCAATTTTGTATCTTTCTTATGATTAAACGATTTTTGAAGTTTGAGAAAACCGTTTGATTTGTTTTCTTTCTTTGTCTTCAATTTTTATACTATGCCGTATGCAAATATGGCAAAAAATGGGTCATATAAATTTAAGGTAGTGGAAAAATGGATGGGCTAATACAAATGTTACCGCCATCGTTAAGAAAATTTTCCACATATATTGATTTTGTTGGACAGCGAAGAGCGGAACGAATTTTTCAGGTAATATACTCATTAATCGTTTTATTTAATAGATGAATTTTATAGTTTCTCATAGTTCAGGAGAAATCCAGTGGAATTTTTTATCTCGGTACTTATATGAGATATGGTTTGAAGAATTGGATACCATTCATGCTATCAAAACGGATTAAAGTTTTTATGATAAGGAATTATTCCGTTGGAATTATTTGAAAATATATTTAATTATTGCATAATTATAATCATGTTTAACTTTCAAATACATAAATTGTAGATTCCATCGCTAAAATCTCTGAATTTTTATCCTTGGCAACTATAAATTCTATGAAATTTTATTTTAAATTACCATTTATAGTTGATATTAGTGTTAACGGCTGTGATTGGATATGGTATTGGCTATGTTACGGAGCAACTATCATACGCCATCTATACATTATGCTGTGGCTTTATTATATCATGTATTCTTGTTATACCACCATGGCCATATTTGAGACGTAATCCAATACATGTAAGTGCTATCTTTCTATCATTTATATCCACAGCATATAATGACCGAACTTTTGTACTTCAGATTTTTTCGTAATTCATGAAAATTTTCGACATAAATTGTTCTCTTAGATATTTCATTGCTTACTTTAGCGATTACTTTAAGTTTTCTATTTCTAATTTCGATCTACCAATTTACAGTGGCAACCCGTTCAAACAGTTACACCATCGTCTGCAAATGCTTCATCGAAAGAAAAAAAGAAAACAAAATAAATGGAATAGTTTGTAGTCTTTTGTTTTAGATTTTTTTCCACTTATTTGTTTTCCTCTTTAATCATTAACTTTTTTGTTTTTTGTTTTTGTATCGTGGCTATTTTTTGATTGGTTGCTTTTTTCCAAGAGAAGATCAATAAAATTTACTTCTCTTAGCTGTGTTTATTTAATAGCTGTTTTATAGTCTAATCATGGCTTGATATACTTATTTTCGAGATGGATTTATTTCCATATCAGATAGAATACTCAGAAATGAGTCAGAATTGCGAGTAAAGTATTGGTGATTCTGATTTTAATTAGGAACTCCACATTTTTAAATATCCTTGTTTTTATGGCTTTATACTTCCCATAACCTTCTGTGTTGCATTCTGCCTTAAATCGAAAATAAATTCAATAAACGATTTTAGTCTTGAGGGAGATCAAGAGATCGTCAATTTTATTCTTGAGAGTGGTCAGCTGTTTAAATGTTTTGATATAATTTATTGTAAGTTTTGCTAATTAAAGATCCTTAGAACGGAAATCCATATTTTTTCTTACTAATTGGAAAACTGTTCATCGTTGTAGGATATATATGCGCCTATCTTTGCAAGCAACGACACGATGCTTGAGAAATTTCGAACGATGTAGTCGTTTTTATCAACAGTTAAGACCGCTTTCGATTCAACCTTATCACGTTGCAGTATCTAGAAGCTATAGCTGTTCAGGGCGACATCTTTTAGCTTCTTGCGGAGACCGACGACCAATTATTACATCCCATCGGTTTTACAGCAAGTAAAGAAATTTTTTTTTGTCTTAACAAAGTTATTTATTATTTGTTTGACTTAAAAAGTAAAAGACTACTACAAAATTGCCATTACTATAACAATTTTTTTTTTTTTTTTGTACTTTTTTCTTTTTAGTCCCAATGAAAGTGGGAAAGATGATGATGATGATGATAAAATTTCGAGTGATACAAAAAATAAGGATACGGCAATCGTGGAACAGGTTGAAGATATGTTAGGGGGAGTAAGTAGTTTTGGTTTTAATTGCAGACGCAATTAGCTTTCAGGGAACCTAAGATTGATTTCGAAGTATAACTTCATTTTTGAAAAAATTTTTTTTCTTCGAGAGGATTTTAAGGATATAAATTATGCGTTTTCAGCCAATGAGTACGATAACAGTTCCGGAAGTTTGGCCTATTGTACCAATTATTGCCATCTCAAGAAAACCACTTTTTCCTGGCTTTATCACACGGGTTACTGTAAGTACATTTCAGCTTTTTACAAAGCATTTTTATACTTCTAAGGTTTTCGAAATATCTTAAGAAGTTCTATAAACGAAGGACAGTAACTAGTCACTCAGTAATAAAGTTTACATCTCTGGTGTATTTCCTGAAGTCAGCAAAAAATATCACTCGTCTAGTTTCTAAAGAAACAAATATATAAAGCAAAGTTAACAGTCCTAAAAAAAGGAAAAAAGATATGTTCTGAATGTCAATTAATTTAAACTAAGGTAGTGTAGTACTGAAGCATTGAAAGAGAATATACTATGATCTTGAAAATTTCATTAAGGTCGCTAAAGACGAAATACTAAAAGAATTGTTAAGAAGGAAGGTACGAATGCGTCAACCGTATGTTGGAGTTTTCATGAAAAAAGATCCTGAGTAAGTTGTTTGTCAGTTTTTTCTTTTCGATTAACTTTTCTTTATGACGCAGGTTTAACAACAAGTAGTGACGAAATCACGGTGTTGCATAATTTGAATAGGAGGAACTGGCTTATAAATTTGGAACATTTGGAAATGGTTGCTGTTGTGAAGCTTGGAATTAAAAACCTACAATCTAAATCGAAGGAAGATTATAAGGATGATAAGTTTGTAGGTTATCTGTATGTGTATTGAGGCTGGGCTAATGCAGAGATTTATTAACTGAGACATAAACCTAGCTAATTTGCTGGAATATCATATTCAGTTAATTGAGAGGGGATGTTCATAATACAAACAAATATAGGAAAACCCATCATTGTAATTTAAACATTGGTTTAAGTTTTTTAGATGAAAGTTTGAGAGGTATAAAGCCGGTGTTTGTGGTTAAATGATTTCCGTTATTATGATTATTCAGCCGACTTTGTCATTGTTTTGAACCAGTTTCAGGAATGAATCGGAAACAGTAGAATCCTTGTCTGAACTTCATTCAGTGGGATCATTCGCACAAATCAATGTTATGGGTGATAATGGTGACAAAATAGAATTGGTTCTGGTTGCTGAAAGGCGCATACGCATTTTAGAACCGGTTGCTGATGATGTTGATTCATAGTAAGCTTGATTCTGTAGATTTTCGTCTATCATTTACATTTTATAGGGAATTTTTCTTGATTTTAATATAATAACTGAAAAATATCTTGCTTCCAGCTTCCCAAAATTTTTCAATGAAATTTTTTGCCCTGTTCAGTGAAAATATTGGAAAAATCAACGGCAGAAGGGCACGTCAAGAGCGTCGTAAACTACTGAAGGAAAAGGGAAAAGATCAAATTTCGTTAACTGCATCTTCAGCAGTTACTTTAGCTCGGACCGAAAATGTTGTTTCGCAACCTATTGAAAGGACAACAGAAGTTAAAGTAAATTTTATCTTTACAGTTGATATAGACTGTTCTATTTTTAATTGATTATGTGAAATGTCGTTATGACTAAAAATGATTTGGTTTTTCAAATCTTAGGCATACACTTTATTTTATATCCTTATTGGCAAACTTTTTTATACTTTGAAACTGAAATTTACCTATGATGACAGATAAAAGTAGCGAAGAACTGTATTTCAATTTTAGTTGGTCAATTTGAGTTAGAGTTGAATGATTTCTTTTTTCATTTTTATTAAAACGGTATTTAAAATTTTTCAGGCAACAATGCAAGCTATAGTTAGTACGATTCGTGATGTAATGCAATATAATACATTGTTTGCACAGCAACTTGGCTTAACGGCAAATCCATCAAGGAATGTGGTTGACAATCCTGTATATCTATGTGATTTAGTTGGGTCGCTTGTAAGCGCTGATCCAAGCGATTTACAAAATTTGATGGATGAAGAAGTTGTAAGTTTCCTGGGTTTCTCATTATATTGGATTTTATGTACGGATTTGTATTTAGAGATTTGAGATCTGTAATTTTTTTGGTTTAGATTGAAAATCGTTTGAAGTTAGCATTGCTATTGATTGAAAAGGAAAAAACAGTCGCAAAACTGAAACATGATATTAATAAGGATGTGGAAAAGAAAGTTCATGATCAACATCGTAAATTCCTTTTGAATGAACAGGTGATTTTTAATGTATTGGATATGGTTTGAGATTTGATTTTGTTTACAGTTGTTCAAATATTATATATTCAGTAAAAACAGTGATGCAAAGATTTTGTAAGCCTGAGGTGGTAAATCAGTTTTTTTTTCTAACTCTTTAGTAAGGATTATCTGCCCAGGTTTTGATTATTCCGGCAAACCTATACCATTCCTGGAATTTGAAGTAACTTAGGAACGTTTTTGATTTTTTTTTTATGATTAGAGTTTTCAAATTCTTTCATTTGAAAAATTTTAGCTGAAAGCAATCAAAAAAGAACTTGGATTAGAAAAGGATGACAAAGAAGCCTTGACGGAAAAAATGCAAGATCGCATAAAAAACCTTAATGTTCCTGAATATGTAATGAAAGTAATTAAGGAAGAACAAACCAAACTGTCTTTTCTGGATCCACATTCCAGTGAATTTTCAGTTGCAAGGTATGGATTTACGTGACGCTGTTTCTTTTCTAATGAATTTCGATTTTTTTTTTTTGAGCTTCTTTATCATCTAGAAATTATTTGGATTGGTTAACAAATATGCCATGGGGTAAGACATCCGAGGATGTGCTTGATTTGGATAGAGCGATTGCTGTCCTAGATGAAGACCATTATGGAATGAAAGATGTGAAAGATCGAATTTTGGTATGTTGTTAAAAGTGAATAAATTTAGAACCTCTATCTCTGTCCCTTTTTTCTCCTTTCTGATTTTACTCTTTCATATGTGAATAACTCCAACATTTTGTTAGAAAATAAAAGTGACTTTTATCCTTTATCTTGTACTATTTAGGAATTCATTGCAATTGGTATACTTAAAAAGAAAGTAAGTGGTAAAATTTTATGCTTACATGGACCGCCAGGCACCGGTAAAACGAGTATTGCACGATCAATTGCCAGAGCATTAAATAGGGAGGTAGGATTTTTTATCAGATTTATCGCCAAACATATTTGTATCAAGTTAAATTTCATAATTTTTGAAAATTTTCAGTACTTTCGATTTTCGGTTGGTGGAATGACAGATGTTGCAGAAATCAAAGGACATCGCCGTACATATGTTGGCGCGATGCCTGGAAAAATGATTCAGTGTCTGAAAAAAGTTGGATTTTTTATGACTGGCTTCTGCCTTGACCTTAGTATGTTCCGTTTTCCAACTAGAAATTTTTGGTAAATTCTTAATTTTTTTAAAGGTACAAACTGAAAATCCATTAGTTTTAATTGATGAAGTGGATAAAATTGGTGGCACAAGTTATCATGGCGATCCATCATCAGCGTTATTAGAACTGTTAGATCCAGAACAAAACACCAATTTTAGTGATCACTTTCTCGATGTCCCTGTCGATTTGTCAAAGGTTGGTCCGATAGCCTATTTTGCTAGAAAATGTCCTAAGAATTGGTTACCGAATTGCTTAGCTCATACCTGTAACTCAGGTAACTCAGTGAATCGATTCATAAATGGAACTTGTTAGATAATTGATTTCTGGATTGAGATAAACTTGTATTTCCAGGTATTATTTATTTGCACTGCAAACATTACGGATACTATTCCTGGTCCACTAAAAGATCGCATGGAAATGATCGAAGTATCGGGTTATGTTGCAGAAGAGAAATTAAATATTGCACAGAGTTATTTGGTGCCTCAGTGTCGAAAGGATAGGTTAATATTATTTCTGATGTACAAGACACCTGTGTTTTATTTAGACGACGTGGTTTTGATAGACTGAAAACATTACCAAATTTAAATTCAGCATAGAGATTAAAAAAAATGAGAATTTGAAAAAGCAAGCAATAAAAAGTCAGTGACATCAAATTATCTCCTAGTATTGAAATAAATAGGGATATTTGCTAGGTATGTTTGTGCAACTAGCACATGTCCAAAAAAACTTTCTTTTCCAGCTCATTGGAAGAAAACCAGCTTCAGATAACTCCGGAAGCATTACAAACACTTATCAAACACTACTGCCGAGAATCTGGTGTTCGAAATCTTCAGAAGCATATTGAAAAGGTAAATATAAAAATTTCCGTGTTTTTTGACGAAAGATTGAGATTTTATAGGTCGATTTTCTTTATGGGTTTATGTGTCGACAACTATTAAATGTGATGAGATCAGTATTTGTTCATCTTCACCTGATTTAACATTTACATTTTTAACAGATAATTCATCCGCTAGATTAAGATGTAGGTATTGGTCAGCGAATGGTTAGAATTTATTGCATGAAATTTTTGTATCTTGCAGTGTGAATCACAGGATGTTTTTAAATCTTCATTAATTTTTATTGTCATGCAATCCATGCATATCGTGTGGTTTACTTTCCAGATATTTCGTAAAGCAGCTTTCAAAATAGCTGGTGGAATTAGTCAAGAAATTGCTCAAGTAGTTGTTGACAATCAGAATATCGAAGACTTCGTCGGAAGACCTAAATTTACCAGCGATCGTCTATACGATTCAACACCGGTTGGCGTAATAATGGGTCTTGCATGGACAGCTATGGGTAAGTTTGCCAGTTTTCCAAGAAAAAGCAATATAAGAAGAGCTACTAAAATTGTATTTAAATGGTTCTTTTCCACTGATACTGTTAGTATGTTAATAGTATAGTTTTACATTTAAGCATACCAAAAATTTTCAGGTGGTTCATCGTTATACATTGAAGCATGTTTACGTCGGAGTTTAATTATATCTAAAACTTCATTATCGCGAAATCCAAGTACTGATAGTGGATTTTCAAATGATTCATTGAATGATACAGACAACTCATCGAAATCCGATGCAACCGTTCCATTCGGTAGTTTAGAAACAACTGGACATCTAGGTGATGTTATGAAAGAGAGTATGCGTATTGCTTATACGGTCGCTAAAAATATCCTTAGGAATCATTTTCCGAATAACGATTTTCTCGATAAGGCGCATATACATGTTCATGTCCCAGAGGTTTGTCTCAATTTCTTCTTTTTCTTTTGATGTTTCAATTTTACGGGAATATTATCTTATGTACAAGTTTCGAGATTGGGATATTTTCTAGCTAACAGTCGTTCATTTGTTTTTGTAGGGTGCAACACCGAAAGATGGTCCATCTGCAGGTTGTACAATAACATCGGCTTTATTGTCGCTGGCTTTGAATCAGCCGGCTCGGCAAAATGTTGCAATGACCGGTGAAATTTCTCTTACTGGAAGAATATTACCAGTTGGTGGAATTAAAGAAAAAGTTATTGCTGTACGTTATTTGAAATTTTCCAGCATTTTATTTTATTAAAAGAGCACGAAAATTTTTGTAAAAATTGTTTGACTATTAGTTATGTACAATAGGTTTCTAACCTTGGAATGTTGGATTTCTGCGCAAATCAAATGTTGTTTATTCAAGTGTAGATATTTTAAAAATTTTGTTATTAAAAAAAGGTCTATGAGCGGTTTTTATTGCCTGTAGATATGGCTCAAGGTAAAGGGATGTTTCTCTTCTTTTTTATCTTTTTTTGCACTCATTGTGAGTCGATTGCTTTTATACGTTGCAGACTTAATGTTTTCCTGTAGTTAATCTGTTGATTCATTCAGGCTAAAAGAGCTGGAGTGAATTGTATTATATTACCGGAAGAAAATCGGAAAGATTTCTCCGACTTGCCAGACTTTATCCGAAAAGATGTGGATGTACATTTTGTTTCGCATTACGACCAAATATACGACATCATATTCCGAAATTAATAATTTGTTATGTTTATTAGCTGATATTTCCATGATTAATTGTGCATTTCTTTTTCACGCTTATATGATTTGAACTTTTACTACTTCCACAATGTTTATTAAAAATAAAAAACTCTTGAAAAAAGTCTATCAAATTTTGATTAGAAATATCACTCCTGTATTTTATATCTCAGTGCACATTTATCGTTTTGTAGGTAATTTTTCTTTCTCCTTCATTTTTTACTGATCTTTTGCTAGAGTTACACCTAATATTTTAAAACCAAAAGCATAACTGTATTCGTAGCAAAAAGAAAACAAAAAGGACGATTGAGGATTTTGGCAATTTCATTCCATAGAATTATGATTTTAGAGTATTCATCACTTAAGATTTTGATTGTTCATGATGATCATATGTACTTAAAATGACGAATATTCAATAACGTAGAGTAATTTTGCACGCCATGTTCGACATCTTGATAATGTTGTTTTGTGGTATGCGTTTGAAAAATATCATTCGCAATAAAAATGCAGATATAAAATTTGCTAAAATCGTGTCGCTTCAAGATTCATTTTTTAGCCATATTTTAAAATTATTGTCATGCATAGGCAAGTGTAATTTTCCTAGGTCTCCTCATTTGAATTGACCTTTGATGTATTGAAGGGACTGAGAAAGTTTATTCTTTTACAGTCTGCACTTTGGTTTAAATAAATAAGCATATCTTGGAGGAGTCTCATGAAGCGTCCTAACATTTCGAAGATTTTCTATTATATCATGTTTTTATTTAGTTGATTGATACAATAATAATTTTGAATTCAGCTATGAGATTTCAATTATTTTTACGGTGCTCACTTTTACGTCGTCACTTCTCCACAACAAGATTTGATGGCAGAATTCCTTTGGAATGTTTGCAAAAGACAGTCACCTTTCGGGAGGATCAGCAAGCTCCTCAAGTTGAACTTCGTATTCCCCTTAAAGCTGATTGGATCCCAACAGCAATAGCGGATGATATGAGAGCACGATATTCACACAGAATTGATCGGTTAGTTTTAAATTTTGAATTCAAACTTTGAAGTTCATTTAGCAATACTTTAAGATTTGCGGTACATTAAACAGTGCACTGTTTATAAATCTTTTCCTATTATGAATAAATTTGGAATAAAATTTCCTTGAAAGATAACATGTGGGAAGGACGAGGATAAAAACAAAGTACGCGATATCAAGTGGTTAAAGCGTCGATGTAAGATGCGTTCAAAAAGAGACCTCACATACATAAATTGTTTCAAGTAGATTTTTATCGCTTCAATTTCAAAGAAATTAAATTTATTGAACTGGTGATTTTTTGCAACGTAAAAGTGTATAATACAGTGATTAGATCTGCTCATTTCTTTTTCTATTTTTCACGATTTGTTATATAAATGCTTAAAATTGCAATAGTGTTATTTGTTTCAAAATATCGAATTTGTTCCTTGTTATTAGGATAAGAATATTATGTAATTGATCACAAATGATGTGAAATCAGTTGAAGCCGGTTTGAATAAAGTCACTTTTATCCTTTTCAGGAACGGTTTTTTGGTGATTGAATCATGTCGAACTTATTCGGAGCAGCTGAACATGGCTGACTGTATTGATAAATTACGCAGCGCAATGCTGGAATGTCAAGAGATTTTAGATGGTCAGCAAAAATGTGAAGTAAAAGTAGATCCTAGAGTTGAAGCGAAACGTGATATCAAATGGCGTCTTGCTGCATTCGAAAACGAAATATAGGTGTCATTATTTCCCATTTATGGATTTATGCTTTCAAACAATTCGTTCGGTAAATGTTCGAGGCCTTTCATGATTGAAAAATTATCGAAAAGGATTGAGCAAGGATTTCAAGATGACAATGATCGAAAATATACGACTGAAAATAGTTTTGAAAATGGATTCTGGATGAAAGAACATGAAAGTGACTATTATTTCTTAAGTATCTCTTTACCTTAATTCTTTTTTGTGTTTGGTTGTTGACAGCCAGTAAATTGTTTTTCCTCATTATGAATATTTTTATGTTTAATGCTTTATATAAACGATGGTTTTACTCATTAACTCATCAAATCATTATTACTCGTATTTGCATTTGAAACGCAGGATAACTGAACCAAGTTCTACGTTTTTATTTGACATCGAGCATTTTTTTTCCTTATATTTCTACAACTGGAATATAGCAAAATCTGTGCATTCCTAAGTCGACAGATCCATTTGACAAAGATCAAATAAACGAAGAACTTGGCAACAACCAATAAATCTTTCCAATTTTGCTTATAAGATTTTTCATTTAATATTATTAAATTAGTTTGTCGGTTATTATTCTTTTTTTAAAAATTTTGAAGAAAACATGCTTAGTTAACATTAACAAAAAGTAGTAATAATAATTCGGTTACATAAATTAAAGATGACTCTTTTATCATTTTTTTTAAATTATGTGCTATTGTGAAGGTTTACTGTAATATGGGCAATGCTAGAAATGATTAATTCGTAAAGATATAAAAAAATTTATACAATGCTTACATTTACTACTTTCTCGTTCTACTGCGGTATTAAATACACGTAGTTCTGATCTTGATAAGTACTGTAATGTTATGTTATTATCACCTTAATAATAAGTTAATCTCAATCTTACGAAGCGGATGAGTTGATCGGAGACGGGAAACTTCTGGTTTTACATTTTATACGTCTGAAGGATTCTTTCTTACGCAACATTTTCCTTACTTAACATAATCCTTAATAATTTATCTTGAATAAGATTTGAAATTATATGTCATAGCCAACTTGAACGTACTGGTTTAGTCCTAGTATATATTATAATGATCTCTTTCAAAAAATCAAACTATTGTTAGAAAGAAATAACTTTATGATAATGTTGAAATATGACGATATCTGAAATTTGAAATAACTTTACCAAAATCATTACCTGGTAACACTTAAATCCTTTAATCAGTTCCAGTTTATCTATTATACTGTGAAAATTATATTTATATTTGTGGGAATGTAATTTTATGGTATATTCTGTAAATATATGTGTAATTTTATGGTATATTCTGTAAATATATGTGAATGTGAAAATAGATTTATGATCTGAGTCACTTATTTGTTTGGTTAACTATAACCAATTAATATGTCTCATCTTTAAATGTCTATATTTCTCAAGTTTATTTCCCAGAGTTAGTTACTCTGGATAGGTTTTTGTATTAATATGGGGTCGTTTTTCAGTGGTAATATGAAGATTAACGTTCAAGATAGAATATAAACAGCAGAATATTGACTAGTTTTGTGGATGGACTTTTTGGCGAACCAGTAACAGTAATTCAGTTTTGTAGCCCGAAGTTTCATGAAGAATCATTCGCGACATAAGGGTGTAACGTTATCAGATGATACTCTGAACTAATTCATATAAAACATTGCTGATCTTATCATAGGTTTTACAAGCGTTGTCAATGATGGCTGGCACGAGTAAAGCTGATGATGGTGGTGATTTCACTAAATCACTTGATTCATCTGCGAAAAATGATATGACTGGCATTAATGCGAAGGTGGAAGATATTGGTGGCGATGATATTGTGCACAAAGCGCTTAATGACGGTATTCAAGACAGAAGTAATAAAGGTGGTTTATTTTATTTTTTCGAATTCCTTCAAACTTTATAGGTGCGAAGTTTTTCTTCACTCCTTCTTTTGACTTAACTTCATTATGCGAATTAACAGGTTCTGCTTTTTTTGGTGTTTACGATAGAAATTAGGCTGAAATTTCTGTGGGAATGATAGAATCGATAAGTAATTGTCTACAGTGTTTCTTGTGTCTTACATAGAACTACGATGGAACAACTTTGATCTAGTATTTCTATGAATTATATGCAATTTGCAGATGGAAGTAATACGCAGCAAAACGACAAAAAAATAGGTGAAACGAAAAAAGAAGAATTGGAGAAGCGTAAAGAACGAGAAGCAGCATTGACCGAGGAGGAATTAAACAAGCTTCGAGAAAAGTCTAAAGCTTTAAAAACTCAGGTAAATTTCTTCAACTGTCGTATATTAATTTAAGTTCCGGTTTCACAGGTACATCCAGGAAATCTTAAATTTATAATGTAATTATGACGAATCCTTTTTGTGACATTCATGGATTCTTTCCGTTCTGGAACTATGCTAATATATGTTATGAGTGTGATTATATTTTTTCATTCTTCCAAATCGCCTGACTCGAATCTCAACTCAGCTAGTCGAGATTATTTATTTATCTTAGTGGAGAATATTTAGTTAAGAATGTTCATATTTCTTAGATTTTCAGGGGAATGATTATTTTGGCCAAGGATTTTGGTACGAAGCAGCACATTTTTACACAAAATCTTTGGATACTTGTCCACTCATATACACTAGTGATAGGTTTTTATGTTTTGTTTCTTAATTTTTAGCTCCTTTTCAAAGACAAATGTTAAATAACTTTTATTACTTTAACTGTCATGCGCTTTCTCTACACAATTTAAACAATAAATGAGAACAAAAAAAATTTTTTCCCTTCAGAGCAACATATTTGAGCAATCGAGCTGCTGCACATATGAAACTCAGGGACTGGGAAAAAGCTATTGAAGATTGTAGTGAAGCGTTGGAAATTGGTCAGTTTCGGTCATTGCTCTTAAAATTCCAATTTGTTTTGTTGCTTATATAAAACAGGAAATAAAATTGAAATTTAATCTTGTAGTCTTTTTAACTTAGCTATACTATTAGGATTTATTTTGTCTTTTTAGGTGCACCAAATGATAAGCCCTTAGAAAGACGTGCTCACTGTTATGCTCAATTGGAAGAGAAATATGAACAAGCCGTTGAAGACTTTGAATCGTTATTAAAAATGTATCCTGAAAGAAGGAAGGATTATGCCAAGAGAATTGCTGATTTAAAACAGGCAATTGATGAACGGAATGAAAGGATGAAGAAGGTGTGGTATTTTCTAATGAAAGATCTGATTTCGAATTTTAAATTTTAAGAAAGACCAAATTCAAGGAAAAGCATTAAAACTCTATGATTAAAAAGCATCAAAACTTTATGATCCTCAGGTCATGCCGCTTAAAATTAACTAAGAGATAAGCAAATAATAAAAGGATATAATTTTTTGCAAATACCAGTTAACCTGCCTAAAATGCAAGATTGTTTCTCCGGCACACTTCACTTTCTCGGATGGATCTCCCTTTAATCCTTTTACATAGTATTCATTAACAACTTAGATTCATGTGGCTAATGTTCAACTATTGGCGCTTTTAAAAGATTGATGACGTTCGACGTTCACGTGAGCTTTGAAACAGTAATAGAAGTATTTCAGGAAATGATTTCGAAACTGAAAGATTTTGGAAATATGTGCTTGAAACCTTTTGGTTTATCAACGGATAACTTCGAAATGGTGCAACAACCTGGTGGAGGATATTCGATAAATATGAAAAAATGATGCTTTTTGCTTATATCCTGGTCAATTTTATGTTCCATTTCTCATTTTGAAGCTACATAAGTTCATTTCCATAAGAAACAGAAACCTTTCTTATGTTGAGCTGAGTTCTCGTTAAATTACAGTCTCGACTTATTAACGAATGATGCGGCACCTGCAACTTATTATGCTAATTCCAGATACTTCTCAGTCACATGAGTTTTTATTTTTATGGGCATCATGTTTTGCACAATAATTTTGATGTTCTTTTATAATGATGGCTATACTGTACTATTGATTGTTCTCGCTAAAGTCGTAGACATGTGTCATTTACTTTCTGATAATAAGTCAGCATATGATGATACTTACTCCATTAAGATACATGTGGTATTGATATTATTCTCTATACAAAAGCAGGAAAAGTCGCATGTTTAATAGATAAAGCGATCATAGAGAGAACAGTAATATTCGATATTTGTTTAGCCGTATTCCATATTATAATGCTTCATTTGTGAATAGTGTTTCATTAAAGCGTTAATTAAAACAATTCATTTTTTGCAGCTTGCAAAATTTGACCGTAACTTCAAACTTCTAAATAACATTCTAATACTGCATATCAGTCATGATAAAGAGGCATACAAAAAATTCTAGAAGCGCACCATCATCAAAATTATCTCAGCACTTCTTTTCCCAATGCATCGTATATGAAACAAAGTATTTATATGTGTTTCTAAATGGCTCACGGCAACAACAAACTGCAACATGCATATTAAAGAAATATGCATAGTAGCATAATGCATAAGATCCAACAATTACATAATTGGAGTTTGAAGTTCTTTCAAATGTCCACCAAAATATGAAGCAATTACAATTCCTGGCTAATAATGACGAAGCTAATTCGTATAAATAACAAAAGATGAACAGAATATATCACACACTACATATTTTAATGTATCTAAAATTTATACTAGCTTTCATCATTAAACATGATCTGCACGATGAATAAACTCAAAGTCGTCGTAGATATTCTTCATCGGAGAATGGGCATAAGCCTCCTACAAATAGAATAATTTTACTTTGGTTTGTATGGACTTCATCTTTTTCGAAATCCTGAATATATGACAGAATGATAAGTAACATCTCAGGTACATGACTCGTCATCGAAAAAAGATTCACTGAATTAAAAAAAAAATGAGATATACGTTCACACATCTGATCCGCCTAATCTTACGTTGTTTTCAGACAGGAAACATAAGTGGAAGAAATGTTATTATTCAAAGCATATTTGGTCATCGAATAATGATCTCAACTTCTACTGATTGGAAAACTTTAGGTCTTAAAATAGCAGTTAAGTAATATATCAAGTAAAGCTATAACCGTTTTCTGAAATTATAGCTTTATTTGATGTAGCCATATTTGTGACCACCAAAAAATAAACTTCAACTTTTCTAACGAAAAGAACCGACATGAGGTGTTGGATCCCACCATCGATCTTGTAATGTGAAATACACAGGTTCGCCATACCAGGTTCCAACTCTCCATGCTTTATCATCACTAATTTCCGCCAATTTCATTTCGTAATCGCGATTTTGCTTCAGAAGTTTCAGCCATCTACAAAATTTGTTTATTCTGAATGAAATTCAAAATCTATTACTTATTCGTCCATACTGCGTTAATCTAAAGTCAGGAAAAGATGATAAATACTCGAAAATTTTGAGAAAGCGTTTTAGCATATCGTTTCGAAAAATCAATTTAGAAGTTGTAAGTGAAGCTGGCAAAACAAAGGACTTCAATTATAAGGTTATGATACAGCCTTCCAGACACAACAGAACTAGTTATCCGAACTATTAGCTAAGGAAAAAAGAAGTTTCTTAATTCCCAGACAGCATAAATTACTAATAGTTCCTTTATGTAGTGAGCTAAATGGTGTATTTGATCATAACTTTTTAGAATACCTGTGCAGTAATTCTTGAATGAGGTCGAACTAAATTGTATAAGGCCATTGTATAAGAAAAGAATTTCATACGAAAGTTTAAGGAAATTAAATTATGGATGATTAACTAGTGTGACAGTTACTTGCACAGAAAGGAAATGAGAAAAAGAAACCTTCGATCTCGTTCAGCGTATAAAAATGGCGTCATCGCAACGTATAAATCCTTATCTTCAAATCTTTCCGTACTGTAACATAATGTATGGATCATTCTGGTTCAGATTTCAATTAAAATATAATATTTGAGCATTTTACTAGAGAGAGAGAAAAAAAAAAATACTTAAGGAGACTACCCAAGGAAACAAATCAATAAGATATGTTATATGTAGTGCGATATGTATGAACTTATAATACATCTACCGAAATTTTAGTAGTACTTCACTTAATAATGGAAGGCAGATATTTCGTTATCATATCCAACAAGAATTCTAACGCATGCAGATTTTCAATTAAAATTTCTCAATGAATAACCTATAAATGAGATATAATGGAAAATGAAACTTACAGGATGGCACGTTTAAGAGCTCGAGCCTGGAAAAGACCATATCCAAATAAGAAAATAACAACACCCAATAGCTTTTCAGCTGAAAAAAAAAAAGGAAAAATGCAATTTATTGGTTTTCGTAAACTTCCATAGCATATTTTCTTCTCACTTCGAGATTTTTTTATTGTCAATCATTATCAATTAAATTATAACAAAAATAAAAAAAAACTTTTTCTGAATTAGCAATTCTGCAGTCCCTCCTACAATTCATTTTTTATCTTCAATAAAGCAATTTTATTTTAATCATTAATCTTCTTCATTGCATAATTACTAATAACATACTTCACAATTAAAACTAAATCCTACTTATTACTGACACTATTATGCGTTAAAATTCAAAGGGAAATTTGAAACTGTAAATCAATTCGGCAATTATATTTAAATAATTAAGAATGCTGTAAGTCATTTCCAATACATTGAAATATAAAAAAAAAAAATATTTCAGAGTGAAAATTCGCAAATACATGTGTGTTCAAATGGAATTAATGAACCCAGTATTGAAGTGAATAAAACTTAAAGATAATATTTACCTCTCCAAAAAACTTTTGGAAAGGTTCGCGACCAATTAAATTTGCTATATCCACCTACAGGTGGCATATCTTGCCGATAGTTGGTTGCCATTGCTGAAACACCCTAACTTTATTCTAGATAAAATGTGAAAATTTTCATAGCAATTGTTTTGCTAAAAAATCATCACAATTTCAATTTTCACGCAGGAAACTGCAAAACAAATTTGAGAGTATGTGTAAACAACAAATTAACTACTCGATATAAAATTAAGAAATTATATTATCAGATAAAAACAGTACTCGAACTGGAGAAAAATTAAAAGGAAGTAGAAGTTGTTCATTGATTATGAAATTAGCATGAATTAAGTTCATAACTAAAAGCTCTGTTTTATTTCCAATCCATTCAAAATTTTTATATTTCCGGTTAGATGATTTCGTATTTGTATGTTAATTTAATCACTCAGATAATTACTCGGCTAATTAGCTAACAACCCTGTAATTCAACTCAACGATAGTAAACACTCAAATATATACGAAACAATAAACAAACAAGCAAGCGGATTGAATATTATACGGCCTCATCTATTGCTTAAAATATGTTAGGGAGATAGTGCAAATTTTCATTCCGTTTCTATCGCTTAATTACTCTCACTTATGCACTTGTTACTTAATTAACACTTACCTTTTTAATGCCTCTTACTTACTTGAATATCTTATCCAAGCTTATTTAATAATTATCTCTAAATTTAAAACCTTTAGCATTTTAACATCAAACAATCTAAGAGAAAATTTATTACTCATTCGGAACTATTGAAATCTTTATCAAACAGGATAAGTATTTTTACTACTGAAGTATTTAACACAGATAATTTTAGTGAAAAAAAAAAGTAAAAATGGGAAAATTCAGAGAATTTGTATATTAATGATAAATTTTCTTCTATATGGTTTGCTGAATACTAGAAGTTTTAAAATATGGAAGTGTTCATTAACTTTGAGTGAAATATTTGAGTAAGCGTAAGTGAAGTAAGGAATAAAATGTAATATTTGAATAGGACTTCGATGATGGATAAGATCTTAATATACTTTACGAGTAAACATAAATTGTGAGATTTATGTGAATTTGATGAAGTTGATTTATATTACTTCATTTGTTCGTTATCTTGAAATTAAATTTAAAACAAGACATTAGACATCAAGTCTGTACATACATTTAAGGAATATGGTGAAACCGACAAGCGTTAAGGACGTTGATCAGCATGAAATTGTACGTCAAATTGCGGGTTTCCTGAAGAAAAGTGGCAAAGTAAGAGTGCCAGATTGGTCTGATGTCGTCAAATTGGGTCAAAATAAGGAATTAGCACCGGTTGATAACGACTGGTATTACATCCGAACAGCAAGCATTGCACGTCGTTTGTACATTCGTTCACCTACCGGTAAAAGTTTAATGTTGTATTTTTTTACCATTATTTAAGTTCAGCTTACATGGCTGTTCGTTATTTCACGTTTGATTTTCTACTAGCATTGGGAATGGTGTCATATCAAACGATCATTTCTGGTAATCGAGGATTTATTTAACATAATGTTTTATCACTTTTTTGTAAATTATGAATTTGAGCAAAATTGTATTTAACTTCATATTTGATTTTCCTATGAACAGTAACTTCAGGCCAATACCAACAAACAACGCTGAAAGAGCTGGGACGATTTCCCTCAATAGTTTAAATACCGTTTAGGTGTTGGTGCATTGAGACGTGTATATGGTGGTAATAAGCGACATGGTGTTACACCGAATCATTTTGTGAGGTCATCTGGTTCGGTCATACGTAAAGCTCTGCAAACATTGGAAGCCATCAAATGGGTAGAAAAAGATCCTGATGGTAAGGGACGCATATTGACTAAGCAGGTTTGTGGTTAATTTATTCGGATAATCATTAAATTTAATTTCAACATAACTTATTTTGTTGTTTTTTCTTTATTAGTACTGTCAAAGTCGATGATATCTCCTTATGTTTGTGGTTGTTTTTATAACTTTCATCTTTGTTGTATAATCACTATCAATCCTTTCTTTTTTTGCTATATATTATCATCTCTAAAAAATTATGTGCTTTAAAAAGGTGTATAGTTTAATTATCAATTGCATTCCGTATTGCTAGTTCCAGTTTTGTCTTTTATTCCAGGGTCGTAAAGATTTGGATCGTATTGCGTCACAGTTGCGTCAGAATACAAAGCATTCATTCGAGTCGTAAATTTATGGTTGATTTTGATGAAGAGAAAGATTTTTTTGAAGAATTTGAATGATTCTGTTGTTTAATGTGGGAAGATATTTTTGAAGATAATTCATGTTTTCTTTGTCATAAAGTAATTTTTTCATATGGCTTGTTCCTTTTTGACATTATTGCTATTGCATCATAAAAAAATTACATAGAAAATATCCCGAAAATATTTATCCTGGAAATAACATTGTTTTAATTCAAGAATTTTGTTTCTGTACTGTGGGGAGCTTCCTACCAACGATTCAAGATGTGAGGTGTAATTCAATAGTAAAGAGCACTGCCATCTTATACATCCGTATTTTTTTTTTTCTTGTGTAAAATGGATATATCATTTTCAATAATGTTAGAAATTTGAAGCAGATACTCACCAAGTTGTTCTTCCTACTATAACCTTTGCGAGGGCCACTAATGTGGTTAATTTAGAATGGACAAAAAGAGAAATTCATTTGTGCCCTTGGCGATATGCTCATAATTAATCGTGCTATGTTGCAACATATCCTGACCGGATTCGTCTGAAGCAAATACCATTGTACAGGATGGATGTTTCTTCCAGGGCCACTAATGCGGTTAATTTATAATGGACAAAAAGGGAAATTGGCTTACCTACATAATTTCATGATGCAGTAGCGATATCATAATCATCCGTTAAAACGAAGGAGAATGTTGACGATGACGTTACCTGGTTCCTTACATCCTAGCAATAAAGACGCATTCTCGTGGTCAGTTAAAAATAATTCTTATAGTTCGTCAGTATGATGACAAATGAAATTTTGTCTTTGTTTGGTCACTTGCATTTCTTTTTCTCATTGAGAAATGAATTAACTGAATCAGTTGACTGCGGGGTTGTAAGCCGGTCGAAGCTGCCGTAGCATTAAGCAGAAAACAAACAGTAGGATGAAGTAAAAAATAACGGTAGTTTCTTTCTTCTTTCATTCCAGAAAGTAATATTATAAAACTTTCTGTTTCTTTAATTTAATGAATTTGAAACTGAAAAATTTCTTGGAAAATAATAATAGCTAAATATCCGAAGTCTTTAATACATAACTTTTGGACTGATAACAGAAGGAAATTTGGATGTTTGAATTTTGAAACACTATATTCTTATGAGTATTATACTATTTTAAAAATGATTTGTGAGTAATTAAATTTGTAATGATGAATGTTATTTGTTGCGATTTCATTATCTGTTTCAGGAATGAAAAAGGTTTACTCGTATATGGAGCTCATTGTACCGTTGTAGTATTTGATGTACTTCGAAATAAAATCATCCACACTCTCGAGCGGCATGCTTTAGCTGTTACACATGTTGGTTCTTTTTTGTCTCCATTCAGAAATGTTAGCACATAGTAAGCCATTAAGGCTCAGCATAAGTTTCCTAACATAATTAAAACTTTCTTGAGTTGATTTTTTTTCCGTTGAATTTCGCTTTTGTTATTTGTTGATGATGACAATACAGCGATGTCATTAATTTTGTTACGATCACTAAATTTATAGCATATTGGAATATGTAGTAAGGTAATAGCAGCTAGTGGAACTGTCTTTTTTTTTTTTTGGAAAATCTATAAAATCTCATATATAATCTAATAGTTTTTCTGAAGTGATAGTCGTTTAAATATTCAATCAATAATGTTAGGAATACTTTCAGATTTGCTGCTCATCAGAGGAAGAAGTAGGTTTCTCGGCCGAAGTACGATTGCGATGTGCATCTGCTGATGTTGGCGGTACGGTGGTTGTATGGGATATTGTGGAAGGTGTCGAACTGTCGTCTTTTTCTGTTCCGAATAGTGCAGTTTTGAGTGAGTTTTGGCTTTTTTGAATTAAGAATTATGTATTTTTAACTAAAATTATCCATCTTTAATGGAATTGAAATTGTGGCATGTTGGTTTTATAGAATGGACTTAGTTTTTAATACAATCGTGACATTAATTTTAATTAACAAAAATCAATTTTAAGCAAATAAGTATGTCTGTTTTTTTTTTTTGGTTTCCCACTGTTGAATCAAATTTCAGACTTAAAGATCAGAGTATTGTCGTATTTACTGCTTATCAGAGAGAAAAGATCAATTGAAATATGATTTTCTCTTGGTATTACATTTGCCGATACTGCTCTTTGGTTTCTTTTGCCTACAAAGTTTTTCAGGTCTTGCTTGGTTTCCTTGGGAAGACACAAGTCGTGATTTTCTTTTAGTATTACATTCTCCGAATAATTTAATTTTATGGAATATAGTGACTGGGGATCGAATTTGGAGTGTTACATATTCACAAACTTTTAATGCTTTTTCAATTGATCCATTCGATCCACGCAATATTACTTGTTGGTGCAATTTTTTAAATATAAATCTTGTTCGGTTAAATTTACAGCTTAAGATGTAACAAAAATATGGAACTTGAAGAAAAATTCACTAGATTAGTTAAAGAAAATGATTAGTTTTCTTTAACTATTCGAGCTATCGTTTTCTTTCGTAATTTGATTTGTTAAGCTTCATTCTTTCTTTTTAGGCAATAGTTATGTGTTCCAGAGCTTTGCAGAGTTTTCTCAATAATAAGTTTTTTCTTTTAAAAATTCTCCCACATTAGATTAAAGTCGTTGATTTGCAGTTAGTCTAGTCAATGTTGGCTCCTTGATGTTCGTTGATAATGTTGTACTTCATAAAGCTCCATTAGGAAGAGGTACTTCGCTACTGGTATTCGGTACTGTATCAACTGCAATACCGATTATACAAATCGAATATCACAATGCTTTTCCAAATATTCTTTTTGCAGCAACTCAGAATGAGGTCTGATCATCATGTTTGCTCTAAATATTCCCGTTATAAAATTTTCTAAAAATTTTAAGCAGTACTACTCTGTTAAAAATTAAGATAACAAAATTTATTTCAATTCGTAAAAAGATAAAAGTTTAAAGAGATGACGAAATTTATGATTCGAATTTGAATTTTGAAATCTCTTTTTTCTATCAGTAGGAGGAATGGAGAAATGAAATTTGAAAGTTGTTAAAATTTCTGCATAGGACAAAATTGCTTTATTAGTATGATTGTCTCATTTTTGAAATTTACCTTAAAAAGACGAAGATATAGTTTTTGAACAGAGAAATAGTTTTCGAGACTTATTTTAAGCAGAACAGAAAAGTAGTACAATAGGTTGAAGAGCTGGTTAAATGTAACTGTTTGATGGTTATTATTCTAAACTTATTGAAATAGGTCATGTTTATGTTACCTATTAATGACCACTTTCGATGAGGATTGTTTAAATCTGTATATGATCATAGCCTCAACTGTCTCTGTAATTTGTTGTTTATAAAGTATAAATTATATAAATTTAAATTTAAAATTAACTTTCAAATTATTGATGTTCCAGATTGCATGTATTGAACTGGAATGTTGTTGTATTATTTGGCGATACTTATCTCACGCACCGTTACTGCGCCTGATGACTTGTAGTGAACGTGACATTATCGTAACCATACATTCCAATGGTACCATTGAATGGCGAGCTTGCAAAATAGTGGAGGATGAAAAGATCAAAACGATACTGAGTTATGAGTTGCTGTATTCGGGTGAAACACAACGGCAAACACAACATTGTCGAATATCCGCCGCAGCATTATGCCCTATTACGCAAACTACTGTTGCTTTACTGTATAATTCAGGGAATATTTCTATTTACCAGTTGGTAAGTATCTCTTACTTAAAAGCGTGGTCTTCATTTCCTTAATTCTACCATTGTTTGGGATATCGATGATTTCTGTTGTTAGATTTTTTTTTTTTTTTTGATTTGTAGAGTTTGGAAGAAGATGAGATGGTACTGCCTTATCGAGCATGCTATATTACAGATATAATTAGTGTTGATGAAGATTTGTGCTGCTCAGTAAATGGTCACTTGAAGTAAGTGATATTTCGTTTATTCCTTCTTATTCAAATCAATTGATTCTTTTCATTTAATATATCAAATTCAGGATGTCAAACATAGCACAGATGTTTTCACTGGGTCAAGGAATAACGACAGTACGTATGCAACCAGGACATGCTGATGAAAATAGTAAAATAATACAATTAACTGCTGTGGGAAATAATCAGGGAATTGTACGTTTGGTTGACATTTCAACAGGAATAATCTTCCGAGAGTTACATATCCATACATGTCCTATTAAGTAATTTATTATATTTCATTTAATTCCAGTATTTATTCATATTCGGTGCAGTCATTTTTCTGATGTTTTCTGATGTAATTTTTTCATCTTCAAAACTCACACTTAGTGACTACATTTGGCCTATATCTTATGTATTCCATTGTAATAACGATGAGGTGTGTCAACTTCATAAGTCAAAAATTTTGTATTTTGAAATGGAATTTCAAGTTTCCTAATTGAAAAAAACTATGTAAAGCAGTTACAGATGCATGGATTGGTGTGGACCACATAAACTTATCTCGGCTGCATATGTTCATTCTTTGAGCACTTCATCACTAGTTAAAAATGATATTTTTATTACGGATATTCGAACAGGTATAATATTTCGATGCTGGCTAAAAATTTTCACAACTTGTGAATATATTTTTTTTTCTTTTTGCAGGTGAAAGTAGGAGATTGCGACCAGAAGTGGAGGAGACTGCTGTGGAAATGTTGCGAGTATCGTTTTACCAGTAATTTAATTCCTTGTTTATTTTGATTCCTTATCGGTATCATTCGATGCAATTAGACCGTTAGGGATATTTTCTTACTGTAATCAAATTCTCCATTTTAGCCTCTTTTTCTTAAAATTTGCGCAACTTATTGTTCTAATTCTTGAATTATTGTGTTAAGGTTGTATATTTTCAGTCTTCTGAAATGTAATCTTCTATGACGTGTTTAGTTGCTACGTTGCAATTGGTTTCCGTAATGAACCGTTGGAGATTTGGCATCTGAAATCGATGCGTTTGTTAAGAAGAATGTCTCGTTCATGCCCTATTATTGTTGACATGGTACTTTTTTGTTGGTACTTTCGTTTAAAGTTCCAATTAAATCCATTTCGACTTCTTTATTTGAAGCTCATTGTGCTTCTGAGACTAAATTTTCAAAATTGATTTACAGGCTTGGTCTGGAAAGCATCATGCGGCAAAACAGATTTCACATGGAGATGAACCTGTCTTCCGAGAGAATCTTGTCGTTTTAGATGAGGAATGCCATCTATACCATGTAGTAGTGAAAGGTTTACATGTGAGGGATGGAAAAGAAGTGAATTCACAGGTATTAAACACAAATTTACATGGTCTCATCTTGAATATATTATATGTAGGTATTTTTTTCTTACGTAGAAACTTTTCTAAATTTTTTGAATTTCACTGTTAAGGATTTTAAAAAGATGATCATTTTGTGTGTTTGGCAATGTACGTTGTTGTAGTTGAAATTTCCATATATTTTGTGAACTGTGCAAATTTTTCGGTTTCGTTCACTCGTTTATTGATTTTAACTATTCTTAATTTACGAAAAGCACTGAAATGAGGATTTTAAAATTTCCAACTGAACATTTCCTTAAATGATTTTTGCAGTGGAAAAGTGGCGCAGCAGTAAAATGTTTGGTGTGGAAAGATGATTTATTGGCAATGGGTGATGCTTGGGGACGTTTAGGTGTATGGGATCTAGGACGGCGGCAATGTCATCAAACACGTAGCACTACAAGAGGACCAATTCTTAAACTTGTTTTCTCACGAATTACAGGTGATCATACGCTTGCAGTACTACACCAGCATACCGTTGTTCTGTGGGATTCCGAACAGCTTGTCGTACTTCAGGTATGCAGGATAAAATCTAGTTCAACAAGAAGCTAATTAGTTTGTTTTCTTGCTTCTCTCACTTGTCAAGAATTTTATTGTCATGTTTTAGCATGTCTTTGTTGTAGCTTAAAGTGATCATTGTTCCACTTAATTTAGGTCGCATATGATGATGACAATATTGTATTTAAAGCAAACACATTTGATTGTTTCAAATTCTCCAACCTTTCAAAAATTCTCCTCTTCAATTATGGCGAGCATAATTTGCAAAAACCTTCAACTTGAGTTGTCTTCAAAGATTACTCTCATGAGCGTTTAAATGTTATTCATTTTTCAGCAGTGCAATAGTATCGGTACTTCAGTTTCATTCCTAGATATCGATTTGTATGGTGTATGTCCGCTAGTAATTTGTTCGGATAATTCGTTCCGTTGTTTATCGATCGTTCCTTCAGAAATTCGACATCATTCAGGTTTGAAACTTAGGTATTCCATAGAATTCTGAATTTCATGACTTTTTAATTACTTTTCGGATCGCTTAAAGTTGCTGTAATGCATTACTGTTACTTGTTATCCTCATTATAAATATTTTACAGATCTTCCTCTATTACTTGAGGTTGATTCCTCGCAACTTTTAACAACAATTTTGAACGATGATTCGAAAATTATGTTCTTGCACGGACTTTTAAGACGAAATGAAAGGATTCCATTTGATTCTGATAGCCTTCATCGGTATCCTGCAGTACATCGACTTTTCGGCGAACGATGGTTGTATGATCTATGGTCAGTGGTAATATCTACACTTCATGGTACAACACTTCCATCACGACTGCAAATGTTTTGGAATCCATGCCATTCAAAAGTAACTTTTTTCATCTACAATCCAGTGTTTTTTTTTTTTTTTCGTTCTCTACTTATTTACATTAATTGTTTAATGCGCTTCAGCGAAGAGTTGAGCAGCTCCTTGCATGTCTGATGAGCTTATCCAATTTAAATTCTGTTCAAGTCGACACTTTAGTTCATCTTGCAGTTGTCTTACAAAAGGTTGGTTAACTATTTGAGTTTTGTTCGCGAAGTTCTGTTGACTTAATAGCATGAAATTAGAAAAAACGAAACTTTCTTCACTTGGTGGCATGAAATTAGAAAAAAAATTTTTTTCTTTGATTTTGATAAATTTTTGGCAAGAAACTGATATCTTTTTAAGCGTGATTGGGCGATGCAATTATTACTTGGTTCACATGATGAATATCGTACTAGCGCCTTGCGCGCTTGCCTTCTTGCTTCAGATGTTTCTTCGGAAGGAGCTCAAAGTATCATCAAACTTGTTGCAACTAATCTTATTGCAAATGAGTGCATGACAGGTATGAAAATTTCTTTATTGTTAAAATAAATTGGTGAAAATTTGAAAATCTGTTTTTTCCATAAATTGTGCGTAAACATTCTACTACATGTCTATTAATACTTTTTCCTGTATTTTTTTTTCTGGTTTTATTGGTTTTAAATTTATTTTGTAAAGATCTCTTGCAGATGGTGTACAAATGTTATTTTTAATTGGACATGGTGATGATGCTTGTCGTTATCTACAGGCTCATGGCTTCTGGAGCAAAAGCTTTCATTTTGCTAAAGTCATTTATTCTACGCTATTAAATTTAACTTTAGGATATGTCTTAATTACTGGAATATAATAGTCTTCTCCATCATAATTCGGCGCTTCATTAAGAGATTTTATTCCTCTTAAATGTTGTAAAAATTGAGAGAAGTGGAAGTTCTCATAATTGCCTGTTTACATTATATTAGCACCATTTTTTTTTTCTAGAAAAGCATCATCTTTATATTCGTCAGACCTCTACTACATTTCGCAAAAGATATATTCATGAGATATATTCAGTGAGTAAATAAATGGGAAAATATATATATATATATATATTATGAGAATTTTTGGTCTAGTAATGAAACTCGCATAGGATTTCATTGCTTTAAGTTGAAAGGAATTACCAAACATGAAAATTACCAAATGTTACAAGGGAGAAACTTACCTGAGCTGAAGTATTCATGATGTTGCATATTTTTTAAATTAATAAAATTTTCAATTTCCAGTACTATTTAATACTATTTAAGCTTGGTTTTGATGATTGGAAAGATGTTGGCAACAAATGGGTGGAACATTTAGCAACATCAAAATCGCAAAAGGCAAGTTGTTTATCACTCCTTTTCATTATTGTCTCCTTTTCATTGTCTTAAACATCATTTCAGAATTTGTGCTCATTATTAGCCGCAAGTATTGGTGATTGGAACCGATTATCGACACTCTTAACACAGAATTCAAAGGTAGCAGTTGCACGGCATTTGCTTAAAACAGTAGAGGCCCAATCTATTTTTGTTGCCTATCATCCACCCACAGAATCAGCAAATGAAATTCGACAGGTTACATCTCCAATCTTCGATCCGTAACATCCACCATATTATTAGATTTCGAATATTTTGATGATGAATGCAGGGAATTGTGTAGGAGTGAATAACGGAAAAACTGTTATTTAGAAATCGTTAACGCTGTTGTGTTCCGGTTGTAAGATAGTATTGTTATGATTTTAGGGATTTCTTTATCTTATTTTAGGTACTTGTCAATATGTAAATGTATAACAAATAATATTATACGAAGGAGGTAATGATTATAAGGATTTTTGGGTTTTGTCAATTTTCGCTGTATATTCAGAGCATGTGAGACATGTATTTTAGTAATGCTTCAAATAATTTACCATATTCTGTGTCAGTTGAAGTAAAAGTTTAGAAGGATCCATTGATTCTTGACTTTTAATTTAATGTAATTGTGGTTGATAAGTTTATGATCTTAATTTGGAAAAGCAGTTGAGTTGTGGATGGAATGGACAAAAAGAATATAAGTACTTGAAATAAGTAATCTAAATAGGCGAAAGTAATTAAATGTTAAGTAGTAAGTATCTATTATCTCGTAATTACAAAAAATATGTTTGTCCATAAATTAGACAATCATTACAAAAGTATGCTTGTAGGAATTTCTAATTTAAATAGTTAAATTGAAAAGTAAATAACTGGATGAAGGAAATTGTAGTTTCGAAATTATAAAATTATAATGTATTATGAAAGCGGATATTACTAATTAAAAAATCAAAACAAAAGATAAGTTAGGAGCTATTCTTTGTTTAGTGCTAAAGGTGAGGTAGTGAAATACAACCGTTTATTTTTCCGAATTTATATTGAAAATTAATATGTAGTTGATAAATGGAACGAGGAGAGACTGATTCACAGAGAAATTCATAATGATTAGAGTTGTGATATGTTCTAGTATCATTGATGATATGGAAAATCCATTTTTTTTTTTCATAGTAATATGAAGATAATTGGGTAAACATGTGAGGTATTTTAATTTTTATCTTCTTTTTACAATCCACTGATATGTGCTTACTGTAATTATCATTCTGTTAAGATGATTATATTGTTTGCGGGGAATTTAGTCTTTTATTTCTACAATTAAAAAAAATTAACTTCTATAGACTGAAATATGTCTCTTACAAATTATCAGTTTAAATTCCAGAGAAAGAGATAAAGAAAATGCAAAGAAAAAGAAAAGGAATTCTGTAATTTATTACTTTCCTTTTAGCAGGAAGCAATTTATTGAAACTTTTGAATAGATAAATGATAACTTTACTGAATTCATTCTTTCTGATATTTTCAATTACTGAGTTTTTAAGTTAAGAATTCAGGTAGGAATAGTGATTTGATTTATTTTTGAATGTATAAGAGAAATTATAGTTCTTCTTATAAGTGATTATGATTTACGAAGTATGCGATAATCATTGATTATTATGAGGCAATTTAAATGATATCAAGTATCATTCACATATATGTATAATGTTTATATCTTATATTAGATAATGTATTTTTGGAATAATACAAATTATTACCATTACAAGAAATTAATATTTCTCACTTATGTATACGAATCAAATAAAGCTTCGCATTCAAAATTTCAATTTAAATTTCGGAAAAAAAAATTTAAATAATGTGATAATAATAAACAAGCAATCAGTACTACTTGTACATCAATGGCATCATACGAAGAAAAAAAAACTAATATTATTTCTATTATTAAAAGAGAAAAATTGCCATTATGGATAATTTGCATTTGAATGAATCATCAGATTTTTTCTCTTTCTCTTTTACCAAGACAAGAATTTTATGAAAATTTCACTCTCTTATTATTATACCGTTACTTTCTTTAATCATCACATTTCACTTCATTGCTGATTTTCATCATAAACCATAGTTATGTTAATTATATGAAGTAATTAACAACAATTAATAATTAATAATAATAATAGCAATGTCATTTATAATCTGAAATAATAATTAAGATGATTTATTTACACAAACGTGTTATTTTATCTTTCAAATCTTTTTTTCCATACAAAAAAAAGAAAAAAAAGCAAAGAGTGAAAAGAAAAAGAACAGTCAAGAAAAATCGCTGAATTATATTATCCATCAAGACTGATTCATCAATGAATTGCACAAATGGAATTATTTATTACTTACGATAAAACTGAAAGTATTATTTAATTAAAAAAATTTCCCAACAATTTATTTGATTAATTCCAATTTTTTCATTAAATTCACTTTATTATTTGTTAAGTATGAGAATAAACGAAAAGAAGTATTGTATTAAATTGTACTTTAAATTGGTGAAGAAATATTTAAAAGGTACTTCATCTCCAAAAAAAAAGTATTGTTTAATTCATAATTTGCTTATTCTAAAGTAGAAGAAAGAGGCTTAATTAATAATTTGTTGAGGTAAAAAAAAAACAAATGAAATTAACTAATAATTCGCTTATGTTGAAGATAAAAAAAGAAAGCTTAATTGATAATTTGTGATATTGAAATAACGCAATTTTGTATTATGAAAAAAAAGGGAAACAAAATTGCATGCAATGCAATAGTAACGATAATTTGAAATAGCTCAGAAATCTTCAAAATTTCACTCAATCATTTATGATTGACTTACTTTCAATATTTATCTTCAATCTTTGATTACACAATTATTCTTGGATCTGCTCACTATTCAAATTATAAGACAAGAAAAAGGAAAAAATTGAATAAGAAAAAGAATGCATTGATGTATCCACAAATGGAAATGAATATAATAAATTGCAAACTGTTGATAAAAGTTACAATCCGTCGAAAACTTCATAAAATTAAAGTAGTAATATCAAGATTAATTGAGTATCCGATATGCGATAAACTAATCTTAGATTAATATTCCAGTCAGACATAATAAACTATCGGGTACAATTAAATCACTCAGCAATCATATAAATTATATCATTTACGAAAATAATATGTAAATAAAATAAAATTATGTATTTACCTAAAGTTTTTCAACTCTTAAAACCGATCATTAAAATCAACTTTCAATTCAAAATTAAATTTTTAAATTTTAGATTAAGATTTTAATCAAAAAAAAGCAAAAGCAAAAGCAAAATAGTCAATTTTTATTAGCCTAAAATTCTCATTAATACTTAATTAGCAACGATGTTTGCTTCTTTTTGATCATAAGAAGCAATCCTGAATAATATCAATTATTAGTTAGTTTTTGATTTATTATTATCAGTTATAGTTATCATTTGTTGTTTTCTCCTAGCATTTGCATAAATTGTTGCAGCAACAATTGCAATTAATCCACCGATACCAATTACGGTAAGTGCTTGACTATCTTCCTGAAATGTTTGTACAGGTAAAAAGAAAAGAAAAAGGAAGAAATGAATGAAAGATGAAATTGGATGAAATTATTACTATGAATTATTTTAAGTTAATTATCGCTTAATGAAATTATATACCAAATATTAAATGTATCATTAACAGATACCATCACTTAAACTAATTCATCAAATTTGGGAATGAATTTTGAAAGTTTACATTAAACCTTTATATTGTACATCTTATGATTGCATATCACAAACAGTCACATGTAGATTTTATAGCTAATGAAATTGATAAAATCGAACAAATGATAACTATTCTAATAAAGTAATAAAACTGAGAAATGCAAGATTCTTAATTAGAAAAAAAAAAAGAAAGAATCTATGCATAATACTGAGCTCTTCTGATAAAGAAAACAATGTGATAAATTGAATCAAAGTCATAAAATGTTGAATTAGAAAATGAAAAAGTATACCAAAATATCAGCAATTCGTTCCTTAACGTGCTCGTAAAAATTTTCAAGTGCTGTTGGTGGTTCAGGTACGTGATAACCACGTAAATCTTTGAATTTGTACATTGCAAATTCTGTCAAACTACGAATATTTTTGGCTGCATCTTTATAGCGATACATTTTTCCTCGATGAAAGCTATAAAATTAAAACTTTAAAAAAATAAAATTTCTTTTTAAAAGTCGAAGTGATTGCCTTCATACAATAATCGATGGAAAAAAATGGGAAAACATTAAAACTAGAAACTAAATTGAAATTTGAAAGTTAAAATTTTTAATTTATATGAACAATAAGTATCTATTTTTATTTACTTACAGCAAGAATACTGGACATTGAGCATCATCTAGACGGAAACGATCTGTCACATCATCATTGATTGACATGTCAACCTTGCCGACATTGACTAAACCACGTAATCTAAAAAAAAAAAATTAATTAATGAACAAAAATTATGAACTTCTCATTCATAAACTTTTAGAATTTGATTTAAAAAAAAAAAAAAAAGAAAAGAAAACTGTTACTTACTTATGTGCCACTGATTCCCATAATGAAACAAATGCATTACAATCCGGTGCTTCTGATTTATAACTATAAAAATTAGAAAATTTCTTAATTACATATTTCAAAATTTAAGAAAATTTAAAATAATTTACAAATGTTTAAATTTTACAATGATAAAAAGCTTAATAATTGCTTCTTAAACATTTAAATGGTTAATATTTAAATTTTTTGTTGTCTTAATTATTAATAGTAAATGAAATATGAAATACTTACAACATAACAAACCAATCCAGTGCACCTTCATCAGGTGAATAGCTATCAGTGTAATATTCAAAGTTATCATCAGTAAGAACCCATGTAACTACTTCATCATGAGATCGTAGCCATCGTAGTATTGCTTCCGATTCCTTGAAATCGCCTAAGAGAAGAAAATAGAACTTAAAATTGTTAAATTTTATTTTAAAACTAGCAAATTTGACAAAAATATAAATTTCAAATGTTCTAATAATGAATAAATGTACATGCACTCACCATCATATGTAACAGGATTTTTCCGCCTAAAGTAAACTAAGGCTGGAAATGTGGCAACACCAAGTTCACGTGCAACACTTCGATCATCCGTTTTAACGACCTTTAAACAATTTCACAGAATTGATTATTTGGAATTAAAATTCAATAATAACTAAATGATTTTTTTTTATATTCAAAGAAAATAAAAACAAACATTAATGCATACTTTTCGAACGCAATAATATTTGAAAGAAATTACATTTTTATATTTTATTTGTTCACTTAAATACGCGAACAACAAAATTTTATGAGAAAAAAACAATTCAAATTATTGGGATTTCAACCTAAATAAATGAGAATTTAAGTATTTATAACGATTCTTTAATGTGAAAAAAAATTGCATTTCTTTTTTTCATAAAAATGGAAAATAAAAAAAAAAAAGAATTTGAAGCAAACTTCAATATATCCAGTTGCTTCAATATCATCATCGATCTCCTCCACCACAGCAAGTGCTTCACCACAACTTGGACATTTCGCATATCCATCATCTATACTAGGAATATCAATTTAGGATAATGATAAAATTGATTTCCAGTCATCGAATTAAACAAAATTTATAAAAATTATCATAGTTTCCAATCAGTGCCCCAGAAATACACTTATTTTCTTTTTATTAAAAGAAATTATTATTAATTAATTACTATTATTTCTTATTATTGTTGTTGCATTTGCTATTAAAACTATTGTTATTATTCGTTTTTATTCATTATTATTATTATTTGAAGACATTTAACAAGTTTTTTTTTTTTTAAATATTGTCTTAATTTAAAATGAAAAGCGAGGAGAACGAACAAAAAAATATGACAAGATTTTTGGTTGCATCACGAATAATTTCATCAATTTTATCCTCATCAACGTCTTCTATCGTATTAGCTTCATCTTGCGTAAATTCTTGACGTGATGGCGTTATCCGACGTGCTTCCTTCTATAAATAATATATATGAAATAATTAATGCAACTAACATTTCGTTTTAGTTGTTTTATTAATTATTTTTAAAAGCATTATTTAAATGTCCCTATCAAAGTAACCAATTTGATGAATATTTTATATCTGTTTTTAATCCTGTAATTTATTCTACTAATATTTCTCCCTTCTTTAAGTTTAGCGATTCAGAAGTTTCTATTTTTAATATTGTATCTTGATTTTACAAATTATTACAATAACCTTTTTTTGTTCTGAATTTAACTAAAAATAATTAAGTTTTAACTCATTTTAACTCATTTTAACCCCATTTTAACTATTAAACTAAATATTTAATCAAAAGAAAAGAATAGCAATTGATTGCATAACAATTAAAATTAACAATAAGTTTACCTTATGTTTAGCATTATTATTATTATTAGAATGAGATTGTTGTTGTTCTTTATGTGTTTCATCTGATTTTGATGATTTACCTCGTTTTGCATCCAATACACATAATGATGACAACAGTAGAATTAATAATGAAGAATAGTAATTCATTGTAATATAATATTTAAATTCTCTCTTATATATGTATATAATACTAATAATAATAATAACAATAATAATAATAATTATTATTATTACTATTGTTATTATTCATAAAAAAGGAATTTGTTTATTTAATTAATAACAATAGAAGGATAGAAATTTGAATGTGTTTACAATACACTACGTAATAGATATTTTTTTTTAGTTTTTTTTATATACGTAAGATAAGAATAAATCGAATGTGTAGAATTAAAGAATTAATCATAGAATAAACAAACAAAATGAAGAATAAGTCGTATGGAAGTAATGAAATAATACAAAAAATAGAAGTAAGTATTTATATTTTAAATTCGGAATGAAATAACTTTTCTTTCCTCAATCGTTTTGGCAAAATATTGTTGGAAAATAAAGCAAATTGAAGATGTAATAGGTGTGTATATATGTGTGTGTGTGTGTGTGTGTATTGTTGTTAAATATCTTTGTAACAATGATAACATATAGAAAGCAAGATAAAAAGAGTTTGATGGTATTTTTGCTTGACAAATGAAAGATGAAGGGGAAGTTCTTAAAATTTAAGATTGTTCATTAGTGTGATACAGGGGAGGTAGATAGATAGATAGATAGATAGATAGATAGATAGATAGATAGATAGATAGATAGATAGATAGATAGATAGATAGATAGATAGATAGATAGATAGATAGATAGATAGATAGATAGATAGATAGATAGATAGATAGATAGATAGATAGATAGATAGATAGATAGATAGATAGATAGATAGATAGATAGATAGATAGATAGATAGATAGATAGATAGATAGATAGATAGATAGATAGATAGATAGATAGATAGATAGATAGATAGATAGATAGATAGATAGATAGATAGATAGATAGATAGATAGATAGATAGATAGATAGATAGATAGATAGATAGATAGATAGATAGATAGATAGATAGATAGATAGATAGATAGATAGATAAAATGGATGAGTTATATCACTTAGATTGAGATGGAAAGGGTGGAAAAAGAAGAAAAAAAAGGAAAAGAAAGTTTGTGTAAATTTTCCTCATAGCAAATGTCATTGCTTTTTTTAAAGCTAAGTAATAAGCTTTTCTAATATTTACAATTTTTGAACTAAACTTGTAAATGTTTTTTTTACTTCACTCATTTCTCTCTCTTTCGAACCAATAAGATTTAATTAAACTTGTTATTTTAACAATATCATAATGTTTCTTTCATAAGACAAACATGAAAATGAATATAATGAATAGGAGGAGGATGGGGAGGAGGAAAAGGAAGAGGAAGAGGAAGAGGAGGGGGATGGGGAGGGGGATGGGGAGGAGGAAAAGGAAGAGGAGGAGGAAGAGGAGGAGGAAGAGGAGGGGGATGGGGAGGAGGAAAAGGAAGAGGAGGAGGAAGAGGAGGGGGATGGAGAGGAGGAAAAGGAAGAGGAGGAGGAAAAGGAGGGGGATGGGGAGGAGGATGGGGAGTTATATGAAAGAAAAATGAATGAATAATTAGTGATAAAAAAACAAATTGAAAATGATAAAAATCATTACTCTTTCAAGAATAACATCATAATCGTAAGAATAAAATATTATTATTATATTTTGTTCATTAGCAATAAAATGAGAGTGAAATTTTATTATTGAAAATTGAATGAAGAGAAGAAATTTTTCTTCTTCTTCTCTCTCTTTTTCTCCCCTTTTAGTCTAAATTCTGTGTTATTTTGTTAAAATATAAGGATACGAAATTTTTCATAAGAAATAATTTAAAATATTCAAACGATTTCTTCTGTTATTTTTTTTCTTGCTTAGAAAAAATATCAAATGTGATAATGTTAAAAATAAATACAAAATTAGCAGTTTGTCTGAGAAGGTAATCATTACTTATGTTTCTACCAAATGTTACATTTAAAATCTTTCCTCCCTTCCACTTTTTCTCAAATTTCAAAAATTTCATTCAATTTCAAGACTCTTTGTAATGGAAGCTTATGAAATTGAAATAGGATTTTTTGTTTGTTAAATTATTGTTGTGTTGCTATCATATTATGTCTGAAGTAACAGGAAATAGCAGGAAAAGAAATTTTTTGTATTATGTTTAGGTTTTAATTTAAATTTTATATTGGTTTAAATTTCACATTTTGCAATTTAAATTTCATACTATATTTATTATTGCAAAATAAATCTGGAAAGATAAGCGAAGATTTTAAATTGAAATTTGAATAATTTAGGCGTGGACGAATTCTGTCATATATATAATATTATGTCTGAAATAGCAAGAAATTATTATTTAAAACCTTTGGTTTACTTAAAATAATAAAACATTTCTATCTGACCTCCCTTCTCTCTACTTTTTTTATAATTCTAATTCGCATGAAACTGATTAATTTACATCGTATGGAAACTAAAAAAAAATAATGAAATATTTAGCAAATTAATGACTGATGAATATTAAATAATAACATCATGTTTTATTGGTTTTAAAAAATCATTTTTCTTTTTTTTTTCTCATTTTTTGTGTATTTGTGATGTAAATTATGATCAATTAAGTTTGATAATTTATTAATTAAACATCTTTTTGTAAGGTAAAAAAAAAACGATATAAATATAAAATTACATGACAAATCAGCTTAGTAAATGCAAAATATTAAGCCAACTATGCAATTGTCATGAAAGTATCTTTGGAATAATTATTATATAAAATGATACAGATATGAGTTTAATGGTATATTTAATAGCAATTTATGATTATGTCATTTATGCAAATGTGTTACAAAAATACATTGTAGTTGCAAGCGGTACTAAGTGTAAAACCACTTCTTATTTATTTGTTCAAATCAAAAAAGGCTGCAGGCCAATCGATGTTCAACTTATATATATTTGGTTCATTTCACATATATGTATGTGGGTGGAAGTATGCAAAAGCAATCTCATCCTTGCTTGAATCATTTAAATTTGTAGAATTGTTCGTGGCAAATGTAAACAAGTACTTCTGTTCAGTACTTCATCGAAGAAATCAATAAATCATAGATTGAAAAGCTGAAATATACAACAAAGTAATAAGTAGAATGTGTAGGAAAAAAAAAAAAACGAAGAGGAAAAAAGAAAGGAGAAACCACGAATATAAAAGAACAGCTCGTTTTCAATTTAAAAAAAAATCGAAATTTAATGAATAAGAAATTCTTCGCCAATTTTAACGCAGCAAAAAAGAAAAAAAAAAGATAGCATAGGGACAGGAAACAACAGATAAATAAGAAAAGGAAGTATTTCCTGTGCATGCTTGTGCTATCATGAATTAACATTAAACACTGATGATGCCAATTATAACTTAAGCATGCCTGATACTTGGGTAATTTTATGACATTTAATGTGACAACAATGGATACTAAGCAAAAAAAGTTTTATAGAGATATGAATTAGGGAAGAGAAAACCAATTTAATTAGCACTATAAATTTAAAACGAAAAAAAAAAGAAAAGAAAATAAGGAAATGATTTAAGGAAAAAAGATAAACCAAAGGATGGAGATCCACTCCAAATTCGTAATGCTATGGTATTGGAAATAAGTGTACAGATTGAAGTTACAATACGACTGGCATGCTACATTTTCCTTTTAATGTAAAATGTAAAATAGTTCTGCAAACATTTGTAAGAAAATAAATGAAAACAAGAAATTATCTCAATATAGTAATAAAACATCAAATTAGCTTAGTGGATTTGTATTAAAAGTAAAATGAGTTTTTGTAAATTCATTCAACCGTTTTAACTATATTCCGAGGTAGAATTCGAAAAAGAAAGGAAAAGGATAAAATAATTTAGGTTAAAAGAAAAAAAGAATTTAAAAAAAAGCCAACTTTACAAAGCAAAAGTGTAGTTCAAATTGTTCCAACGTTTTACGCACATAGTAGGATCAGCATGTAAACAAATAAGAGATGGCTAAGGTAGATTGATAACACAAACGTAATTTTTTTTTTTTTTTTTTTTTAATACTCAACCACCAATAAAAAAGAGACTAATTTTTAAGAAATGACGAAAAAAGTTTAAAAATGTAATTACAAATATTATGAAAAATTCTGAACTTTACATAAAAAACAACAATATGAATCAACAAAATACACATGTTCTACTTCTTCGTCTGTTAGAAAATTGATATCTTGCATTCATATTCTTTTCTGTACTAAACTATTAGTGCAGTATTTCATGCATAAATAAGAATTTCTTGCTCGAGTGATTTCAAAAAAAGAAATTCGAATGGAAGACTGGAAAATTCTGTTGCAAACTTTCCAATAGCATTTAAACAAATAGATGCAAAAAAAAAAAAAAAGAAATAGGGATGCAAGGAGTATTTTAGCTGATCAATTTGAGATATTCCTTTAATGATGTAAGTTCCTGGTTTAATACAATAAAGAGAAGGATAACATGAATAGAAAACAACAAAAGCTGAAATTCTTATGAATAATTTAATCGAAAATTCCAGCATCTTCTAAATATATGACTCAGTTTAAATCTTTTAAATATATGCCTCAGTTGTTAACTTGTACATTAATGAAATGAATAATGCAATAAGCGCTACTTTACACTACCTTTCAAATGAATCCCTGAAAGGATATTACGATAGATTTCAGAAAAAATTGTAAACAGTACAATAATTAACGACTATTGTCATTCATTTTAATATCCATCAACGGTTATTAATATATGATTCATCTTTCAAAAACAGTGTAATTACGTAGTCAACGCTGAATACAACCATCATACATGTATTCTTGCAATCATAATTTCCAATATCAATCGTATCACTTCATTTTATCTATCGCAAAGATGTTAAACAACCACCGGCTAATATGGTAGGGCTTCAAACTAGTCTACGTAACAATCATATCCAAATGACAATTCGAAAAAAAAAAAAAAGATGATATCCTTACATAAATACAAGAAAAAAAAAAAAAGAGCTGACATTGAGAAAAACACGATGAGTTAACTGATTCTAAGCAGATAACAACTAAAAACAAATACATCCAATTAAAATTCTGAACACATTAGTTCTACGCAGACTGTTTTAAGCATTTTTTACCAATTATTCACGTTTACCCGTGTATGAGTGCTTGGAATTGTAAACACACGTTTATGCTAATTCAAAGACCTGGCTGAGAAACAGTGACAAAATGCTTTGAACTCCTGTGGCAAACCAATCAATAATAATGCTTCTCCTACATAATTACACATATATATGTAGAACACAGGCATTGCTTATGAATGTGATCTTCTGGAATGCCTGTCTCGGTGATGTCTTTCGTCTGATCGTCTCCTTTCACGGCTTCGTGAACGTGAATTATGTCGTTCCTCAAACCTAAAAATTAGAACATATCATAACATGCATTTGACAAACTGAGCTCATATTATCATCGATGTAAATGTTCTGCTCGTATATTTCAAGCAAACTATTAAAACAATACCTTCGGCTTCTTTTAGTACGTGATCGAGAGCGTGATCTCAACCTTTTGTGACTTCTTGAACGACGTCGTTTGTGATAAGACTCTCCACTGCTTGACCTTCGACGATAACGTTCGGGAGTTTGGGATTCACTTCTATCACTATCCGATCTAAAATACTTATCTTGATAATTTAATAAAGATAAACATGGGAATCAAATTTTTTGAACTTACGCATGGCCAGTGCCTTTTTTCGTCGAATCTTCCCTACTCCTACCACGTCGTCTGAAAGAAATATGTAAGAAATTGAAAATAACAATAAATTTTATAATTAAAACTCAGTGCCCTTACACTGAATTTGTTTCTTTAAAAAAGAAGGCAAATGATCAAATGATCATGGGGGGAATTTATAAAGTTAGAATGACGAAGTTCCATAAAGAAGGTAGTAATATATATCAAACATCTCCTGTGGAAATTTCAAAGAAAAAACCCCGTTACCGTTTCTTTAGACGCTCCCTACTTCGTGATTTCTTCCGTTGTTGTTGCTTCTTTGACTCGCTAGTATGCTTTTCCTTCTTGTTTCTTTTATTGCCTTCATCAATATTGGAGCCTAATTTCTTTTCATCTGGAAACGTTTAACTGAACATTGGAGATCACGTGTGTAGAAAATACAAAATGTAACATTGGTAAGACAGCCGTAGTTAAAACATGGTGAAATCTAGCACGCATTACTTTCCGAGTACTTTTTAATAGACAAATCCCTAAAAGAAAGTAAGCCAGATTATGTAACAAATGCTATATTACATAAAATTAAACCAAAAAAGTTCCTAAATTTTGTTAAAATTGTTCCATGCTTTTGTAACACACACACACACACACACACACACACACACACACACACACACACACACACACACACACACACACACACACACACACACACACACACACACACACACACACACACACACACACACACACACACACACACACACACACACACACACACACACACACACACACACACACACACACACACACACCACACACACACACACACACACACACACACACACACACACACACACACACACAACACACACACACACACACACACACACACACACACACACACACACACAACACACACACACACACACAACACACACACACAACACACACACACACACACAACACACACACATACACACAACACACACACACACACACACACACACACACACACACACACACACACACACACACACACACACACACACACACACACACACACCACACACACACACACACACACACACACACACACACACACACACACACATACATACATACATACATACATACATACACACACACACACACACACACACACACACACACACACATACACATACATACATACATACACATATATATAATGCAAGAGATGATGCCTGATCGAGCAGTACAGAATGCACATAAAATGAACCTCCAGCACTCCAGCCTATAATTCTCAAGACAATGACCACTGCCACGAAAGAGAAAATTTTTGAAAAAACCGACTGCATTGAAACTCAACCTATTTCCTTGTATGCATCAATTTCATTCTTCGTAATCGCAACACGTGACGACGCATCATCGCCATTCTTCTTTTCCTGGACAGCAGTTTTTTTCTTTTCAACACCTGAAAATAAAAATTCTCAGTTTAGCCATACTTATAAATGCTGCCACAAACACGTGGAAGTAATTCGGAAGTTAATCCATACCCAGAAATTCCATGGGTGCCAAGCCTTCTGAAATAAGCATAAACGAAAAAACCTAAACCCCTTAAAATATTACTCTTATTGAAAAGGAAACCGCATATTTCTCAAAAGGTCCTTAAGTTTATTCATTTCCGTGGGGTAACTTCTTTTTTTATTTTTGTTTGAAAATTGAAAAGATGGCACCCACGGTAGGTGATTGGTTTATCCTTCGTTTCGAACTGAAGATGTATATGTATTAGTGAGGTGTGTCACATGGGCTGAGATGCATAGTAATACCTTGGGAGGATTCTGTAGAAGAGAATCCATCATTGCTACTTAACTTGGCCTTACTCTTAGCACCCGATGATAGTACTGGAAGAAGTGGCACACTGAACAAAGCATCATCCTCATTGCTACCTTCATTACCATCACCACTAATATTTGACTTCGAGAATTCTTCGCCTTTCGTATTACTATTGGATTCGTCCGACTGCTTCATATCAGTTTCTTCGCTCGATTCATCATCGCTTTCAGCACCTGAAATAATCGTATTTTTGAACTAATGAATGAAATAAAAGATTCGTATATGATGTTAAGTTAGGGATCGGCAAATGAATTGTAATTAGAGGCAATGTCAGAAATGTGGCTAAATCTAAATTATCATATTTTGCAAGAGGACTGAAAGCTAGGACGATTGAGCTTGACGAAGGTCATAAGTCGTACCAAATGAAAACAAATGACAAACAAACAAACTCGAACCGTCACACTAGCTGGATGTATGCTCAAGGTTGAAACAAGGACTTGATCTACTCAAACTGAGTACGTTATTTCATTCATAAAAAGACTTAAGATGTGGAATGGAGAACAGCGTCCTAATCATAAAATACAGACATTCAACAGGACGCAAATTTAATTTCGACTGGCAACAATTTGGAAAATACGTATTGAACAGTGCAAAACACGAACTCTCAGAACAGAAATACCGGAATATGGTCAGAATAAATAATTAAACAGTTTAGTCAAAAAGAACAAAAAGGCGACACAAAATGTAATAAAAGCTTACCAAGTGTACACAAAGCGGCGAGAGCCGAACTTTGGGCGAGAACTTTTGGCTGGGCTAAACATATATTCAACTTCATTAATCGATCGTTTTCAAAATCGAAATTGCGACGTTACAATGTGGAAGTCACAGAAGAAAGCGACTTGTTTGTAAGTTTTAAAATGAACATTAATAATTTAACCTGCTACCTTGGAAACTGGGATATTTTTATTCTGATCACCGATGCCAGAAAAAAGCAGAAATTGTTGCAGGAACAATTTCAAGTGACGAATGGCCGAAAAAAAAGCTGTCAACCACTTGTTGAACGTTAAATTTTAAAATTGAAAATATGTACCAGAACGTTTAGCAAGTTCAATGTGTTCCCTAGCAATACGATTCAACTCATCATCCGTTGTTTCCAGCAAAATTTCAGTCATGAAACGTCGCAAAAGCATCAGCTGCAAACAAGTTAGATTAGCATAAATCGTTGGGTAATGGATGTACAAATAATCATGAAGATTTGTCTTTTACTTTGTCAGAAATTTAATTTTATATTTTCAAACAATCCCAAGCATCTGAATGAGAATCAATCTCAAACCTTTACTACAAAAGAATACTATGTCGCGAAATGAGATATATCCAACTTGAAGTGACTAACTTTAAGATAGTATTAAATACAGTGGGATATAACAATTCGCGAAATAGCAACTCTTCTGTTAAATAATAAAGAAAATTATGCAGTACGGCAGTAAAGTAAGTATAAAGCATTCAACAATGTAACAAATATAAGATATAGAACAATTAATTACACATAAGTGCCACCATGATTTACGATTCAATAGCAAATACTTCTCAACTTCCTATCTAATTCTCTTCGAAGACAATGTAAGAATAAGCGTAAAAATGTCTAGATACTTACTGCATCTTCTCGTGTCTCTTCTTCGGTTCTACAATCAATTTCCGTTGTGTCCTTAGACGGCTGTTCCTGTTGCTTCTCTAATTTCTTTTTCTGGAGGAACACTGGTTCTTGATCAAGTTTGGCTCTTTCTTTTGCATCTTCGTTCCCGTTCTCGTCTTCGCTACTATCAGAATCCTGAAACTCGTCCAGAACGATGTCATCATCATGTATTAATAAAAACTATTCTCTAATATAAATTTCAAATACATTGTGCAACAATCAAAAATCATAATCCTACAAATTTTCCCAATCCTTTAGCAGCACGACGAGCTTTTGCTGCTTCTTCAGCAGCTCGTAACTTGGCTTCTTTAGTTTGTTTTTTTTGCCTTTCTTGCTCAGCTTTTTCTAAACCTTCACGGATCCAGGCTGGTAAAGCTTTTCGTGTCTGCTGATCTGAAAAACATGATTTTAACAGTATCGGAAAACAGTACGCTGCTGCTGTACCTATGCCACTGTCATTTGAAACTACAACCATGAAGAACAAAAGTAATAAGTCACACTGCTAAAACCAACCGATGAAAGGCAAAGGATGAGAGTTCGAAGGTGAATCACGACGTGAAGGATGATACCAATTTGGTGGTGGCGCCCAACCAGGACCTGGCTTAAGCCAATGAGCCATAGCACCTTCTGGAACTGTTTCTGAGTCATCCGAATCATTATCACGCCTACCACTTTTCTGTTTCTCGTCCCATTCTTTATAATAATGTGAATACTGAAAAATAATCATTTAAAAAATAAATAATGTCCACTTATTCATTTATAAACTTGGCTTGTAGCTGGCTTACAGTATATACAGACATTTAGCTTATCTCCATAAACTATTATTTGAGTTATTTCAACGAGATGATATCTGTCCTACATCACGAAGCAACAGTTGGAAAATATAAATAGGTTAGAGTAACATAAAATGCATTAATAACGTGTGTCAAAAATGGTACAAAAAAACTTGCCTCACCCCCTTCCTCATCGTCAATTCCTATCTTTGCTTCACCGTAAGGAGGCGCTGGCGGAAAGGGACCAGGTGGCATCGGTGTGGCGCCCATCCATGGCGGAACTGGTGGCATAAAAGGAGGAAATGCGCCGGCAGCTGGAGGTCCGAAATTACTTGGCGGTAAGGGTGGTATCCAACAAGGCGATGGTGCAGCAAAATTAGCATCTGAAACTTTCATAGATAAAATAAGTATATGGAGATCAAGCAAGAGCAAATAACCAGGCAATATCATATAAATGCATACAGTTTCACTAAAGTTTTTAAGTTATACTGAAGCAAACAATACAATTCGAAAACGTACCAACAGGCATAGTAGGCAAATACCCACCAGGTGGCAAAAAAGACCCATTTACCGGTAGTCCATCGGATGCCGGTGGCGGATGCGGTGGTGGCGGCTCCTTGCTTGGCGGTGGCGGTATAGAATCATCAGATGTTACTGGAGGAACTTCTCCGGCATCGCGCATTTGCATCCATTTTTGTGCTAATTGCGCCCAATTTACTGCAGTTTATGGATAAACATGAACTGTTAACTCCAAAAATAAATGCAGTACAAAAATTTTTTTGAATTTTTGTTGTTTAAATCTACTTTATTATCTGAAAGCGCTTCTGATATCGACATAGTGCCAAATTCCCAAAGCATAAAGCATAGATTTCTAATCATCCGAAATCAATTCAATAAATTCATAATGGATGATTACGAAAGAAGACAGTGCGATAAAAGAGATCATTATCCTTATTTTCCCACCATTATCATATCAGTGTTTTTAATGCCCAAGTTGATCAAGTCCAGAAAGAATTAGTAGAGAAAAGATGGAAATGAGTTTTTTAACTTCACCTGTGTGTACTTTGTCCGTGATTTTCAAATTTCAACTTTTCGTTACATCTCAAACTGATTTAATTGGTCATGCCATACTTACCTTCTGAATTCGGTATATTTTGATAATAGGATGCATCCAACCACTTCGCGTTATTTTCTGCCATTTTCATGAACTAACAATATATCACTTGATCTCATGGATTTCCACGTGTATTCTTCAATTCAGGGAAGTTTTAGGTTGAATTTTAATCAAACTGATAATTACATCGTTAGGTACAAAAAAGAAATCAAATAAATATCAACGTTATAATCACCTTCAACTTAACACAACTACACCTTTGCGTTTCATGATAATATAGAATATGTGACGATATATTTACCATACGGTTTAATGAAATAGGAGACAAAAGAAGAATGAGAAAGACAGTATAAAAAAAAAAAGGAAGGCAAAGTAATAAAGATAGATTGCAATCTAGTATAGATTGCAATCAAGTATAGATAGATTGCAATAATAAATGGAACAAGGACTAATTAGTGTCCACAATTAAATAGTTATCCCAAAAATTTCTGAAAAGGATATGGAATACTGTTTTCATCATTTTGGTATGGAAAGAGTGAATGTGAAGAATTAATTCAAAAATTCACAAGTTTGAAGCTAGAAATACCACTGAATTATCACACAGATAAATAAAAAAAAAAAGGAAAAAAAGCAAAGTTAGGAAGGAACTAGCAAATAGAGCTCAACTGATAAAATCTTGACATGTAATTCTGTTAATCATCAAAAAAATGAAAAATATATGCACTAATAGTGTATTAATAGATATCTCAGCAATTAGACCATCAATCTATTATTGAATATAGAAAAAGTGAATGAAATTCAAAAATGACCGAGTAATGAAAAGAATCTGAATGAACTCATTAGGAAAGTTCAAAAATTATGTAGAACATAAAAATGATAAATATATTTGAGAGTAATGTATTTCAAGTCTGCCTATCATAAAGTTTACTTCCTATCAGATTTGTCACTTAGCTGAGCAAATTGATACTTCTGGATGATAACTTGTTAGATAGTTCTAGACAAGCAAAGATCAATTCTGACACATTCCATTGTTCTTTCATACGTCCTACAAATTACTGCTACTAATATGGGAGTCACAGAAATACCCAGACTTTCATCAATCATCGAGACTAACCCACACACACCACATCCCAATCCATCCCTACAGTTTTCTAAAGTGCTCTTTGAGACAAACCAACTTCAAACCACTAATCTCACTTACCATCTCAAATACACTCTCTTCCATTCTACCACCGTTCGCACTCTCCACAAATCACACTCTCTTTCGCTTCGCTACACATAACCAATAAAGTGATGAGTGATAAGTTTTTTGAAAAATGTATATTTGCAGATACGATCCCACTTTTGCTACCTTTTTACGAGGAATCAGGACTCTCTCTCCCTCTCTGTCTCTTTCGCTCTTGAAAGGAGAAGCTCTCTCAAAATTTCCATTTTTCACATTTGTTGTTATGCTTGAGATAATTACCCTCATTGGATGATAGAATTTATGTCGAGAATTTGAAATGAATCGAGATTGTAAGATATATTCAAGCAAAAGAAATACAATAATATAATTCATATTGATCATACAATGATTCATTCAAAAGAGTCGCTACATTTATGATATATTCGGTGCATATTGAATTCATCGAGAGTTGCTGTATCCACAAAATTAATCGAAATGTAAAATTTAATGCTATTCAAAGAATCTTTTAAAAAAATTTCTTAACAAACTGAGAAATTTCTCTAATATGAATGAAACATATTAAATGTTATAAGAGAAAATGGAAGAGATGAAAAAGAATTTTTTTTTTTCATGCGCTATCTCGAATTTAATGTAGATCAATACGAAGCTAAATTTTTGCATACTACAATGGTAACCCAATTTTCACGAATCTTCTCTAACATTCACTCTTCCTCCTTCTATCTTTCTATCATTGTATAACCAAAATCCGACATTTTCATTACTAAGAATAAAAGATAATATGTTAAACACTATTTTATCCGCTTATTTACCTTCCTAAATATTACTGATTTGAATTTCATAAATAACGGCTAAAACGAATCCAAGTACAATTATTTTCTTTTTTTATTGCCGGAATTTTTCAACTGTCAAAATTCTCATTAATATTAATTCTATTGGAATGATGAAGTATTCAGTTATTGTGGGAGAATTTCTTGCGTTACATAAGTTTGTTTTAGCCGATTTATTGGTTTATTGATAACTATGAGAAATAAAAATACATCAGGCAGAATGAAAACGAATCAATATGGAGAATAATTCAATATAACGAATGGTATTCTGAAACACTTCTATTATGATTCTAAATCATTGCACATCATTTTTCATAAACTATCATGTAAAGGAGCCACTAATAAATCAAAGTGCTTTAACCACTGCCAGGTATATATCAGATAGTTTTCATTTTAATCTTTTTTGACCAGATTAGCTGAGCTGGTTTGGTGAAGTAATCCCGTGAAATAATCCCGTCACCACAATCTTTTCGAAAGAACACTATCAGAGATAATTATGGAGCAATGGCAATCATTTATTCTATTTTTCTTACTCCTCAAATTGCCAAACTTTTTTTATGCTTTGTACTTGCAAATCATAATATTAACACTGACAAAATAAAAGATACCGGATGAATGGGTTGCAAATATTTTTTGCACATATAAAAAGGGTGCAAAGGAAATGTTTCAGACAGAAATATTCAGGGAATTCTGAAAAATGTAATCAAAAAAAAAAAACTCTAAGCAATAATATTGAACCATGCCCTTACAAAAGCAAAACTTGAGGATATGCAAGGAAAAACATAAAACAATTCATTGCGGTGGCTGTTTCAAATATAAAACATGAAAAGAATATCGAACAGCATTATAATGACTTCGATACTTATTTCCCACTATATTTGTGGTAGATTACATAATATCGAATTTATCCCCTATTTATTCTCACAAATATTTCTCTTTTCTTCTGCTAGAAAATGGCAGAAACCAAAATCATATGGTGAATTGGAAATTAAAACATTTTTTGATAGGAGTTACTTTATAGTTATGAACTATTCATACAAATTCTATCAATTCTCAAAAATACTCAATAAACAGCATCCATGAGTGAAGATTAAATTCCACACTAAGTTTACTTCTACTTTATTCTAATGCATTAGAAATTCTGCTATTCTCAAACGCAACAAGTACCTAAGAAGTGAGAATACATAACACATATGAGAATACATTTTCATATCACAACATACAAACCTAAAGTGAAAAAAATTTACTTTTAACTCATTACTTCAGAGTCATAAATTCCCGGACTTGTTAACGTCCTCGCTCTTCGTTTTCTCAATGTCATTCCCAAACTTCGTTCCGGTACAACATGAGGTCTTTTTCTGACTGGTGATTTAGTCGTTTGTCGACTTCTACGACCACTTTGTTTTGGTGTACGCTTTGCACTAGTACTTTTTCCCGCTTCATCTCCTCTTCGACCTTCTTCAACATCCTAAAGACAAATACGGATATTAGCACAAAAAATGCTTAAGATATGCTGTGCTACAATTAACTTCTTCTCTTTCAAAGTAAGTGTAGAAGAATCGATGAAAACAACGTGCCGTAGTCGCTTCAGGAAATAACAAAGACTCTCGTTCGTCATTAACCGAATTTTGTTCACAATCTTTTACTGATAGTGTTTGCAAGGGACATCTTGGATGATGTGAAGGATGGATGTCACCAATCAATATGCCATCGACAATTTCAACTTGCGCAATCTTAAAGAAAAAAATTTTTTGATAACCAATAATTTTTTTTTCTGAATTAGATTTTTGTCAAGAATATAGATCAGGAAAAAGGACATGAATTTTTAATTTTTTACATTGCCTGATAAATTGTTCGACAACTAAGCATATATATATATATATATATATTTAAGCCAATTACCAGAGAAATAAATTTAACTTGTCAACAACAAATTATTTATGTCCCAAAACAATTACTAACAGTCATTATTGACATTATGCAGATATTGTTTATTATCTACTTATCTTTGTTCTAAAAAGAATCTGTTTGTTGTGTAATAAGCATTTTTATGTGAGTGAATCAAGAGATCACCGCATTTGTCATGTATCACTTACTGGATCTTTTTTGGTTTTATGTAATAAATCACAATCGGCGCATTTATATAATTCGCGATTTTGCGCTGTTTTATTCAACCGATAGACCCGATAACCTTCGCCTTCTACAACGGCAATGTTCATATTTCCCTGCTCATCAACTAGCCTTGTATACGGTTCGTTTCCATCTTCAGCACTACATTCCCGCTGCGGTGGTACCTCATAATCTACACTGTAATAAATACCAATATGTCAGCTCTACATTTTTCATTTTCAACATTTTTTTGCCGCCTAACAAATTTCTCCCTAAAGCTCCTCATATCACAATTAACTAATGAAACACACGCACGCTGGAACGTAAGTGCCTTGTAATGGTGAAACAACAAAGCTAAGGTATTTCTTATTTCATCTAACCATTAGCTAATTTTTCATGCGCATGTGTAACATTTTCCTAAAACATAAACCAACAGGCTTCATAAACCAAAACAATCAATTCGATCCTATCCGAAAGACCATTCTTTTATATAAACACCCATTCTGCAAGTAAACAAATCTGACCTGTTGTCCGGTTTCTGCTTGTTTTCGTCTACATCGTTCACTTGCTATAAATAAACTGTTTTCGATGTGTTGAAAAAGAAGGCCACTTGCACAAAATGTTAATTATTTTGCTTAATCAAAACATCACTAAACATATATGGTTTTTACAAATAGCAGTGGGATCCCTACAATAATATTTTAGCAGAAATTCTGTTGAAAATTCTACACACTATGTAAAAATTAATACTCGTAAAATACAAAACAGAAACCTTTATATTTCACAAAAAAAAACTTACCTTTTCCATAGGTAAAGTAAGGTTTGATGGATTCAGTGCAACATATTCGAATAACTGTTTCATAGCTTCTTCACAAGTAATATGTTGAGACTTCAAACAATGAATCAATCTTTTAACTTCTTCTTTTATTTCGTTTCGAGATCTAAAACAAACACACCACATCGTATCTTATAATAAAAATGAACTAACGTTCATTCGCATTATCAGTACCTGAAAATGTGTTGCAATAACTGGATCGACAGTTTTAATTCTAGTTCTTAATTTATGAACTAAACGTGATATCTTTGAAGAAAACTTTTTATATTGAAAAAAAAAAAAGTCACCGTATGCCGCCTGTGCATGGAATTGTACTAGTTGTGCCTACCTGAAAAGGACATTTTTAATCATATTTAAGTCAACACTAAGACATTCAAGCAAGCACATTTTGTTTATTTCATAACCAATTAAATTTGAGCACCATGAATCGCTGGAGATTCAACTTTGACAAGATTTTATAAAATAACAAAGGAAAGAAAGAAAAAATATTAAGGCATTTAAACGGATAACATACAGGTCCAATTGTCCTGGTGTATACATTACTTCCACCATACCGTTGCGGATTGACGAATTTCGGTATACCCACCAGGGCTCCCAAAGTTTGTTGCGCTGGAACACTTTCGATGTAATAATTTGCACTACAGCTAGGAGTCATACTTTTTTCCAATTTCGTCGTCTCCTGGGTATCCGGCACGGTTATATTATTTGTAGAAGGTTCAGTATTTGCTAAATAAAAATATTAATCAATAGGACGAAATTCAACCGTTACCGCTCTGGCTAACATTTGATGAAAATAGCGATATAAACCAAGTACCATAGGACGATATCGCATTTCAGTATAATAATACAGCACTGGAAACCTTTTTGCTGAAGATAATGGAGAAAAGAAAAAAGTAAGCAGTAAAAAATCATATCGGTAACGAGCTAAGATAGTTAAATACCTTTAGTTGAAACCGGAAACATGAATACCGAAACATGACGAGTATCTTCCTTTTTGAATCAGCGCAGCACCAAACAAAATATTGCTAATCATCTCAAAGTTCATTAAAAACCATTCTCTAATCCTAGTTTAATTTACTCCCTATATTAAAGCTACGACAGAAACTAGCAAGAAATTTCTTCAAATATTCAGAAAGAGTGAATGCATTCTCAATACATACATGATGCATTGCCAGTCGACACAGCTTGATTAACCATCTGCATATGTTCAGCATTTGTACCTCCTTCATTCACACGGTATAATTTGTAGCTGCCATTTTCAGCAACCGCAATATGTGTCAATTTTCCTTCATTATCCAAAAGCCGAATAACTGGTGGTACCATTTTCGTGGCCACTGATGTTGTGGTTGGTGGCTGTGAAATGATGATAGGCAAATAAAGCTGATTGTTTGTTGCATCACTCTGCATTGCTGCTACAGACAAACTGCAAACGTTTCGTTCTTTTTCGTTTTTCTAAATGGATTAGCTAGCTAAAATCACTACCGTCAATGCGATTGAAAAAAAATTACTAACTAAGCATTTGATAACTAACAATTAGATTAGAGAAGCTGTATTCCAAAAACTGGCTACTTAGAAATGAATTATCAAATTAAAATTTAAGAAGCAAAAAAATCTCTTTTCCATCGATCAATTCTTTTTTTACTTGAAAATATTTTAAAATTTTGTGCACGAATAAATTCAGCTAGTTCTAAGCAATTTTTTAAAGAAACGTTGCTAAGCCAAATATTAAAACAAAAATTATTACCTAATTCCATTGCTGATATTTCCTGTACATTGACTGCTAGTCTCGTCCATATTTGATCGTGTAACGTGAACTTCCATACCATTTTCCGATTTACTAGTTTGTAAAGTGTTTGCATTTTGTTTTACACCAGTTTTGCTTCTGGTACGATAAGAAACAGGTGATTTACTTTCACGTTCTCTCATTACACCTGCTGTTTTGTTCTCAACTTTGCTTGGGGAGGAACTGCCATTCTTGAATGTTTTTGAGCAGCTACTCCGCTGATCCTGCTTCTAAAAATCACTAATGAAGTAATTTCATGCCATTTTTAATTTCCATTAAACCAGAAAATCACTGAAAAAAAAAATCATATTACAAGTATATTCTCTTCATGTAAATGCTTTTTAAGTATGCATACAAACAGTTTATACGTACTTCTCGTATATTTGAGAGTGCCTACATGCACATAACATATTTCAGTGAATGTCACATTATATACAGAAAATAACATGCATAAGGCAACTCAGTTACAATTTCAAAACTCTCACCGCAAGTGCTTCATCATTTGCCATTTTAACAACTTGCAACCGAACTCCAATAGATGTTACTTTTGCATCCATTAGTAGAGAAAGCTGTTCAGCTGCTTTGGCATGAGATAAACGATGATTTTTAACTCGTCGAACAATGTCCTTAACGATGGGTGCATCCCAGTCGTATTTGCTTCTCTTTCTTAATTTTTTTCTTTTTTTTCAATTTAAAAACAAATACTCATATAGTAAGAGCTCTATTCCTCCTTAATCAAAGATACAGGAAATAATCTTTCATTTGAAGAGTAATCGATCTTCTGCAACCTAGCTACTTCAATGAATTGTAGCCTAACCAATGAATGTATTATTTTATCACCGATACTGTGAACTTTATTCGTTATACTCTTCAGGTCTATCTCAAACAATGATATAAACACATCAAAATAAGCTCAGTCAAATTTATTAATCGTGTTAATTTAGTCTTGAAATGTTGAAACACGGAAGATTTTTTAGAATATCGATTTTCATATCTAAATTCAACACACCTCGAACCTTCGCTCGTCAGATCCTCCCCTTCAACAGCAGCACTCTGCAAACTTGTCTGCAAAATATAACTAAAGATAATAACGAAAATTATAAGGATTGATTTGTCGCTCTATCATAATAAAGATCATCAAATGAAACTAATGTAAATACAACTAAATCATATACCTCTGCAACTTCGTTTATCGTCCTCTCTAATGCATCTTCCACAGCTCCACTATTGTCACATTTGCTATCTTCATGTTCTTTGTCAATTACTTCTATTTGATTACTGTCTAAAAATCTTTTCTTAAAATTCCGACCCTCCGTTGAGAGCTCTTCATTGATCACCACTCGATTGTCAGTATTTCCTTCACTACCTTGTTCGATTCTTACCACTGCAGCTACTTTGTTTTCATTGTAAAGCATTTCCATTTCCTTACTTCCGATCGCGTTATTCCTTCCTAAAATATTTATGCAATTCAAATTACTCGAATAAGTATTTACAATACAAATAGACAAAAATTACAAACCGTTATTTATCGAAGTTTTCGTAACCTGTTTAGCGCGAAAAAAGTAGTGCGGAAAACCTATCACAAATAAGTATCCAGACAAAAAAAAAATTCTTTAATAAATTGAAGAACCATTTCTTAAAAGGTAATTTTTTATTGACGCTAGTATATCCATTTTCACTTCAAATTAACTAACTAATAAATGAATGTTCGATCCGTAATATAGAAATAAAATTTTGGAACTAAAAACTACGGAAATACTTTAAAAAATATCTAAACATGAAAAACATCTTTATGAAGCTGAAGTTTTCCGATAAAATAGCAAAAGCAGGGAATATTTCTGCAAATATTATTTAAACTGCACCATAAAACAGCAAATCATCAAAACAACATTCATATCTTCCGCATTTATTAATAAGTTTACACACACAATTTCAATAAAAAAAAAACAAAGGCAGCAAATGCAGCAATTCCCAACAAACTATACAGATGGATTAATTTCCAATGAACAGCTCATTTCGGGGACTTTTGAAATCAGTCTTTTCATTCTCGATAAAATGATAGTATTATCACAAAAACAATCGTCTGCAGTAAAAGGTGCGACGATTCGTACAGCATCAAATACAGTAATTGATCCGTCATTATTGCTTTTCACTCGAATTTGGTTCTGTTCCAACCATTCAATCAATCTTTTTCGTCTAAAAATTGGTGTATAGATCAGGTGATCGAATTTCCCTTAGATGGAGTAGTTAAGTGCACAGACAAGAAATTACATGAACTGAATCAAATATTTGATGGCTGAAAATTTTCAGAAAGTATGCGTCACTTTTCATCACCAACGTTACTGTACAACACATCTTCCCAAATAATTAAAGGAAAGACAAATCCTCAAAATACAAGAAATAAAAATGCAAGAGATTAGTTGGGACAAAGAAGGCTGAATATAATTAAAGAGGCTGATGAAACCAATTTAAAGCCTTATAAAAGACTGGATGATGAAAGGAATTGCACTGAACTTCGAAATCTATAAAAAATACCTCTCCGCAACTTGTTGTTTGGATGATTGCGGTGCACCTCTCAACAACTTTCCAAGCCAACATTCCAGTTCCGGCGTTTTTTTAATGCATCCATCCGGTAAATGGTCATCATCCAATTTTCTCAAATGTTTTATCGAAGCACCAGGAACAACTCTCACTGTCTTTGGTTCTTAAATATACAATATTATGCGCAAAATAATCTACAAATAACTACATTTCATAATTAAATCTACCACATTTCCTACAGATATTACGAAAGATATTCGTTATAAGAATTCATTCATCAGTAGCATTAACTTAATCAGAATTAAGCAACCGACATTAAAGGCCATACCTGCGTTACATGCGAAAGCAATAATTACAACTGAGTGAGTGATCGGATCAAACGTGAATATATTCCCACACACAGTTTTATTATTGACCAAATCGACAGCTACCGGTTGACCACATAAAAGGTACATTGAGGACACAGATAAATTCAATACTGATGATGTACACGCTTCTTCCATATTATCATGGTTCATTTCCCGTAAGTGAATTGAAATGTGTGTTAAACGACTGGAAAGAGAATCACGTCGAAATTTCGTAAACTTGATTATTGTATCACTATTAACTTTGTATATATATATTTACAATACATGAATCAAGAAAAGCATAATCAAATTGTTTGGTCATAACCACTATATTCAGAAAATAATCAAATTTCAATGAAAACTAAATGATGCAATAATGTAAGCCGAGACATCTGACTTTAAGTCCCACAGTTTTAGAAAAAAGTAAAACACGTCATAAAACGTATTAAAATCACTTGGAAAAAAAGAAATTTTAGAACAGCTGTGACATCTATGAAACACTAGATAATATAAAGCAGTAAAGAAAAATTAATTGCGATGAAAATACTGAGACAGTGAAAATATACACTGCAAATCTTCAACGAAAACTCCAAAAAACATACTTTCCAGAACTTTGTTCGACCTATCGAAGCTTGTTATGGCCCAATCAATTAACATATGCCAATTAATTAATTCGTTTTTCTTTTCGCTAGACTTAGACAGGAAATTGAGATTGTAAACAACTATCCAGTAGCAATCAGTGCGTAACCGCTGCAAACCTTTTCCATTCAATCAATTTCTGCATTCTCACATTACAGGAACTAATAATGAAAAACATGAAAACTAGAAATGGAATACTTAAAATGCCCACTTGAAGACAACGACGACAACATGTGATGGAACAACACGGAAAGAAATAGACGCTACGAAATTGTTCATCCCTCTTCCACTTTACTAAAACGCAGACCAATCGCTGCATGACAATGATGACTTTTTGAATATTTCTGGTGAGACCAGTATGAAAACCTTCTGTTTCGAGTACGACTTTACTAGAAATTGGTACATGGGATTATATTTGGCAAAGAATTGAAGTGGTAAAATAGTAGTATTAATAATTAGCATAAAGTTCAAATATTAGTATTTTGTTAGAAAACTCGATTATTTATGATTAACTGTGTAAATATTCCATTTTGTTGCAGAACTTATTAACTAAATAATCTTTGTGTTAACATTGTGTTTGACGAAGAAATTAGCATAAGTGGGAAAATAGTACTGATAATCAGCATAACTTATGTTACTATAATATATTATATTTTCTTTTCGTACATCACCAGTATCTTAACATTGATAATAATATGATAATATCTGATTAGTTATATTATCTACAATGCATTAATGTTTTTTTTTTCCAAATATCTTTTCAATGCTTAATTGTAATATTATTTGGACTAAATTTTTGCAATGTTTACGAAATTTTTGTTTCTTTTGTTTTTATAAAAGCATTAAAAGGAAATTGAAAAAAATCTCGTAATTTATAATTCCTGAAAAAAATGTTTCAAGTCATTAAAGTGAAGAATGCATCACATTTGAAATTTTCAAAAAGTTGTAAATTGAATTTTTGGTTTTGTTTGGTCGATGATTTTAACAGCGCTCCAAAGTATTTTTTGATAATTAAATAAAATGGATGATGAATATCATTTTTCATTCACTGATATTATTATCTCTTAAAAAGTAAATTATATGACCTCAGTTAAGCTGATGTGCCACAAATTTACAATGAATTAAATTCAGTGAAAAAAAAAAAAAAAAATAAACTCTTTGACAAACAAAATGAACTTATATTACGGTGTTATTGTTGGGCGGTAATGTCCATTTGATTTGCACAAAATTTCAGAATTTCCTTCATATTTATTGATATTAAATGATAACCTCATATATATTTTTTTCTGGGTATGTCATTCAAAAAAAAAAAAAAAGGAAAACAATAAAGCAGAATTGTTTGCATGATTTTTTAGTCTTTCGTACTAACAAACTATCCAAATTCTATCATTTTATAATAATATTGTTAATCATCTAATTTAATAACAATCCTTGAATCAAGAATTTTAAATGAATTATTTTGATGAGTAAATAGATTTGAGTAATTAGTTACAAAGAAATTTAGATTGATTTTTTCCTTTTTTCTTTTTTAAGAATCAATGTAATTTTTTCTTTTACAATACGCCCTGTTCCATTTTTAAAACTGATTATGTATGACAAGTTATTATTGAGATAAGGGCATTTGATGTGCAAAATTGAAATGAAAATTTGTCAACAAACTAACTAACTAACGTTTGTTGACAAATTTTTTTTTCTTTTTTTATTGGTGAGAAAAAGGAATGGAATTATTTGTCATCGCACATTTAATTGTAGGAAAGAAAAAAAATATAAGGGAAAGATTGTAATTGGTATTATCAGTAATTTTTCGTTGACACCTGTTATAATGATAATGGTTAAAAGATTATAAATGAAAGTTATATCTTTACAGTTAAGCTTAACAATTTTTAATATTTAATCAAAAAGAAAAGAAAAGTATTATAAGATGTAAATTTTTGCTAATATAATCCCAAATTGTTACAAAATGTTTACCAAAAATAAAAAAAAATGAATAAAGCGGAAGGCATAGAAAACTGAAAGAAAGGGAAAAAAGTTTTTTATTAATATGACGACAATATTATAATATTTACAAAGTATTATAATGATGAGAAGCTTATAAGTAAAAGTTACATCTTTACATTCAGATTTTAATATTTGACACTTAAACTATTACAAATGATTATTGTCAAAGGAAGAGAACAAAATTGGGTTTCTTCATATGATATGACAACATATTAATATCATTGTTATCAGTAATTTCTTTAGTATAAAAAGGCAATGAAGTAATAGCTAAAAAGTATTATCAAAAAAATGATAGCAATGAAAAGTTACTTCATCCTTCTTCATCTCATCATTTTATCATCGTTTTTTATAATCATTCAGCCTTTTTTGGTGATAAATGATACAAAGTAAGTATAATTGTAATTTCTACTACTTTTAAACAAAATAATCAGTTTACTAAATATAAGAATATTTTTTAATGATTAATCATTAAAAAATTTTTTTGCTTAAAGTTGTAATCTAAAAAAAGTTTAAGTTTTTAACAATTCATATAGTCTTAATTATTGCTTAAAATAGAAATAAGCAAGTGGTAGGTTGTAAATTTTTGACATTTTCAATTTTGTTCGTATATATATATATATATATGTTTAAGAAAATGAAATTAAATTACGTGATAAATAGTAAATTACATTTGAAACAAAAATAATTTTTTTATTTTAGATATATCAAATTGATGGAAAAAAAATTAGGCAGTAAGCGTCTAATAAAACAATATGCTAGCTACAGACTTTATAAGCGAAAATATAGTAAGTTTAATAAATATAAAATTTTTAAAATTAGAAAATGTATTAATATTTTTCTTTTTCCTTAGAGGTTAATATTTCTCATACATTAATTAATCTTAACATTGCATATAATTAATATAATCTATTAAAGATAAGCGTGATGAAGAAATAAATTTGGAACATCGTCGATTTATGACATATCTTAAAAATGTGAAAGAAATTGAAAAACATAATGAACGTTATGAACGTAATGAAGAAACGTACGAATTAGCTATCAATCATTTAGCTGATATGGTAAATTTGATTACAAATATTAATTATTATTCCTTTATTATCATTTTTTAGTAATTAATATAGCATTAATTCTCATTTGAAATAGAAAGAAGAATGAGATAGATTATCACTTTTTGAAATTTTTAATTTCATTCAAATATATTCGTATAAAGATCACTTTGTAAGCATTAAATTATACATTATTTACTTATTATATCATTTAGTTTCATTCAATTATATCCATATATTTTTATTATAAAAAATTATTATATTATTATAGATATAATACAAGCAAGTTAAAAAGTATTAATTTAAGAGAGTAATACATAATGAGAGCATTAAATTTTAATTATGTATTTAATTTAAGAATAAATATGAAAAGGGATAACTGATTTTTATATACTTCTTGCTTTATCCATTTGTTTTGTAATTCTTTTTCACCTTCTTGAACAAAATTAATGTAATTTGTAAAATCTGAAGCTTCCTGAAGAATTTCGTAAACTTCACGGCTTTCAATCAAGAAAGATAACTTCAAAAAATAACTTCAAAAATACTATTCGCATGAAAATTAATGGACCACTACCAAAAAGTATTGATTGGCGTACTTCAGGTGCTGTAACCAAAGTAAAAGATCAGGTACGTAGAATTTACTGATTAAAAAAATAATTAGCATTTTTTTAACAAAGAAAAAAAAAATGCCGACAATTCCTGGAAAAATCTTTTAGCTTTTAAAAGCTAAAAAATGGAAGAAAAAAGTTGAGAAAAAAAAGTATTACATTTCTCTTTTATTTATTCTAATTAAATTATTTATTTTTAAAGGGTTACTGTGGAAGCTGTTGGACATTTAGCGCAGTGGGCGCATTAGAAGGACAACATTTTTTACAAACAGGTAAATTGGTTGAACTTTCGATGCAAAATCTTCTTGACTGTAGCGATGACACTTACGGTAATTATGGATGCGATGGTGGTCTAATGATGGAAGTTAGTTAATTTCTTCAATGTTATTTCATTTTATTCAAATATTTTTTAATTAGACTTTTCTCTTCCAATGCTATTTTATTCTTTACATCAATTATAAAACAATTGAATGGCATATTTGGCATATTTGTGTAATTTAAAAAAAAAAAAAAGAAAAAATTGGCTTTAAAAGAGTGTAAATAAAAAACGATAGATAAATTTTAAAAAATAATGCGTCACTCAAATGAGCATCATTTCCATACATTTTAATTATTATTGAAACTTTTATTTTAGGCTTTTGAATATGTAGTAAAAAATGATGGGATTGATACGGAGAAATCATATCCTTATCAGGGTTATCAAAATACCTGTCGTTACTCAAATTCAACCCGCGGTACAACAGCTTATGCCGGTAAATTATTACCGGAAGGTGATGAATTACAATTGCAAGCAGCGATTGCAACTATTGGACCAATATCTGTCGCCGTTGATGCAAAACTTATGAAATTTTACAGAAGAGGTAGGGAATATATGATAGAATATGTCAGAAATACATATTTCAATTATTTCTTTTTTTTTTTTTTTCTCAAATAAAATTATATTTTAAGCACAAATTATGTAAACAAAATTATTTATTAACAAATTATACGAATAAAAAAAAATACAAATAAAATTATATAAGATTATATTTAAAATTATCATTCAGAAAAGAAAAGAAAAATCAAAAAAATTCCAACTAATTTGCATGTATGTATCATTTAAGATAATCCATATTAATAAGTTTTAGATTCAATCGTTTTAAGTTTACTTTTTGATAAAAGATTTATAACGATAAACAATTTAGGTATTTTTTCAACCTCGAAATGCACAACAAGAATGGGCCATGCTTTACTTGCTGTTGGCTATGGAACGGAAGAAGTGAAACTTCAAAATGGAACCAAAAAATCAGTTGACTATTGGCTTCTTAAGAATAGGTCTGTTATTTGTGAAAAATAATGTTAATTGGCATTTAGTCAAATATATAATTCTTTTTTCTTATACGATTTTGGAAATTTCAGTTGGAGTAAACGTTGGGGAATCGGTGGATATCTTAAATTAGCTCGAAACCAGGAAAATATGTGCGGAATAGGATTTTATGCCTGTTATCCATTAGTACCATCTGATATCATTTAATCAGCAAATTTAATTATGATAAATTGATGTGTGCTTTATATTCCGTATAAAATTATAAAATAAGGGCATTGCACTATTTCCTTTTTGTCTTTTTTAAAATAAGACATTAGATATGAAGATTTTTTGAATATCAATCAATTGTAATATTTTGAAGAAACGGTTTCTCTTGAAAATATTTAAAGACAAAAAAAGCATGCATGCATGCATGCACGAATTCGTGCAACATATATTTCTAACATAATTTTTTCTACAGAAATGAAAACAAAAAAAAAAAAGGAAAAAGAACATATACTATAAATGATCATACATTTCTTGTCAACAGTAATAGGAGTTGTAAAACTTTTCTTCCTTTCAGCGACTTCATGATAACAAGACATCAAAACAAATATTTGCAGTCATTTTAAAGTGAAATTTTGTAGTGAAATGAATAATCAGATATGATGTTCACCTTAAAGCAAGAAATATAAAAAAAAAAAATTCTCTTTCAACTATTGCTATATGGGCAATAAAATGTGAAAGACTAGAATTACAAAATTTCATGTGTTATCATAACTGATAATAGTTGAAAAGTTTAGTTGATATCATATGATAAATTACTTCTATAAATTCAATTAATAATAAAATTTCAATTTTTGGAACAATGGTTACAACATTAATCCATTTCATTAATGATTTGTAATATTCACAATAAACAAATGGACAAGTTTTGCAAAGTAGCAACAAAAATAAAACGAAAATTGGCAATAATACACAATGTAATTGAAATTTAAACTTGAAATCAAGTCAGAAATTTATTCCAAAAGGAAAATTTTAAAAACAAAAGGAGACTAAAACAATGCTATTTTTTGATCAATTTCATCGATCTGCAAATGTAAGTTTTCCAACTTCAAGAATTGCTACATCTGCCTTAATTATCCGAACGATAACTTCATTCAAAGCAAAGGAATATTTGGACAACATTTTTTCCTGAAAAATTCATCATATTTTTCATTATTTAAGTAAATCAAAAAAAAAAAAAGTTAAATCTTTTTAAAAGTATCATCCAAAAAACTCGCAAGTGAACATTTTAAAACGAAAAAAAGAAGTCGACAGAAAGACGACTGCAAAATGTATTTGTACTTTTTTAGGAAATTTGTTTTCAAACTTTAATATTTAATGCAATTTATTTAATCAATATAACGATACTGAAATAATTTTGCAGAATTTTTCCTTTGAAATAATGAATATACAGAAAAATGAGATGCAAAAAAGAAAAAAAAATTTTTTTGATATAAAGCGATTACTGAGGTTTGATGAATAAAAAAAAAAAAAATGTTCAATTTAAATTTTATTGAACACCTTATGACAGTATTTTCTTAAACTACTTTTCTTTAAATGAATAAAGTTTAAATCAGCTTTGAACAATGGAATATAGTAGTAGACCTGAATTGATGCAGTCAAAGCCTTTTTCTGATCGCTAGAGATACCTTTTCTGTAATTTCGAGCAGCTTTCAGCGGACTCTCTGGTACATCAACAAGAAAAAAATTCTGGAATGACTGTCATTTCAGGAAATGTCCTCAAATGTAATATTTGTTATGCAAAGAAATCCAAAATTTTGGAAAATGAATAATTTTATATTAACTAGAATTTCTTCCTATGTGTTTACATGAATTCCTTGAAAACAGTAATTGGAGAACAACGTTTTAAGTAAATTTTAATTGTTAATTACGGTCGCTTGCAATAAAAAATTAAGTCAAAATATTAATTATTACCAATAGTTGAATCGGCAACAGAAAATAATACTTTTTGCTTTGAACATCCTAAAGATAAATGACTCTGATATAAGTGCAATTCAGATTCCACTTTAAATTATTTCATTCAACTTGCTTGCTCAGTTAGAAGGAACATGATTTGTTCTTGAAACTAATGTTAATTCAAAATTTCTACATTTCTTATGAAACAAAGATTTTTTCCGCCAAAAAAAAAAAAATATGTAATTTTTTAAAAATTTTTCATTATATGTTGGGACAGTGATGTCAGCTTGAACGATAAACCTCATAAATTCATTTATCAATGATATGAAAGCGAACAATGTGTTAAAGGAATAAATACAAAAATGACGACTTCACATCAATTTTTTCAACTAAGCTATTACCACTTCTAAATAATATGCTCACAGTTCTTTCCTACTCTCTCTCTTTTTAAGATTTTTTTTCTTTAATTCAAATTCAAATGTCATACCCCAGTACGTGGTATCCCACTGAAAAGGAAGTAGCACTGAAGGAATAAATGAGAGTCAGTAATTCCACCTGAAATAAATGTTTAAAAGTTTCTGCACTTATTAGTATATAGAGAACACATGGAAACAGTACACGATAATAGTTATAGAATAGTAATTCATTTAAATTAGAACAATACTTTCAGAATTCTTTAACATATAGCTAAAATAAATATCAAAAATTAAAGATAGCACTGGAAAAATTGGCGTACGTTTAAAGCAAACTGGACATAATGGCGTCATATCAAAATTTTTAGCTGATGTTGTGCACCACAGATTACATCTATGACATATCAATACAAACAATATCTTCGTCTTTTCATTGTACGAGAAAGTAACTTGCCAACTGAAAATTTTTTAAAAGATGAACCAAATATTTTTTCATATCTATGAAATTAATAAAATTACATAACCCTTTTAGTACTCTTTAATATATTACACTTTATATTATTATTTAAATACGCAAAATGATATCTCTAGGAAAAAAAAAAACATGCTTACGACAAAAAATTACAAATGATTATTTAATAAAATGCATTCAATACTCCCACTACACGATAAATATAATCAATTTTAACAACTATGTAGACATTTTTAAAAACCAGTTAATTGAATTAGTTCATTAAACTCAACAACAAATTTGATTAACGATATAATAAAAAGAAAAAAAAATAATAAAAAAAAAAAATAAAAAAAAAAAAAAAAACAAACAGAACCTTGAAAACTTCAAAATTGTTCCAGGCAATAAATTGCACAACAAATTCCATGCATAATCATCACTTGAATTTTCATCCCCTATCACTTTTAAATCTTTGTTATCCGATTGTTTATCTTCGCCAGTTGTTTCCTGAACAGACTAAAATAGATTAAAATTGAAAAAAAAAAAAATCATTAAGCATAAAATGTATGAAAAAAATGGCATAATTAAAAAATGAAGACAAATATCAGTGCAGTAGATAGAATGCTATTGTAATCATTTTATAGAATCACCTGAGCTACATAGAATTTATATGGAGAGAAATGCAAAAGACGATTAGCACAACATAAGACAAAAAGTGGATTTCATCAACTATCGTATAACTTTCAACAAAAATTATTATTGGTATTCAAAATTTCGGTGCCGTATAATTCTGAATGTGAAAGAGATGAAAAACACTGAAGAAGGATAAGAAACAATATCATAGTGTTTATACTCTTACAATGATTTTATATAAACCACTTACATTTGTTAGCTTCAAAATTATTCCGTCGTCGTATACTCCCTCCATATATGTCAGCAAGAAATTCTTAAGTATGGTATTCCGTTGGTTACGTGATAACTTCGTGAAATTTACGAAGAGATCTTCAAAACATTTTAATTAATACTTTTTAGCACTAATATTTGTGATTTAAATGGTTTCGAACTATTAAGGAACAAGTTAAAAAAAAAAAAGTAATTAACAATTCGATTAAGTTCCAACAGTTTGCTACAATACGAAATGGAGTGCGTCATAACCGAAAGAATAAAGTTTATTTCGATAATTTGTTATTTAGTTTTCAATCAACCAATACACTATGCTATTCCATTATCAGTTCTAATAATTGAAACGGTGATAGCATCACGCATGCTAATAAAATTCATTTCATATGTGTTAAATACAATGGAACCTATTAATCCTAGTTAAGTAGAAATGAAAAAAAAAATTGTTAACTATTATTAAAAAGAAATAACTATTTACCTTTATTATATCTAAAAAGACGTTTAAGAGTTTGTTGAACAATGAATTGCACTGCCGTCGTTGCTAAATGAAACGGTCGCTGAAGTTGCGCATTCTTATTCTCTTTTTTTTTGCAAGCATAAGCATAAATCCATGCTAACTGTAAAGCGTGAATTTGTCGCATTCGTTCTCCAGCCCAATATTTCCACAGTTCTCTTTGTTCATTCTCAAAATCATTCAATTCGTCAAGTGATGGTGTTGGAATGACTTGCTAAAAACTTTTGTTTCTAAAAAATCAATAAATAAAAATAATAGTAGCAATAATTACTGACAATAATAGTAATAATAACAATAATGGCAGCAATAACAACAATAATAATAATAATAAAAACAATAATAGTAGTAAAAGAAATTGAAATGCCAACATTGAAATAACTTTTCATAATTTGAAATTGAAATCAAGACTTATATTAATTTGAACCTGAAAAATTAAATGAAAAATACCCTAATTATATATATATAAGACATAAAAATAAATTTAGTAAACGGCAAGAATTACCTGTAAGCTCGTATATGGATGTTGTTCTATGTCTTCGACATTTCTTCTATCTTCAGTATCAATTTGTGTATTGAAGTCATCAATATTACTAAAAATTGCTTTGCCGTTACATAGAAAAAATCTTCATTAAATATTTACCATATTTTTCATATTTTTCGCTAATGTAGAAATATGGCTCAAAAAGAATTTCTTTTTTGAACTTTACTTAAAAGAAGAGAAAAAAAATCGTTAAATTGAACTGATTAACACTAAAAAGGAGCTAACAGTCTTAGACATATTTACAAGACAAATCTCTAAGTTTGATAATAAACAATTAACCAACCGCAAAAGGTCACGCTTCAAATTGCTATTAGCGTCAAGAATGACAATTGACCTATTGTAATGTTGACCACCATTATGCATTACTAGAGTAACATTATCCTTTGAGTAGTATAAATGAGTGTTGATAAGCAGTAGGACATCACCACACTATCAATATGCAACAATAAAAAAGTAGAAAATTATTTGTCAGAATTTCAATTTTCATAAAAAAAAAAAAAAAAATTATCACCGAACATTACAAGTATACTTCATTATTTGCTCATAAACAAAATTCTCTCGGTATAAATTTAAGAAACTTTTGTGATTACTTAAGCAACAACACATCAAAGACTTTATAATTAAAGTTAATCATATGAAGATAGTGAAAAAAAAATGCTGATTAATAATTTAAGGTAAAACCAATCTACTTATTATTCTGTTTTGTTTATTCGTTGAAATCATGCATAAATAAACACTTTAATTTGTTACCTTTACACTATTTCGAGCGAAATTAGCATGCTCTTCATATAACACTATATCACAACAATAGTCTATCGGTATCATTTCCATTTTTTCATCTTGATATATTACTTCGGTAATCACATCATCATTAAACATAAATATTTTCCTTCAATCATTTTAATTTTATAACAACTTAACTATGCATATGATTGAATAATGTATGTAAATTAAAGTGGCAAGAATGATTGAATAATAATATATATAAATTAAAATTCCAACTTCATAATCTGATAATAAAATTCAGTAATGTAACATTTGAATGATTCTCTATAGCAAATGTAACTATTATATTATTAACAAATACTATGTATTTAATATTTTAGTTTTCGTATTTCTATAAAAAATTTGTTATCAATGGAATAATACTTTGATGGTAAAGTGGTATCCCAACAACGCAATATCACACAGTTTCGATCATCAATAAATAGAGATACTGCCTGAAAATAAATAAATTACCAAAAGATGTGTACGATTAAAATGTTTGCATTTTAATACGAGATAAGATGGAGAAGAATAATGCAATATTTATATTCCTCTTGTCGTAAAAAACGATACATTTCAACTGCATTCAAATTCTAATACTTTTGACAAATGTCTGATAACTCATTGTCCAAATGCGAAATTCGCATTTATAACTAATCTATGTGTAGATCATTTAAGCCATTATGCTAATTCCTTTTTCTCACACAATAAAAAACTCTTTGTTAGCAATCTTTGTTTCACATCAGTTAAATGCCCTCTGCCAAATATCTGGTCAGTTCAGTTTCTCTTTATAAACCAACCACCTCCATTACAGTTATTCGTTCTACATTTTGGAGTGGTTTTTGATATCATTTTAATGTTTTATAATTATATCATATCTTTCGTTACTCGTTGTTATAATGTTGATTTGTTGGTTTAATTACCCAAGTTTGAGGCAAAATAAAATATCTGGCAGTCAATACATTCTACGACACCTCTGTTTGTCATTCTTTTTTTTTTCCAGCAGTTTAAAGGATGAACAAAAGTTATTTTTAAATATTAAAACTGTCAGTAAAAATTACCTGGACGACAATATCACCATAACCACCCAAAACAAGCTCATTCAAGCGAAGAACGTTCACATTTTTAATTATTTCATTTATTTCCCCCTCATTGATATGTCCTAAATTTGAATTCAGCGGTGCTATTGGTATTGTCATCAGTTGGTTACTTACTGATAACATCCGCAACGAACTTATCTGAAACAAAGGCATCTCTATTTCTTTATCTTCTCTATTGCTACCTTCAACAGTACATCATTTGATTGACGGATTTAAATGTAATTCAAAATATTATTAAAATTTATATGATATTTTTACTTTTATAGATCAATTCAAAAGAGTCTTGGATCTTATCGAAGAAACCGAAATGTTTTTTTTACAAATTATGTCGAAATAAAAAGGTACTTTTGTACTGTGAAAATATCTTGGAATGACTAAATAACTTTAAGATATAGAAGTTTAAATTATAAAGATTACTTCATCCGGAGTATACCTTAATTAATTTCGATTTGATAATTAAGCTTATATTTAATAGTTAAATTATTATAAACAACTATTCTTTCACATACTTCTCTCCGTTCAGTTAGCATCATCTGTCATACAAAAGAATTACGCTTTATTGTTTAGCTATATAAAGGGTCAGAAATGCTTCTTCTTCTTCTTGATCACTTCCAAAAATTAGTCCATTTGAATTTAGCTTATATTTTATCAAATCATTATCAAACAGTAATCTCAATTAATTCCACAATTTTTCTCAATGAAAACAAACTAACAATCGGTTCTATTCTTAATCTTTAAGAAATGTCTTATAATGTCAATTAATAAAACATTTACCAAATATTTCTTTGCGCTGAACAACAGTGATTTTAAAATTATCAAACCAACCATCTCTTCGTAATTTGATACTAAAGTAAACGTTGCTGATGACTGATAGACAGGAGCAAAAGTATCGCCAAGCTCTCCACTGAAGAGAAGAACAGCAAAACCGGTCACTTTAAGCTTTCCATAGACAACTAACTTTCCATCTGTATTTTTTTTGATCTGAAATAGATTTAAAGATAATGAGCACTGATAAAATTCTCTAATGATAACTAGTTCACATCAGAAGTACCATTAGAACTATTTATCCTTTTAGTACCTAATATTGATTCAATAATAGCATAATTGTAGAGAACTAGGTATTTCCGAGAAAGTATTGAACGATGACAAATGAAAATAAAAATATAAAATAAACATTGCAAAACTATCCCACTTTAAAAGTTATGGAAACAGAATTACGGAGAAATAAGGAATTAAAAAATATTCAAAATGAATAAGATCAAAAACAATATTAAGAAATAAAATATCCCAAAGTTAATTTAATTCATATTAATTAATAAGATCGATAAATGCAGCACTTTTGCACGATGCATTCGAATGATTTGACCATTTTGTATCTGATCCGAGAAACCTTCTACTGAATCACTATAAATGACACAAGTTGTACTGATATCCGAGCTACGATCACGTAATTCCAATTGCGTAATAACAGGAGCTGAACGAATAAAAATAAAAATTCTTAATTAATTTTCATCAATAAAACTGTTGTAATTACGACAAATAATTTAATTATAACTATAATTGCAAAGCTTTTTTCTTTTCTTTTGTCTTACACATTTCAAAATAAATAATGAAAATATAAACGATCTTACTATCTTCTGACGCGCTTGTTGGTTGTGAACGTATTTTCACATCGACTACAAGTGCATATATGTTAACCTACAACAAACAGTTTAAATATTTCTTTCTTCAAATATTAAAACGATAAAGACTTTTAAATATATCCCTTTAAACTTATATATTCGTTTTCACTTAAATTCATATATTCATTTAAATTTATATGTTCACTTTTATTTATATAATTACTAACAAATACTTTTGTTCCTTATCATACAATTTATGTTATATTTCAGATAAAAGTCTCTGATATGATCAATTATAACAGCTTAACAATCAACCATTGATCGACCGCATAAATAAAACAATTTCTGGATTACTTTACAACACTTTAGAAATTCTTTTAGACATAAAATTCTTCATTCTTCTTTTTTGGTTGAACAATAAATGAAAATGTACTTATAAGCATTCTTTTATCACTAATCACTTATCATTTTATTTTCCTATTAATCATTTGACTATTTCTGCATCAAGCACTGTTGAAAATTATGTCGTCATAAAATTTACCTTGAAATTCTCGTTAGTTGTATCTGATAATTCATCCAACTCCGCAAGTGAAACATACTTGTATTGTTTCATGTTTGTAAAGACCTAAAAAAATTAAGGCATAATTTTCTACTCATTTAATTCTTTCTTTCTTTTCTTTTAAGGAATAAAAGAAAAAAAGAAAGAGAAAAATTATATGACCGGAAAATGATTATTTCCCATACTACATCCATCTGGAGAATAAATTCTCCCGCCATATTGACTATTTCTGCATCATTTTCGAATTTTGCTTCAAATTATTTACCGGAAAACTACTCACCTGCTTGCTCAATGACTTACTTTCAAAGTTTAGTTGCTACTAAAAAAAATGTAATAGCTATCTACAAATAGTTGTGATATCGAAACCAAATCCAAGAGTAACTAACTAGCGTAACTGGTATATTTAAGAGTAATTTAACTAGCATATTTGACAATATCCAAAACTATCACCCTTTCCATATATAGTAAAATGCTAAATGGAATGACCAATCTAGCAACTAAAATCAATCTTCAAATCTCATAATAATTTATCATCGACTACAAATTTTGCTAAGATTGCTAGAATTTTTTTAAAAACTTACTTAAGGAAAGGAAACAGTAACTGGCATAAAACAATAAGTAAAACATGCGAAATCACTCAGAATACACTACATATATGAACAATTTATACTAATTCTTTTAACATCATATGGATATAAAGCACACTTGCATAAATTAAAATATTCAAACTCGTAGAAAATATCACACGTTATCATTACAATAAGTGTACAAATAAGGAAGACATACTTTCAGCATTATCATTACTTATAAATAACAGTTTGAAGTAAATCACTGTGGATATTTTCTGTTATTCATATTGTTGCATCTGCTTAATTAATTGTAGATCTTCAGGCGAAGGCTTATAAATTCTTCCAATAATTACACGATCTTTAAATGTCTAAAAAGTTCCAATTAAATAAGGAAAAGCAAAAATAATTCTAATAAACAGATTATAGCCAACATAAAATTTAACTGACAGAAAATTTGAGTTACTGAATTCGAAATTTATTTATAATTTGAAATGACTAAACCATATTTCATATTGCATTCACACAGTGAAATAAGTTAACTAGAATATTCGATACACTTGTCTGATAATGACTATTCTAATAATGTATCTAGTACTACTTTATTTCGTATCATATCATCAAATAGTTGTCAGGAGGAAAGATATCACAATTAAGCAATTATGATCATAGACATTAGTTTTCAAAGTAACAAAAAAACAAAAAAAAAAAAAATTAGTTTCCAAAGTAACCTTTGCTAGTAAGAGATAATTTGCAAATATAAGTAGTACGAGAGTAACAATATGTTGCCAATCTGTTGTCAGTATCAGCATCCAAAATTGGATACCAATTAGAATAACTTGAAAAATTACCATTGTACTAGTCAAAGTAATCGGATCACCACCAATTCGCTGAATATAGAAAGAAATTACAAACTTAGATTTTTAATCTATATCGTTTATCAATTTGATAGTAAAATAATTTTTATACACGATCCATCTTATAAATGCTCCGGTAATAACATCTCAAAAAGTTTTATGATATTAAAGAAATTAAAGTATTCTATTTTTAACATTTGTTAGTGATTGAAACTATTTGATCATTGCTATCTGCTGCACAAACAAAAGTTAATTAACAAAGCTTCTACTATACAACTTCTGCATATACAACTGAGATATTATATCGTAAGAACATGACAAAATAAATTTTACCAAAGTTATTTCAATATTCAAATTAACTTTTTTTTGCTTAGCAAAATAAACTCACATAAAAGCGAGAATGATCCGAATCTCCAGGTTCAGCAGCTACACCTAATGTACCAATTTTAGAAACAGCTTTGTAAAGCTGTCCATGATGACGAACAATAGAACCATGTGCATAAAGATCATCATTCTCAGACCAACTGCAAACATTAACCCTAAAGATTTAATTGCTATAATACCATTTTAAAAACTTTCTTGAAATATTTAATTTTGTTCCTATTTTTTTCTACTCCAAAAGAAACTTTCTTTTTAAATATTATTACATTAAATTTTACTACCAAAAAGTGAAAAAAGAAGGAATAAACAATTTTATTTAAAGTCTGCAATGAATTGCTGAAAATTTGGAAGCTATAAATTAATCAATCATCAATCATTATAAAAAACCCTCTAATAATAATAATATATTTACCAATCAATTCTACTTTAAAATCATTTCATTTAATTTATTTACTAATTAGGAACTGATTAATTCTTTTGAATTTAATGATTAGAATAAAAAAAACTAAATAAATTACACACTTACTCTGCAGATGTAGCATTTGTTGTGGTAGAAATCGTTGTTGATGTCAAACTACCATCGCCACCACCAATAACACCACTACTACTACTACTACTACTATTGCTACTACTATTACTACTGCTACAATTAATTCCATTAATATTATTACTATTATAGTAACAATTACTATTACTATTAATTGTAGCTATCGTTAATCGATCTAATCGTTCCCATTTTCCAAGATGTGCTGCACAACGATGTATTAAATCACAGTATTGTAATGGTAGTAAATAGGTTGCATAAAGTGAAAAAGATGTTAAAAATACAACACAAAATAATTCCATAATCCAAAAAATATCAATATACATTAGTTGTGGTAAACCAGATGGTGATCGTTGCTAAAATTATTGCAATTTGAAAATCTATCAAATTGTAATTTTCAAAAATTAATAAGAAATAAAACTATAAAAAGTTACAAACATTATAAATTACTAATTATTAATTTCATGCTTTTTGTTTAAAAAAAAAAAAAGATATATACCATTATCAACCAATTATTTTTAAAAAGACTATTCTTGAGAAAACAAATCCGTATAAATCTATAAATGAAAAAAAAAAAAATGACAATAACAAAATTTTACAGGTGTAAATACACATGGAATAAAAATTGAAAGATATGCCGTTGTTAAGCCAGAAAAGAAGCAATGTTTGATCCGTAGATTAAAATCTTTCATCAAAACAGAAACTTCTTCACGTATTTGTACTGAAAATTTTATAAGTCATTTTATTATTATTATTTTTTTTTTTTGAAAAAAGAAACAAATAAAATTCATAACTTTTATAAATGACATGGAAAAAGAAAAAAAAAAAATCATTACATACGTGGATTAGTGCTACACATATGCACAACACTATCAACATCAATAAGCACTGGTGGAGGCATAATATTACGATAGGTAGCATTTACTTTCGATATTTCTGATAATGATTGTCCATTAAGAATAAACCATAACTTTGTAACACAACAGCGTATTTTATATGATATGGTATCATGGAATAAATAAACGAAGAAAAGAATCCTAGAAATTAATTTGTAATTGAAGATTAAACTGCAAATTATAATACGAATCAAATTAGCTGTTGATATTGGCTGATACTACGGATAACAAAAAAAAAACAAAAAAAAAAATTTAAAACTACCATTGTTTATTTTATTTTATTTTTTTAATAAACTACATTCAAAAAGTGAAAATGCAATTTAAATTTCATTTGAGATGAAATTTATACTTCTAATTGGAATAAAGAGAAAATCATCTCAATATTTCTGTGCAAACTATTAAGAAGGATTTTCAAAAATATTGAAGCATTAAATATATTCACTTTCGTTTAATATTCATTTCCAAAAATTAAAATTGCCATATTATTTATAATTTTTGCTAATGCTTTTTATATATCTAATTCTTCCCATTCAAATTATTTTTTGATATCTATTGATAATTTCTATCAACTCGCTTTTTAAAAAAAGTATATTTCAATTTTAATGACAAACTTACGGATGTCCAAAGTACAGCAATGATTTGAAGGGGAAATCAAAATAAACACGTGAAAAACTGAATAAAAATGATGTAGCAACCATTGTAAACATTGGTGTTTTAACAGCCGCCCACTCAATGATATCCCATAACAAACACTGAGTTTTTGATGCATCTTGTCGAGCATTTGATGCTAATTCGGTTATCTAAACCAAGATTTTATTAAATTAAGTTAAAAAAAACTTACAATTAATTATTTTTATTTCAAAAATTATTAAAGCAAAAGGAAAAAAAGAAAAGAAACAAACAAACAAAGTCATTTGTATTTACCGTTTTCCAAAAGCATTTTGTCACTCGTACACCAAGTAAAAGACCAACACATGATAGCAGATATGGATTAATTAAATGAAATTTCTGAAATAAATAAAATTAAAAGTTAAAAAAAGAATTAATCAAGCAATATGCTCGCACTTTGTATTTTTTCTGTATCATAAATATAATTAGCAATAAGCAACAAGTTTAATTAATTATTAGGAATAAACAAAATAAGTAATAAAACATTTATAAAAAAGTTACCAATGAATAATGCCAATATGATTTTGGTAACCACCACATTGTCTTGTACAAATTGAGATATTGTAAGAAGAGTGCTAATACGGAATAAAGGAATAGCGTACATTCAAAGAATAATTCACCTTGTCCTTGAGGCATTTCTGGCCAAATTGGATGAATTTGGGCTCTACCATATACTTCATTTCTGCAAATGAATTCTTATCATTTACTTATATTTAAATAGATAAGAAGTTATTATTACTGATAATAATTAACGAGAAGCTTGAAAAACTTTACGGTAAACAAACTGTAGAAATTTAATTGATATTTTATTTACTTATAAACTGTAATGCAAATCTAATTATAATTTTAGTACTGGTGGTATTAGCTTCTTTCTAAAAACTTTTATTATCAAAGATGAATCCAGCTAAAATTCTCCATCAATTCATATTCTCTTACAAAGCTAAGTTATCTAGCATATCTCGTAAAATTTATTCTCTAATTTATTTAACTGAACGTTTAAATTAAATGAAAATAGTCCATACCTTTTTCTAGCATCGACGCGTGCAAGAGTACTAGGCGTAGATGACGTAGCAGAAGCAAAAGATCTACTAGCATGGTGACGATTACGTAATGTTGAACGACCAACCATATTTCTTAGTTCGTCAAAATTTCATTAAACTTTTTCAAATATCTTTCTTCCTTCAATACGAATTCATTCATTTAACAGTAATGGCACTATTCTGACGAAAATCTTAATAAATGTTATCACCTTCAATATACTCAAATATTGGAATTGTAAAATCAATAATTTTAATAAAATATCAAAAATTTTTGAATTGAAATGAAATGCAAAAAATATTAATTCGAGAATTACCAGAAAATCTATGAGCTAGTACCACGCATTTTTCAGCACTTCTTACATACCTTTTCACGAATAAAAAAATATGATAATTAACGTATATGTACGCTGAACACTTCTCTTTCCTTCAATTTGTTAAATTTAAATATTATAAAATCTAGCAACATAACAAAAGAAAATCTCACGTAGGTACGAAACCCAACCACGCAGAAAAAACCATCCTCACGTTTCTCTGTGAAACATTAAAGTTTGTCCCACCGAAAACAAAATTTAAATTTCGTCCGAGAGAAAATTTAGATGTTTAAATAAGGTAGTAAAGATTCCCACTGCTAGCATTTTTGATGTAAAATATAGAAATGTACAAGAATTTATGGATATATCTTATTCCATGCAAATTATCAAAAATTCCAACTTTTTCTCGCAATAATGTTTTTTCTTTTTTCTTATTTCTTTGTTGAGTCTTTATTTTAATGGTATAATTTTTATAAATTGCTTTAACAATTATAATTTAGACGAAGAAAAACAAATCACGTAATCACAAACTTAATTTGGTAAAAAATTATCAAATTTTTTTCTATTCTTTTTTTGCAAAAAAAGTTTACTACGAGAATCCCTACACAAATGACAACAAATTTATACATATGTCACAATTGCGCACAAAAATGATGCGGAAAAAGAAAGCTTCCAATCATATGCACAGATCATAAATTTCAAAAAAAAAATTATACATACGAAACGTTCAAAGTAATATCATGAAAGAAACATTTTTTTTTAACTGAAAGTTCCTAAAAAAAAAAAAACTGAAATTAAGAAAAATCGATGAGTAAATGAAATCGACGTAGCATACACAGTAAACAATAATAATATAGTAAAATTGAGCGCACTAAAAAATTTTCGAATTTCTTTTGTTTTTTATTTTTCCTATTCAACGCAAAAGATATTTGTCAAAAAGTTAAAATTAAAAAAAAAATTCCAATGAAAAAATAAAGGGTGAGAAATTTCATCCTTTCAAATAAGTAAAAATTTAAAATATACAAAATTAAATGATTGTTAATTTTAAGAAATCAAAATAGCTTAACAATCAAAATTGAAAACCACAATATTTTTTGTACTTATTTTTTAACATAATTTATTCCTTAGGAAATAATTTGGAATTTTATGAAATTAATATTGATAATAAAATGAAAACATGATAATAAAATGAAATATCATATCATACTGCAATCACAGGAATTGCAACAATTGTAATTAAAAGAATTAGAAAAGTAGTCAAAATTATAATATTACACAAATTATCTCAAAAATTCACACTTTAATATTATATTTCCTGAATAACATAACCTAGATGAAATTCAAACATTATCGATCACTGATACCATTATCGCTTTCATAATGATAAAATCAGTTTAGAATGACATATCACATGTGATTGTTAAATATCTAATCAATAAATGATGCATATTTTCAAAAAAGTATAAGTAATATAATAAACATGGAAATATTCTTATTAAGCGTAAACAATAGAGGCAGAAAACAGCGACAACTGAAAAAAATATTGCTGTGCAAATTTTGAAAGAAATTGAATTAAAAAAGAATAAATCCAAATTAAAAGTTAATTTTTCAAATATTCATGATGAAACAAATAATTGCTAGTAGCTATTTATCCCAAAAATTACTTTCAACCACTTATTCTAAATCATTTTTTGCACAACATTTTAATCTATATGTTATCAAAAATTAATCAAATATTCTTCGTTTATCTTTCTATGCAATAACCTCATCACTTCAAAAATTTCAAAGCGAATTCAATTTCAAATTGAAATTTCCAGTATTTTATAAGTCGTACTAATATTGATTTCACATTTCTCCTCATAATTTACATTAAAATGTTTAAAAGAATTCAGATCTAAATATTAACAATAATTCGAAATCTATTAAGAATATTAAAATTTATGTAATTAAAAAAACCTTTTTTTATATTACAGAAGAATAATTTTTGAGGTTGAAACCAATGAAAGAGGGAAAAGAAAATAGCAATTTTGTAGTAGAAACTAATATTGTATAGACTGGAAGTAAATCAAGAGGCAATATTATTATCATACAATTTTTTTAGGTAATATATCAATAAATGAGCAATGTAAAATTATATAAACATTATTTCACAAAACTGATATACAGAATTTTATATTATTCCTAATGTAATATTTTTATTCAAATTCTAAATTCATTGAAATTTTTTCCAAAACAAAAAAATCGATTTTTGAGAATAAATCATTTGAAAATTTCTATCCTTAAAATATTCATTTTCCCACCCAAAACTTTTTATTTTTTTTAAAACAAATAAAAAATGCAGAAAGATTTATCTCCCGAAAAATTTTCTCGACATAATATAAATAAATAAAAATAACGCTTACTTATACTTTATCGCCTTTGTTCCTAATTCTATATTTGGTTTAAGTTTAATTTCGAATTATCATATATATCAGCTACATATTGTAAGCAACATAAATAGGATCAAGCATATCTTTTAGGAAAGCATCCCGTAAATGCATCCGTTGCTTTTCACCTCGACTATTTATAGGTACCACGCCGGGATCAACAATTACCACAACACCAACAATCAAATAATGCTCTTCTAATACAGCAGATGTGATAGCTGGTACTAAATCTAATGCTTCTGATTCAGCACTTTCCGTTTCAGCAACCACAACCAAAAGATGTGTCCATGTAAATACCGCACTGAAAATTTAATTATATTCATTATAATCAAAAAATAAATAATAAGCTGATAATTTGAATAATTTGACATTATTCTCCCAAAACATGCTGCTCAAGTTTAAATTAACAATAAAAGATAAATCATTTCCATCTCTTTCATAATAAAATTATCAATATTAAAAAAGTCAAAAATTATCTCTTTTCTCAAAAATCAAATTACTATGATTGATTTACAACAAGCTAATTTGTTTCGTCATTGTGTTAAAGTCGTTAGAGGTTATCATCAAGCTTATTATTACATATCTCTTTTCGCTTCCGTTTTCCTTTCAGCATCGATATATAGCATATGATGAAAAGGAAAATGATGCATTTTGAAGTGTTGAGATTAAAAATTTTTAAATATAATGAAAACCAGCACTCATACTACTGCTATTAATAGTTTATATATATTTGAAGTAGTATGTGCAATTATATTTCAAATCTTAAATAAATATATTTAATGCATAGCATTTAAAGAATAAAAGTATTTATTATTTAAATTTATTGCCAAACTTCACAAGTTGCTCAACAACCAGCACTAACTAACCATTCAGAAATTTTCCGATGCGCTCTTATTACAGTTGCTTCAATATCCACCGGATGGTATCTCATTCCACGCAACATCAATGCTTCATCCAATGCACCAACGACAAACACTGCATCATGTAACTCTGCAATAACACAACTTATATTCTTTATAATAAACTACGATCAGTAACAAGTTTATGACTTTTAGTAAAATGAAGCTAAGTTAGGGGGCTCCAAAAGGATAACATTTGACAGTCAGACTAAGTCCAGAAATCGCTTAGTTTTTGTAAAAAATTTCGACAAAAGTCATTTTTTCGTAAAATTTTTTGAAATAACAAACTTTTCTAATTAAAAATTTACCAAAACGAAGCTAAATTTTCGAAAAGATACGAACACTCTAACATATCAGTGAAATTTACAATTATTAAAAAGTAATGTATAAAAAAATAACCTCCATCAGCTGTTATAGATTGTGTTCGTCGAAGAAAGCCCAAATAACCCGTACGTGCAAAACGTTTAAGAGTGTCACCAGTTGAGAGTCTAAAAATGAATTTATGATAATAAAAAGTAGCTTCATATATTGAAATAGCACGTTAGATATCAGTCAGCAAAGTTACGTAAGTTTGATCGATATAAAACAAAACATAAAAAGTGTCTAACAACTGAAAACAACGAGAAAGCATCTTCTTCCATTACTTCTGCTAATGTATCACGCATTAACCGATAAATTTGTTGCTAACTAAAAACTGTTATCTAAAGTTGAAATAATTTCGAGTATAAAAGTACAAAAAGATAATATTATTCAAAATAAAATAAAATGGCAACAAACTCATAACTACTAATTAATTAAGCAGAATTTTCAATGTCAAAATATTCATTTGATACAATTAAAACAAGTTACACTAATACAAATAATACATACAATTTCAAAACAAGCCAACTAATAAATAATGAAACAGAAATAAAATGACAATAAAGCTGACGATATAAATAGTCAAATTAATGTGTACTAGTGAATAACTATTAATGTTTATCCATACAAATATTACCTTGCATTAAAGTGATCAATATGTAACGATGCTTCTTCACCGTACAACGTGAAATAACCAACTGCATTATGTGAACATGCAACCCAAATTTCACCCAAATGTGAATCAGCACACTGACCTCTAGTTTCCGGATTTGCAATGACCACTTCAACACCAGGTAACAACTAAAATTATTTCATTTTAACTACCATAACGGAGTATTTTTTATAACCTGAAAAATAAATGACCGGAATGCAAATAAATGTCAAGTTTTAAAAATATATCTTTCAAATAATGAATACTTTTCCGCTTTCCATTAGTGCTATGCTGTGTGGTGCACCCTTTTCAACAAGCGTTACGCGATCATTACGTAGTGCTCGTGCATCAACGTATACCGTTGCCGGATCCGGACTTGCTGCTCCTTGCATACAAATTGCAGTGTTAACCTATAGCATCAATTTATATACAAACTTTTTTCTTTTCAAAACATTGAATTAGAAAAAATGCTGGGGTCAAGAGAAAACCAGTATTTGCCAGTATAGAAATGCTCCAGTGTTTAGTAGAAAATAACAATCACCATTACGAAAGCAATACCGGAGCTTAAAATTTTCAGAACAACCAAGAATTTCAATGCAATTTTGTCAAATAGCTACAAAGAGAAAGCAAAATATGCAGACAAGATAGCTATATTTCCGAAATATAATTTAATCCATTTTTGATCAAAATCTCATTTGTCTCTGAAAAAGTCTAAAATTAAATGGCATAAAGTGTAATACCCGACAACCGAATGATGTAGACACTGCACGCGAATTAAGACCTAAAGGTGCAAAAAGCTTCGAAAATGCTGCACATAAAGCAACTCGTGGTCGTTCCTCCGCAACTACAACACACGTACGCACGCTACAAC